AGACTCCATGATGTCTAGTAATGCATATAGACCTAGTGAGTGTAACAGGTTTCGTAGTACATCCTCAACAGATAAGTTACAAGATGCAAGACAAACACGGTTGTTTTACACGTGTGCAAGAGGTGCATACAGAAGTGAACTGTGAACCAGTGAGCAAGTTCAGTGATAAGCTAAATGTAAACTCCAGGTCTGACTCCGAATTGTGTGACGATAACGGTGTTGTGAAGAAGTCTGTAGTTGCAACTGGTAAGCCGTTGTTGAATAGAGTGTCACAGAATAGAGTTACTGCTTCAGAGTGGAGTTCTGACTCCACAAGTTTACAAAGTATAACTAGTCAGAGTGAAGTTATAAAACCTTTAATGATTTGTGAGGAGGAACCAAAATTGTCTACTTCTGTTATTAAAGAGTTTGAAAATGATGAAGTTGACGGTAAAGTGAATATTCGTGATAATGATCATGATACTTCACAGTTGTCTTTGGTTGATCATTATGAGATGAGGGATATGCCTACTACTGCTAAGTTAAATAAAGGTTCTGTACAACTACAACGTGAAGTAGAATTGAACGCAGATGCAGTTCCAGAAGGTGTGCATACTTGTGAGACAGTCAGTGTAATTGATCAGCGTGTAGCCCACCTATCATCAGATGATAGTGCTAAACCCGAACTAGTAGTGAAAGACAGCAGTGGTGGTAATCTTGCAGTTGGACAACTATCTGAAAGCCGAAAAGAACAGCTTCTGATCCACCACTAAGTTCATCACCTTGTGTCACTCAGTCATCGTTGGTGTTGTCATCCACAATGAAACAGATGCCCATCAACTCAAGTATCTTCTGCAATGACTATGATAGTATTGGTGCGTTTGAAAAGACGAAAGATATTGTTCAGTTTAGTGAGAATAAGCCAAGTGTAAACGAGAGAGTAATTGTTAAATTGACTTGCATGAATAAAGGCATTTCTAGTTTCAAGTTACTAATTGAATGCTATTATCTTTGGTGTAAATTACTCTGTTTCTACACTTGGTTGATGAGATATGCCGTGTGTTTGTTCGTCATCTATATTCTACGATACAATGACATGGGCGTGTTGCCGTTCAGATTTGAGGATTTAGCTCATAGAAGGAAGTCAGCAAATGAACTCTGCGACGATTTTCCAACCTAGGGCGTCAACCTGAGAAGGGTTGTAGGCGTACTGCTGTAAGTCCTACAGTTCTTCAAAGGGTAGCGCATCAATGAGCAGTCCAATGTGCTTGGTGTATGATCTTGTACATATGTTCATATTGTATATACTGAATTGATATCATCTGTCATCTAGCTGTTGGTAATTCTGTTTGTGTCCGGACATTCCACAACTTACAATGGTCAACCTGTGAAGGTTTGTAGGCGTACTGGTGTAAGTCCTGCGATTCTTCAAAGGAATTCCATCGAGACACGATCTGCGAGTTTGTGTGTACTGTTTGTATATACGTGTGGTGTGTCATATCAATTGGTGTATTTTGGATTCATTGTGTTTACTCGTTGTTTTCGTACCTCGTTGTTATTACATAATTTTGATAAAATTTTCGTCGTGCTTACTTCTGAAGTTGTGTCCACTCTTCTACATCCGTGAATGAATTGATTGATGTTAAGGACAGCAGATGGGTCGTATACGCCGGAGAGGCTATTGCTGAGAATGAAATGCACACGGAGATAAATGTTAGCTGCGGTCCGACACGCCGGGGAGAAAGAGTGTAAACGACTGAGGCTCGCATGCGTCACCGCTACTAGAACTGAGGCGGAATGAGTGACAAGCCATTTCAGTGGTAATTGGTAGTGAGTAGATAAGACGATGTGCGTAGAGTATCATGAGTTGGTGCTATGGTCACGTTGCATTCTGCAAGAGTCATTCTAGTAAGTGGCGATTATGTTGCAAGATGTCAAGAGGAGGTCTCTGTCTGGAGGCGCAGGTCGTCATTGATGTGTGAGATTGTGCTGTGGGTATGCTTGTGGTGTGTTGGCTTTTCTGTTTGTTTTCCATTTCAGCTCTGTCCGTGTGACCCAGGTTCTCGCAATGGCATCCAAGTCAACGTGCATTGGTCGTGAAGGAAAAAAGGGTTGGATCCCTTTTTTGCCGGGGAGTGTCAATGGAGTTGAAGATTGAACGATCAATTCTTGGTTGTTTGCTTAAAAGCAACTTCCCCAATTTTCGCGGAGGCATCAATACGACAGTCATCGTCTCATCGGTCGCTGTTCAGAAAGAAGAGTGAAACATCGTCAGAAGTAATACAATGATTTATTATTGTAATATTTGTTTACAGACCTTAGTTGTAACGTTGTTCATATGTTGGTGTTACAATAAAGAATTCTCGAGTGGCCAATTGGTGTTTTGGTTTTTTCGTCCGTTATTACTAAGCGTTTCTGAGAAGCTTTGAGGAACAACGTGAGCCCGAGCGTGGCAAGAGCTGGGCATTAACGGTTTATGAGACGTGTCTGACACCATATTTTTCGCGGGTCATCAACTCACCAGTCATCGTCTCATCGTTCGCTGTCCAGAGTAAGATTAAAAACTATCAGATGTATTACCGTGATTTACTGTTATAACATTTATTCTTAGACCTTGTGTTATAACATTACTGTTGGTTATATGTTGGCGTAAGAATGAAGGATTCTTGAGTCGCCAATCGGCGTTCTGGTTTTCGCGTTGGGTACCATGTGCAGCGGTGAAGACCAAGAGCTGTTGGATGGTCGAATAATGCCGAGCTCTAACATTTTATTGAACTCTGTTTTTGCGATTTTAAATCGATGTGGATCAAGGCGTCGAGGACGTGCAAAAACTGGTGGTCCAGTGGTTTTAATGTGATGAACCACGTGGTGCTTTAGTTCTGTTGCTCGGAAAGGGGGTTGTAGAAGGTCAGGGAACTGATTTACTAAGTCAGTATATGGAGAACCTGGTGTGCGTGTGACCATCAAGTTCAGCGATGATGCACGGCTAATCGTACCAGCGATGTACTTTTTATTGAGCTAGTCTATAAGCTTAGGGCTTACCGGATCAACCAGCAGTTAGTGTTGTTGTAGGAAATCTATCCCAAGGATTGTGGATGGAACGTCTGCGATGATGAAAGACCAAGTGTAGGTATTCTGCAGACCAAAGTCTAAAGTCATTCGTTTACTACCATATGTAACAATATTAGACTTATTAACTGCTTGGAGCGTAACTGCAGGGTCAGGATGTTGACGTTCCTGCGTAGACGGAGGGAGAACACTAACCTCTGCTCCTGTGTCGACTAAGAACGTAGTACCAGTATTTCTATCTGTTACATAAAACAAACGACTGCTAGATCGTAGATTGCCGACAGTAGAAGTTTTCGTACATGACGATATATCTTTTGGTTTAGCCTGAAAGTTGCAAGGTGAACGACACCGTCGTGCATTGCCTCCGTAACTACGGTGTTACCAGCAAATAGTATCGTGATGTCGTGACGTGCTGGGCGACCGAGAAAGATGTCGACGAGACGAGCTTCTAGAACGGCTTGGTCGTGTGTGCGTGGTCAGTGCTGCCAACTGACTCAGTAAGGTGTCGACTTTGTGTTCTAGAGTCTGTATCTTGTCGTGAGTGTCTGGTATTCTGCTAGTGGAAGCAATAGATTGAGGTATTGACCTCTCGTACATGCGATCCGCAATTTTGGCGAGCTTTTCCATGTCAATGTCGTCGTCTCCGAAAGCAAGAACTTGCTGAATGTTTGCACGCAGTCGTCGCAGCCAGATTTGGTAAAAGGGACGTTTGTCGATAACTCTTCCTGCTGCTAGGCTTTCCATGTGCCTCATGAGTTGTGATGGGGTTTTATCACCTAGCTCTAACAAACGATCGAGTGTTTGTCTATCAGAAAGCGAAGTGCATCGAAGTACCTCTTCCTTCAACTGGTCGTAAGGAGAGTCTGTGCTGGGCTGAACGATGCATTGTCGAACCTGTTCGACGATTTCGTCTGGTAGTACTGTACTCAATATGCCGAATTCAGCCGTCTGTGACGTGAGCTTATTGGCAGTGAAATAATTTTCCAGTCGTGCAAACCAAAGATGAGGGTCTCTGGGCCTAAAAACTTGTACAGTAAGAGAAATGGTACCAACAGATCCCAGCTCTAAGTTATTAGAGGTATTGGAAGACATGATACAATTCGTAGAAAAATGGTTTAACAGTAACAAAATAGCAAAAATTATGCACACCAAGAATATGGTAAAACAGAAAACATGCAATGCAGATGCTTACCACAGATTACTGCAAATTGTGCGATGAAAAGCACAAGAATGAGCTCGAAATGTCTATTATATGTATACATATCCGATAAAGTTAGAGTTTAAATAATCCAGCAAGTGTAATGATGCGTCCGGGTGAACAAAACATCGTTGGAGTCAACAAGTTATCGTCGCAGTGAACAAGTTATCGTCGAGGTGAAAAAGTTGTCGTCGCGATGGACAATTTGTCGATGGGGTAGAAATTTGCCGTTGAGGTCAACAATTTGTCGTCCGGGTGAACCAGTTATCGTCAAGGACACCAATTTGTCGTCGCTGTCGAAATATCACTTCGGGCTCACCAATTTTGTAGCGTGCGTTGTCTGACTAAACTGCCGTACACATATATTCTATGTATTTCTTCGCTCTTATTGATGTGCGCAGACGTTGTGGCTACTCAACGCCCACAACGTAAATCAAAAGGCACTTGTGAAGATTACGAATATGTATTGAAGCAGTAGTCAAATTCGAAATTGTGTCAAGGTAATATTCAACAGTAAAAATGACAAATGTTTGCGAAGTACATATAAAATCGGTCTGTATACACATATAATACAAGTATACAAATTAGATTAAAAAGCATGTTTACAGTTGGTATAGGGGTACTACAAAACGAGCAGAAAGAAATGAAATTGGTTTCCATTAGCCCTTGAAGAAGGTATTGGATATTGGATACTGTAGACATTGAATTTGTCACCTATTTTTAAAATTGCTCATGAGATATCGAACCATCCGTTATGACTCCAATTCCAGAAAGTATGTGGATATTTTGTTTCATCGAACGATATAGGTGTAAATATTAGAGAAGAGATTGCTCAAGCGCTGTCGATTCTGGTCAATAATGAAACGTTTCATGAGGTGGCTGAAGAAACCCGATGTGCCGTTTTCATTGCCATAGAAAACTTTTTTAAAAATAAATTAGAATCCCTAAAGCTTCCTTCGTCATTTACGGCTAAGGAGAGAGCTTTTGCTCACATAATCGCTCGGCTGAGTGGATTGTATTCTGAATCGGAAACGTACGTATTATTATGTACCAAAATATTAACATATTTTCATCTAATGGTTCTAAATAAAACTTTTTATGAAGTTCACCAATCACAAGTAATCTTTCTGTTAGCTTTATTTGACTTTTTTTATCGGTAGGCTGACCTGTTACAGTCATTATGGACTACACTTTCATAGAATATTTTTGAAGAATTCATTCGATGTAGAATATTAGACTGAAATTGTGTCATATCCCGTAGGAATAATCTTAGAGCTTATTGCAAAAACAATAAGCTTTACTGAACTGGCACAAACTATTTTTTTTAACTATATAAACAATCGGTTCACAACAGTTAGTACGGTGTTCACACAGCTTCAGAGCTCTGAGAAATTTCTCTCGATTTTTTATAAGTTTAAACCGCCTAAATGGATCAGCAGTAATAATTTGTATTTTTGAAGCAAGTTAACGTACAACAAGAGAATGATGCACTTGTAGAAGATTACTGGAGAATGCTTCTCATTCTTCTTTTTAATAAGCAACACTGATTCACCTCTTGGATGATTATGGAATATCATGATTTTACCGTGATATTGTTATGAAAGAGGCCACCGCAATGTTTAGGCGCAATGTTTACTGGAGTTTTCATTTTAATAAGTACTATCCCACGTACTGTCATACCACTCTTCAGGGATTAAGGGAAATATGCCAAAAATAGGTAGAAATACTCATATAAACTTTATTACTGTAAACAAGTTGTTCGAGAGAATTTTCAAATCATTTCTCTTCGCTACTGGCTTATTCTAAATCATTTTGACATTTCAGTATTTTGTTTTGATTAGCGACCTAAAAACCATTTACCATTTAGTTGAAATAATTGCACTATCACATTACTACATTGAGTCTTTTCTCTCATGAGTAGCAATAGCTGGTGATTAAGATAAGACCAGCCAGTTACTTCATTTTCTTCGTCCACTTATTTGTGATTTCTCAGGAGAGACAAGAAAAAACTAGTGTCTTCTGAGTTTTTCCAATCATACTTGCAAAACTGAAGTATCATCGTTACTTTATAAGATTTTCATTCCACCATCATCATCACTGTGAACTAGAAAACTTGAGACTTTGGAGGTGGAAAAGCTAACCGATAGTGAAAAAATTCGGAAGTTACTTTGGTAAAGCTGAATTTTGGACGCCAAAAAGGTGGGAACGTTCTAGTGACTTTTGAACGCTCAGTCAGTGCAAGGTAGTGAAACCATATAAAACACTATATTCATGAAGAAAAATCTGACAGGAAATGCAACGATATTAAACAAGATATCTGGTTAATTGTGAGTTATCTCAGCGACAAATTAGTACTATGTTTACCTAATAAGGAGGATATTAGGGTTAGTTATGGGGAGATTAAGTTAGGGATAGAGGCCCGACTTTACCAACTGATAGAGTCGCTTTTTTCAAGGCCGTTGGTGTACTCTCTGAGTGTCTAAAGTTGATCTTCGCCCCCATTTTACAACAAAAAGACACAACAAACAAAGTTAAAACATAACAAAAGGATCAAAATGGACAACAATGATGAAGAGAAAAAAGTGACAAATATAATAATAACAATAATGTCTATGTATATGCTTTAAAAGGGTCCAAAATTTGTCTCAGTGGTTTCAATCATTCAACTCCCAAAAGCTATATTCACTTCATTAAGATGACGCTCTGGTGTTTCTAATGAAGGACATTAAAGAAGCAGACAATAAATATTTGTACAGCTTGCACGATTGAACACGATTTTGTACGTCTAAAATCCTTTAACTACTTGAAAGCTGGGACCCATAACACAGTTCCGTAGACTATAAATGAAGCTAAAAGTTGTTTGTCTGCAGCAAAACAATAACTTTTGTCTTGTACAACAAAACCATTGGAAGTCATAACCAATATAGGATGTTCACTACTTATTTCTACTGAAACATTCATGTCCAATTTAAAATGTATATGTTCATTTTATTTTATTAAAACAACTCAGCGTGGAAGACTTCTACACTAATGGATATGGTCAGTGATTTGGAAAAGTAAGCTTAAGTTGATGCCCGATAAGACTGAAATTTTGAATACTTTAAAAGTTTTTGGATCTCAGACTTGACAGTTGAAAAGTTATTCACTACCTCATATTCTTAGATGTTTGCTTTTAGCAGTGGGATTTTATAGATGATTCTCAGTTTCAACTGAAATTATAAAGCTAAATATTGCGCAGTGATGCATGTATTAAAATACCGATTATTTGAATTGAATTTGAATACATTTAGATTTATTTCACATGATAAGAATCATTATAAATAAGATAACTAGTATGTTAACTGTTGCAAACTTAATTATTTAAAAGAGATTAGGTGGGGCCAAGCTTGCTTACTTTTGTTTCACATGTTATATAAGCAAACAGACTTTAGGTGGCAGCCACCTTCTAACTACTTCTGATTACCCGGCTACTTCTGGCGCTCGAGGGAAACGTGGAGGAGATCGTGTGAGGAGGAGATGAGAAACTACGGGCAATAGTGAAAGCAGCTAAGCAGGACCACAGAGAATGGGAAAAAGTGGATATGAGCTGTTGAAGCCCTATGTTCCAATAATAAATAAACTAATTTTAAAGGTTTATCAGTCTTTTTGCGAAACGACCCACCATATATACATATATATGTATATATATAAATTGTTAACACACTACCTAAACAATTTGTACCGGAATAAGACAGTTAGATCAGCGAAGTCCTTTGTCTTCGTCGTATTGTGTATGAATAGCCAAAATTATGCATTGCAACTGTAGGAGATTAAAAACTAAAGATAGCCAGTCTAAATGAAACTCGAATAAGTATTGAACGTCTTAAAACTCGCCAAGCCTTAAAACACAGCATACCGAGATTTCGACTAGTCTTCTAATTTTAATTTTCTTTTAGCGTCATTGGTGAGAAGATTTTAACCATTAGTGCACTATGTCCCCGAAAAACTTTGTCGCCTTCTGCAAACTCAACAGCTGAGTTTCGTCTAACATGGAACAGTAAAAATATAGTGGTCCATCTGTTGCAGACTAATCCAGTAACAGCTAAAGAAAAACTTGAATTGTATCCTCGTGTTGAAGGAGCTTCAGGACTTGACAAAGGTAAAATAGCTGCCATATTGTTTTCTAATTCTTTTCAAGATATACATCGAATTTTTCATTTCTAATTAGTAGGAGTGCAAAGTAATTTGCCATATGCCCATTAGTAATCAACTACAACACTTAAACAAACATAAATCGTTTCTCACACTTATTTTCTGTTGTTACGCACTACGTATCAGTAAACTGATTGGCATATGCTTTTATTGGAAGTAAAAGAGGAAAACATAGGGCTGCTGAGAATTATTTTACCTACTACTGGCTGGAAATTAAGTAATATTTAGATAACCGCATAAGCAGTCATAAAGTCTTACAACCTGATATTACATAACTACTAAATGAGTTAGGTTAGAAGGTCTTAAACAAAGGTTTCAGAAACAAGTATTTTAACTACTGAAGCTTGATCGCAAATCTTCTTTGGTTATTATTTTATTAAAATTTTATTCATATGGCTACTTTCAGACTGCTTTTTAAATGATATTTAGGAACTAGAGAAGAACGACAGAGGGGTACAACTGGACGACTTATGGGCGCTGTACCACAAATCCCAACACCACCTCCTACTAATTGGAACAGGGAAGCAAGTGACTCAAAGAAACAACTTATCAACAGTTATCGTCAACAAATTGTCCATCAGTTAAATTCCAGTCAAGTTGTGATAATCTCAGGCCCTCCAGGTTGTGGCAAGACTACAATTTTACCTCAGGTAAGTGTAGCGTGTAAAGCCGTTTTAGAAGTAAAATACTATAATTGCATTCAGAATTAATTTGTAAATGCATCATAGACATACCTATACTGATGATTTAAACTAAGCCGGTTAGCAAAGATGTAGAGTAACGGAGATTACTGACACCTCCAATAAGAGTTCATAACTATCTTCACTTAAGGAAAGCTTCGTCCTGGTGCAAATATATTTACTTTGAAAAGTTCTGCTAATCGATGAGATAGTCTCGTATCATATTTATTAACTTCGTATTTATCTCAATATTACGTAATTTGATAAGCTAACGTACTAATTTTCTTATAAAGAAAGATAAATCCTGTCTAAAATCGTATTGATTTTTTTCAAGTGTTTTCTGAAAAAGAAGGAAACAAGTGATTGGTGGCTTTAGAGTATATTAGATGAAGGGCTGTCAAAACTGATCTTCAAGAGCCAATCAGAGTTACAGAACTCTATGAAAGGTCATTCTAAGTCAAATAATGTCTACCTATATGGACTTGGTGAAGGCTGGTACTTTTTCTCTGTAAATCTTTACTACTAGGTAGGATTAGGGTCTAAGCTGAGGGTTAGAATTAGGGAGAGGTTAAAGAACAGTGTCAGGAGTATCAATAGATCTCAAAGTACCATTATCGACAGTCACCTGGACGAATATATCTATCATTCACAGTATGGTTTCTCTATGGATTACCTTTGGGTAGCTGGTATACATTGTTACGACACATAAATTAAAAGTATCCAGTGTAACGTCATGTTTGAAGTGATTATTGATGTACTTTTTATGGGTTAAACTACTTTTTCGCATCTGAATTCTGATTGGCTGATCAAGCTCACTGTGATTTCGGCTGTGATATCTTAATTTCACAGGATATTATTTAAATATTTATCTTTTGCTTTATGCGAATTCATATCACAGTTTTCTACACTGGGTCTGTATTATTATTGCTAATTTTTATTATCTTTAAATCTTCACCCACCTTAGTTCTTGTTTATTCAGTTATATTTTGAACTGTTTTGCTATACTGACACAGATTTGGTTAACTTACAGAGATAGAGTACTTTCCAGACTCAGCATTTTTTACACACATTAACTGTGCGTTCAGTATTTCCTAGGTAGACCTCAAAACGACACTATTATAAGTATCTCGCAAAATGCAAAATGTGGCTTGCAATACGTTATACATGAAAACGCCGTTTGCATTTTCAGTTTTTCTAATTAACAGCTATTATATGAAGAACTGATATATGTACGCAGTGAGATAAACTTTGAGTATATGTAAAAGTAGATTCTTTAACCTATACAAATAATTCCTATTTACCACAGTCAGTTTTGTCTGGAAAAATCGTCTTGTTTTACGGAAGCAGGGCTTTCAAAACCATGTTTTAAGATAGTGAAACTATTGAAGAAGGCACAAATGACAAACTTCGCCCATTTCCTGAAACAAAATAAACAGTGAGGAAATTATTACGCACAATGTAGACTTATAACTGCCCATCAGTTTGTTAGACAAGGCTGTCTGCCATCACCGATGACATTCCTAGTTGTGGTGGACTGGACTATGCGCAACACCGAACTTGAGGAGCGAGAATGCGAATATACGTTGGACCGTTGAGAGGACTACAGCAGATATGTCCTTCGCGGAAGAATAACGTCTAATGTCACATAAACTCGAAGACCTACAGGCAAAGACCACCAAGTTGACAGAAGAAGCCACCAGCGAAGACAGGACACAAAGTGAACATAGAGGAGAGGTGGGTGGTGATAGTAACTAACCAATGACAGAAACAAACATCAATCAATATCAAGTGGAGAAATTTGAGATAGGTTATATACATCACTTATCCGGGCTGTTTCACTTCAATTACATGTAACAACATGGATGAAAACATCAGAAGCCAGAAGCTGAAACTTAAGACAGACATTTACCACTTTGAAATCAGTGTGAAAATCTTTTGCAGCTAGCATGAGCAGCAAAATCAGGATTTGTAACGCCAGTGTTAAGTCAGTCAGTTAGCGCTTTTATATCGACCAGAAACATGGACCATGTGTCAGGAAAAGCAATTCCAACAGGCAACTGCAGACTTTTATCAACAATTGCATTTGTCAGCTGCAACATGAAGATCAGATAGCCAACCAAAAAGAATTAGGGACAACGAACCAACCAAGAACCTATTGCTGAACAAATATTCCGAATTAAATGGAGTCAGACAAGGGTGCTTATTATCCATCACCAATGATGTTCCTAATTGTGGTGGACTGGATTATGCATCTGACAGTGGGAAACGAGAAGACAGGAATATCCTGGACCGACGTGAATAACCTAGAAAACCTGGATTTCGCGCGTGGATGATTTATGTTTGATGTCACACACAATCGAAGACTTACAAGCGAAAACCGACAAACTGGTCGAAGAAGCAGCAAAGACAGGACTCAGGTAAACATAGACAAGACGGAGGTTGTGAAAATAACCAACCAACAACAGCAACAGGATCCAACGTCAATCACCATCAACGGGAGGGATTCAAAAGAGGCTACTTCATTCACTTATCTAGCTAGGGAGCATTGTCTCAACTACAGTCGGAACGGACGTGGATGTCAAATCAAGCGAGAATCGGGAAGGCGAGAAACACATACATTCATCAACCTGAAACAACCAATCTGGAAATCTTCGTCACTCAGCCAGAATCAACAACAAAATTCGGTAGGATTTTCAGTACAAACGTCAAGTCAGTCAGTTCTTCTATACGGATCAGAAACTTGGCGGGTGGGTCACAAAGAATATTTCCCACAGCCTGTTGCAGACCTTTATCAACAACTGTCTTTGCTGGCTCTATACTGCAGATCAGATGACCGGGCCGGAAAGAATCACCAACAAGGAATTATGGGAACAAACAAGACAAGAACCAGTCGCCAACCAACAAATATTCAGGAGAAAGTTGAGATGGATCGGACACTCGCTGAGAAGACCGCTGGGTGACATCGCGCGTCAAGCCCTCGAGCGGAACCCGAAAGGGAAGCGGCGAGTGGGACGTCGGTGCAAGGGTGACATGGAGGAGATCGTGTGAAGAGAGAGGAGTCGAGACAGTATGGACTAACATGGATGCAGGCGAAAAGTACAGCAGAAGACAGAAGCAAATGGATACGTGCAGTTGAAGCCCTATGTTCCACTAGGAACCCAAAGGAGCAACAAATAATAATAATAAATGGAGATGTATCCGACACACACTGGAGAACGTCGGATGACATCACTCTCAATAAAGGCTCTCAAGCGGAACCCAAGTGGGAAACACCAAGCTGGGCATGTGTCCGAAAGAGATGTGAAGATGATCTCATTCTTGGAACCAGCTAATGATCACTTCAGAGAACACAGCAAAATGGGGATGAGCTATTGAAATCTTTCGTTCCCCTCAGAACCCAAAGGAAAAACAATAATAATACAACAGATTAACTTTAAACCTTTTGAAAGCTAAGTGAGTAAAAATCACATAGATACTGCTCAAGATACATCTTTCATGGGTACAGATTCTCTTACCGCTATCGTGAAATTGACTTCATTTTAACCTGGTATAGCAACACTATGGCTATCCAGAAGTAATATTAGCCTTTGGGTGCCTAGTGCTACTGACAAAAGAATCTAGGAATGGATCTCTGTGCATGTTATTCGATATATTCACGGCAAACAGATGACTTTGATTCACTTTGAATTTTGTAGATATTTCAATAATTATCTTTGAGGGTTCTGTAAGGGTAAAAAGCTATTTCATTCTTACAAATCACGCGTAAAGAACAGCGTTTCTAAGGTTGATAAAAATAATCTTACTGCGTCAGCAGAAGTTTATAGAAAGTTCCCGCGAATGTATTTTATTGATTTCTGCACTGTAAACAGTACCAATGAATGTCAACAGCACGATGCTTGTCTATATATACTGGAAATAGAAAGCTTTTGAAAATTATGAGTAGTAAAGCGACATACTACTCGTAAATAATACAACTTTAAATTTAAAAATACTAAGACTGTTTATTCACCTTATATTATATTATAGATTTTAATGGATGAGTGTTTTGCTCGTGGTCAACGATGTCGTATGATATGTAGTCAACCTAGACGTCTATATGCTCATATTAATGCTGAACGATTAGCACATTTAAGAGGTGAAAATGTGGGCCAAACAATTGGTTATCAAATTCGATTGGAGTCAAAGTATTTCTTCTTTTAACTTTTCATAAAATCATTTGTACTTTGTATATTTATAATTTTTAAGCTTTTCATAAATGAACAGCCATCAGAAGAGTCGACTGTTTAGTCATAAATCTGGCATACTGACTTTCGTGAGAAATGTATAGCAGTTACTAATTAAGATAATTAAGAGAAGAAAACCTTTTAGTGACACGAATGTTAGTCACAGTGATGCTTTATCATTTCACCTGTGCTAGTCTATTTCAACATGTCTAATTAATGCTATTATGGATAAAATTTTATTTTGATAAAATCACACAGTGTTATGGAGTAATATTTACTGATGACCATGTTTCGAGCGTGATTGTGTGTCGATGCATACAGTGCGGTTGCTGAGTTTTGGTCTAAATTACTTATCTTCGTGGGTGGGGTCAATCATTGTAACTATGGCTAAATTCTTATGTTCTGATAATCTCACTACTCCTGATCTACTAGTGTGACCTATATAGTTGATATAATTTACAGTCACTCCAAGGTATTTCGTAAATTATATTATTTTGTTTAATTGAGTCCACCGGGTCCTTTAGCCTACAGAGCTTGTCTCTGAGTGAGTTTGTAAGGTTAAATTCTACCCTAATTGCTGCTTTATTGAGAATCCTACGTAGGGCTTTGAGATATTTCCTCCATATATGGTAAAACTGGAGATGCCTTATATTCTTTCCTATTTATGCTATCATTATTAGTTTCATCATTATTTTTATTTTGCTTTTGACCTTTTCTGACCTTCCTAATGAATTTTATAGGATAGTTAGTTATTTAACATTAACGCCTCTTCAATCTGTTTCATTTCATCGTTTAGGTTTTTTGTTGTACTACTTAATGATGTTGGTGCTCGGTTTGTTAGACACTTCGCCTTTACAGACAACGGATGAGATGAATTAAAGTCTAAATATCTATTAGAATGTGTTGGCTTTTTGTAAACATTAGTGTGCAGTTTACCTTCTCTTGTTCGTTTTATTTCAAGTAATGAGGATATACACAACCAGATTCTTTATGTGAAGAACGCTTAAATTTGAATTGAAAAGTTGGTGAACACTTAAATCTTATTCGCACATGTATGTAATTTATAGAGTTAAGAATCAGTGTTCGAATTCCTTGTTTCAACATATTCAAAACATTCATTATCCAGTAATTATTATTATCCCTTTGGATTCTGAGTGGGATGTAGGCAATGAGCAATTCATCTCTATTTTGTCCTGTTCTCTGAGTGCTTCTTCAGGTGGCCGCATGATTGCTCATAGACTGTCATCTCCTCCCCACAAGATCTCCTCCATGTCGCACTGGAACACACGCCAAACTAGTGATTTCTCATTCATGTTCCATTCGGGGGCCTACGTGGCATTGTCTCCTAAGAGTATGCCCAATCCAACTTTACTTTCTTCCACACATTTTCTTAGCAACAGGTTCTTGATTAATTTCTTCCCAGAGTTTCTTAATGTTAATTCTTTCTGGTCTGCTATCTTATCTTTGTTATGAAGCCAGAGAAGGCGGCTGTTGATAAGAGTCTGCAGCCGTATGTTCAAAGTGCTTTTCGTGATGCGCCAAGTTTCTAGCCTATATAGAAGAACTGACATATTTAGCATTGATGTTAAAATTCCGAATCTTGCTCTTTCGGGTTGAGTGCAGCAGGTTTCGAAACTGATTTGAGAGTGATGAATGTCTGCCTTGCCTTTCAGATTCTGGTTTTTTCATCCTCATTCGTTCTGCCGCCCGCGGTTGAGACGATGCTGCCTACATAAGTGAAAGAACTAACCTCTTCCATATTTTTCTCGTTGATAGTGCTTGGTGCGTGTTGTTGTTGCTGTTGGTGTATGGTTGTCATCATAACCTCCGTTTTCTCTATATTCTCTTGAAGTCCTATCTTTACCTTCTAGCTCTTCTGACAACTTGTTAGTTTTCTCCTGAAAGTCTTCGAGTTTTTGTGACACTAGACATAGATGATCTGTCAAGTCAAGATCTTCCAGAGTCTTTTTGTCCGTCCAACGTTCCCCTACCTTCCAGCTCCCAAAGCCCACCCTTCCACATAACTCAGTCTACCACAATCAGGAATATCATCAGTGATGGTAAGTGGCCTTTTCTTACTCCTATTTTCACTCCACTGGTATCGCTGAGTTTTCCATTGTGGATCACTTGGCAAGTGGCACTGTCATATGGCTATTGGACTCAATTTAATCATATGCTCATATTTTTCAAACAACTACTAAAAATCTGTGAGTAGCACAAAGTAGATCTATTGTAGGTTATTAATTTTCAGTGGTCGAACTGTGGGATCTTCTTTCATTTCATTGTAAGCTTTTTCACTAGACTGGATGACTACTTAAATTAGCGAATAATTTGACAGTAAACCACTTAAAAGAGTGTCTTTTCATGTTCAGACACTGAGTAGTGACAAGTTAACACCCAGAAAATCATTCTATCTAAACGGGAATCACCTGACATTCATATGTCAGTTCGTTTTACTCTGATGACCAATTTTGAGATAATTAGAATTTTAAATTCCCGGAGCACATCAAGTGGGATGTAAAAAAATCTATGAACCATTTTTTCATTGGCATCTTAACCTGTTGACCTTGGTTTCGAACCCTCACTCAAGAGCTCCTAAATTCTGACGAAGAGTTTGTCTAGCAAATCTGAGGCACAGAAAAATCGCTGAATGGTACTGGTTATCAGTGAAGTTTACCTCAAAAAGAAAAGTGGAGCTATCAGTCTAGAACACAAAGCGTTGGAAACCGGAAACCTAAGATTATACGGGAGAAATAGAAACTGCTCTTCACTTTATAATATTGGGAAGTCTTAGACACAATAATTCAAGGTCAACAATTCACAGATTCCCAGTGAATCAATTTTGAGTAAATAACACATCATATTATTAAAGTGAACTGTGGCTAATAGCATCAGTAAAAATTATTTCAGCCCTTCAGTCTAACACAAATTTCTGTAAATGTGAATCTCAGCACATAAAAAACACACATTGAATTTCATCACACTTTTGAAACTGATACCACATAAAATGAGAATCTGCTTTCATTATGGTTTTTCCATATCATAATAACATTCTTTTCTTAATTCTTCGTTTTCTTTAGAGTCTCTCCGAGAACTCTATTAACTTTCTGTACACACGGAGTTCTTTTGCGAACAATATATGCAGATTCTAGACTTATGGTAGGTACAACACACATCATCGTGGATGAAATAGAAGAAGATGAGATACCTGCAAGTTTTGCGTCACTAGATTCTCAAATGGCAGAAATTAATAGTTCTAGTGTAATCGATAAAAATCGTTATGCTGACAATCCAAACGGAGGATGCGGAATTTTGTTAGGAATCCTACCCTCACTTCTGTCTCAATATCCACATTTAAAAGTAGTGCTTGTAATAAACACTCATTTATCTACTTATAAATCTTGGTACAACAATACACTGAAATACACAGAACATGATCAAACAAGAGTTATGTGTTGCAGTGAAAGCGATAGTTTGGCTGCTTCAGTGAACATTTCAAATCCTATTACTATGACCAACCCTGAAGTGAGTTAAAAATGATGCAATTAGTTATCTTCTTATTAGTTTGTTTATTAGATATATCACACAGTGAAAAAGTATTATTTACTGGATGACAGCGTTTCGAACACAATTTATTACTGTTCATAATCATATCAATTGTAATCACACGACTCTGAAACTTGAGTTTTATAGTTCTCTTCGTCTTCTCCTATTTGTCGTAGGAGTAGTAGAATTTTCCAGATATCAGGGACAGGTGATGAATCATTCCTATTACATGTATTTGCAGTTGATTCGATAAACAAAGCTTCTTTTATCAACCTCTCCCTCCACCCTGTGACATTAGATTTTAAAACTGTCATCCTATCCCACCCATCCTATTGTATGGTTGTGTGTGATTGCATGTAATGATATGGCTGAACAGTTCTCTAGATCCCTTATCTTATTCGGGTCAACCAATATAGATTTTGCCAGGTTTTTATGTTTGGCTAGTATGATTGCCCCCGTTCTACTAGTTTGACCTATGTATTTGATCTGACAGTCATCACAGACAGGGTATTAGATAAACTAAATTGATGTGTTTTAAAGGCTCCACAGGATGCTTTTACAGATCAAGCTTGTTTCTCATTGAGTGTGTGGGTTTGAATGCCACTTTTATTCCTGCCTTGTTAAGAATTCTGTGTAAGGCTTCCGAGGTTCCTTCCTTGTATGGAATTACTGTTGATGATTTACATTCCTTATTGTTGGTGTCGTCATTACTATTATTATTATCACTACTATTGTTATCATTATTACTATCACTATCGCTACTATCACTATTTATTTTATTTTTAAATTTTCTTACATATTTTCTGACTAATTTATCAGGGTAATTATTAAGTTTCAAGGCTTCTTTTATGTGTATCACTTCCTGTCTTAGATTTTCTTTGGTACTACTTAGCTTTTGTGCTCTGTCACCTGAACATTTCACCAATCCTATTTTTACTGACATAGGATGGGATGATCGGAAGTTCAAATATCCGTTTGAATGTGTGGGTTTTCTGTAAACACTAGTGTTTAACTTCCCATCTTCTTTCCTTTTTACGATACAATCTAACATTGGAAGCTCCTCTTCCTGACTTTCCAATTCTTAAGTGAATTGAATTGTCTCTACTTTCGAGTTGATGTGTTCCAAAAATCTATCTATATCTTGTGTTTTGAGTACAGTGAATGTGTCATCTACTGAAAATCACCATACTTTTGGGGTGGGGGTGAACGTACGTAAATAATACTATTTCACTGTGTGTGATATCTAATAAACAAACTAATATGGAATTACTTACTACCACATTGCCCAAGTTTTACACATATATTAATAAGTTATCTTCTTACTTTTTCGATGACTGTTTACACAAATCCCAATGAATCTTGAATGAAACCACCTTTTTGTTGTATAGAAGTATGGCTGTATCAAGGATTGCAATCACCAACATTTAATGGCGCAAACTAAAGCAAAATCCCTAGCAGGTGCAGCTTTCTGTTGGCTATTGTAATAAGAAATGAAAGGTGTATTTGCAATTAAAAGTTATATGCTGATAATGAAAGAAGTTTTTAATGACTAATACTAGCGAATTCGAAACGATGGTATTACAAAAAGGAAAGTAATGTGTACTATTTAGGGGTATTTCTAACTGACAACTTATTTGGGAAGACAATCATACTTCATTTGTTGGCGAGTTTTTTTCACAGGTCTGATGTCGAGTTGACATCAGTTAGAGAACCATTGGAAAACCTGGGAGTACAGTTGTTTTACCATGGTTTGGGACTTTTTACTAGTACACACCCACTGGGGTTCGACCTCATGACCTTCTGGTCCCAAGGCGTGCTTATAGGCCATTCAGTCATCAGGTCAGGTAAGGGATCAGTTACTTGTCTATGACACTAACTGGAAGTTGCCTTTTTTATATATATCGCGAATTAGCAGAAGTTGGAGTTCATGAGCTGAACGGTATATGAGCTTGCCTTGTAACCAGAAGGTCATAGGTTTGAACCTAGAGGGGTGTGTACTGATGGAGAGTCTCAAACTAGGACGAAACAGCTATCCTGCACTCCCAGTTTTTCCGAAGATTACCTGACCAATGTCAACTAGTGATCAAAGCTGTAACCGATTGAATCCCAGCGTAACCACCACTTGTTTATTTTTCCTTATAACAGGAAAAGCAAAATATCCTTTGGCGTTAAATAAATTCACAGTGTCTATTAGTGATAGATATAGCAGAATTAGAACTTATGTTCATTTCCATACTGTGGGCAAAAAGGCCTTACTGCTTGATCATATAACTACTTATTTTATCAACAAATTAACTGTCAATATTATTATATATTACTATCATACATAATATTAATATATATTTAGAAAGAAAATTCTGTTGTCAGTAGAAATGATAATTATTAAATAAATGAAAGGAAAGCTCATAATATGTTGTAATGACCAAAACCGAAAATTTGTGATCTGAACGCAGGAAACTGATCCTTGCATTCTACTGTATACCTCACTAAAACTTCTTTGGGTTACTCAGTCACAAAATGCTACAACGACAGCAAAAAGACGGTTATTTGCAATAAAACCTGCGGTACTGTTTAACAATAATGACATATCAAAATGCAAAATTACGTCAAAAATGCTGTTAGACAGCTAGTTAGATCAAATTAGTTATGAAGTACAGATAAAAGCCCCATGGAATAGAGTTATTCAACCAAAATTAACCGTATAAAGTATCTAAGACTCATGAAGAATATTTCGAACAAAGTAGGATCAAAGCCTTGTCAGCCAGAAACACACACACACCAAACAATTACCACAGGCAGTCCAAGATCAGAATAACCTTCATTTGATAAAACAAAATCCCGGTTGTAGAAAAACACGTTATCACTCTCATAATATAAACTCAAAGAGAAGCATTAAAATTAGAGATTAAATAGTGATAAAGACAAATATTAAGAGTTGAGTCTTCATGCGATATGCAAATGTCAGAACAATGATATACAGTCTAAGAGGAAAAATGAAATTAATTACGAAGTTTTTTTTTTGATTTACAACTTGATTCCACACTGTATTTTTGGTACAAGTATGGAATTTTCAGCATGGATATCGGTAGCCCAAATTTTGCAGGTCGACCATAGATATCAGATGTGCGTCGGTGCGGGCTCGAACCCCGGACCATGTGCATGGTCGGCGAGAGTCCTAACCACTGTGCCACCGACGCACCATTAAAATACTTATCAATATTATAATTCTATTGTTCAGGAGAAATTACAAATGTATTCATAGCAGTAAAACATTGAAACCATTTGAAGGAGTATCTCATTGAATAAACAAGGAAAACAGCTGACGATTAATACATACTTTCAGTAGACTGTCACTCATCATAATGCATAGCGGTGTTTAGAAAAATTGAACAGTACTTAGCGTATTTCTAATTTCATTAATTTAACTTATAAATAAAATATAAATAAAAATAAAATTCCACAGCTTTACTCGCTTCGATTACTGCCGAAACACAAACTGTTTACTATGTAGGCAGAGTAACATTCATACTACATTTATCATTAACACACACATCAGTTACAACAATTTCCACCAGCCATTGTCATCGGCGAGTATCTGTCCTTACGCCTGACGTGCTGAAGAGTCACAAATTGGGACGAAACAGCTGTTAAATACTCTCTGATTTTTCAATGGTTCTCTAACCGATATCAGCTCGTTATCAAACTTCAAAACAAATCAAACCCCTACAAACGAATTCTTAAAATTTATTCATTGTTATATTGTCTTCGGCATTTTATGGGTAAATAAGAAGGAATATGGTCAGGTTCAAGCAAATATTTTGTCAAACAGTTAGCAGTTTGTCAGTGAGGATCTGTAGTGTAAAACTCATTTTCTGTTTATTTAATTAACTAGATATCATACATCGAGAAATACTTATAATTTGCTTTCAGAATCTGATGAATTGGATTATCCATATAACGACGGAAGATAAGAGTCAGGCAATAGATCGTTAATTGAGAAAATCAACAGATATTTATAGATTTTTATGTACATTATTATTCGTTATTGTTAGCAGAGAGGCGGTGTCTTCTGATTGGTTGTTTCCCTATTTGTTGTCGTTTCTTAGACAGTCTGATGATATATCTGCGAATCTTATCCACTCACGCTAAGTCTACTATGACTGGTTGTTGAGTTCCTCAAGGTTAGGCTTTGATTTTGTTTTCTCTCCTGACCCCAATTCGGGACGTAAACGTTGATGCAAATTGTTGCATACAATTTTGGCTTTGAGACAGCTCTCACCACATTCAAACAGTGCAGGCTGTAATTGACAATTAATGATCACTGATAGAATTATGCGGTTGTTAGCAGGAAAAATATTCAGAAGAAATACATTGGCGGTGACATGATATTTTGTAAACTACTTTGATCAGTTATGACTAGTGTCATTACTATTCAGAGAATAGAACTATGACTGAAAGTTTAAAGTGTCTGGTGTAATATAAAGCAACTTTTGATGGATAATATCAATCAAGTGTTAAAGAATGCCTATTTTTTCCGTTTTCAGCAGTTGCCAAATGGCGTTGATAATGACAACTGTGTTACTAGAGATAATAATAACTCATTGATATTTAGAAATGATAGGTTGGATCTAAGCAGAACAAAGTTTGAAATGATAACGGAGAGTCCTCAGTCGAATCCAGGCTTTCTTATCCCCCTAACATGTACTTTAGTAACTTGAATCCAATAAATAACAATGGGATTTTATCTATGAATAATCAAAATAAATTTGATATGCCTCAAATTTACTCTGTTCCGGATTACACGTGCAAATCAAGTCAAGTTATATTATCATCATCATCATCATTACCAAAGGAGGACAGTTGTTCTTCTACTCCTTCTCCTTGTTTAACGAAAATCAAATCACCACTGAATAAGATTCAAAATGATCCATCGTTGAAAACGTTAACCTACGAGCCATTACAAGGTTTCAGTAAATACTTCAATGGAGCTCCAGTAATTAACAGTAAGTCATATAAATTCACAAGATTTTCCGTTCAGAGATTAAAATGGCTTAAAGTCTTCATGTTGAATTAAATTTTTTCACCGAATTCCCGTGCACTGAACTGTCACCGTCAACCATAAGTATTTGTGCATTCATAGATTTATTATCATATGATTGAAGCCAATTGGTGGTGTTACTGCCTCTGACCTCTGCACTTGGTGATGTGGGTAAGAATTTCCGGGAGTAGGAGAGGGCCAGTGGTTCATTTGGGGTTATACATTAGTCTTCCTGGCGAATGACAACAAGAACGAAACCTTCTGACTGCTACCAACTATTTAATATTAGTTCAAAAAGTTTACCATGATGACCATATTCCAAACCTGATTTAAAGAATTCAGACCGTATCCCTAAGAACGAGATACAAGACACTGCTTACACCTCAGTGACTGATCAGTGTAGCTCTTAGGTTTAAATGAACAAGCAATATCTTAATATCTTCTTGTTTAGTGTTCATTTATCATTCAAGTAATAATCACAAAAGTATCTTTTCTGCTCTCAAAAACCAAGCGTGCCTTCATTTTAAGGTTCTTCAAGATGGAAGTACAGTACGACTACAGATTACGTTACAGTGTTTCGGAAACTTTGAAGTTTGAGAACTGTGTAATGATACCTCCTGACTGTGTGTACCAGAAGAGAGAAACATTTATTAAAAAGACTGAATCCACCCTATAGCTTATGTCAAATTATATTGCATCCCTTAATGACACCCTGTTGATTCCATATCGGCTAACGTTCATGAGACTAGACAAATATACTGGTTAATATTCAACCATGAGTTTGTAGATGATCAACTTTACTGATTCACTGATCTCAGTTTTATTTGTAGCAAAATGATGAGTTGCCTACCAGTTTACTTTAGAATTCCGAGATATATTTCCACTTAAAACATCTGTTTTATTGCGGAATACTTTGAGACAGGTCAACAAGAGTCTGCTGAAAATAAGCTGATTACTCAACCATTTCCTTACGCGGCACAGATTAGCAGTTGGAGAATTCATTTATTGGGGCTATTTGTAAGTGATATTACAATCAGATTACTCATGCCTTTATTCTACGCCACCTGGTAGTGTAACAAAAGAAGACAAAGGCCAGGCAACAGATCGTTTTTTAAGGAAATCAACACATATTTATAGATTTTCATGTACATATTATAAATTATTGTTAGCAGACAAAAAAATCTTCTGATTGGTTGTTTCTCACTGAAAGTTAATCTTTCATCTCTTTTTGGCTGTTTCTTCAATGTCAGATCATCTATCTGCTAATTGTATCCGCCTACGCAAAGTCTGCTGTGATTCATTGTTGAGTCACTCTTTGTTCTTGTTTTGACATGACCAATTTTGGGGACGTAAACATTGGTGTAAATTACTGTTTACCAATTTGGCAAGCAGTCAGCTCTCACCACAGTAGTTCTCATGTGGAGATTTTGAAGGATCTCTAATATATGTGTTTTGTAACAAAAGAACCATGATAGAAGTGATGATGTTAAGATATGCAGCTTTCTTTTGAATAAAATTTCTATTATAAACTTAGGGTTTTTGTCTTACTTTTGACTCGATAAGTGTTACTGAACCTTTTTATATTCCCTACCGCCCAGTTATTTAGTTAGTCTTTTAAGTTTCTGGAACGGTATACAGTGAATAAATGTGTAATTATGGAATTAAAACATTGGATATCAGTGAAACAGTGTTAAATTATCAGTGTTAACTGGCAGTAAGAATAGTTCCTGTCTGCTTTCGTCTTGATAAAATGTCATTGCACATGTAAAGGAAACGTGACATCCCAGCCTATATTATCTGACAATATTCCAGTTTGTCTTTAGATGAAGCACCTGCTTTAGCCGAACTTATGAGTCAATCGTTTATAATAACTTGAATATTATATATACTCGGATGAAATTCACTTAATATAAGCCTGGGTTGTAGCCTCTCACTGACTTTGTTCTAACTTCTTTCTTTTGTTATTTTTTTTTTGGAACTGCAGTACCACATAATACTCAACAGGTGAAAACTTATTATCTAGAAGACATTTTAGAGTGGACAAATTATTCAACTTCGCAAATGGATGATGCTTTTATGTCTTTTTTACAGGGTAGGTAATGTTATTTGCTGTTCCATGTGAATCATTAGAAGTTTATCTACTTATTACACTTCGAACTTTAAATCATTTTAAGATATGAAACGTCATACCTGTGTTCACGTGTATAATTATTTCTTTTCATTAGTTCGTGTGTAGTAGGAAGGAGTGAGTTCCTGCATGCTAACCACTGACATTTGTTCTGAGTCATATCTGATAAAGTTTGCAGGGGATGACTTGCGTGATTTCTCAGACACCGTCTAAGTAACAGAAATTTTACCAGCAGATTTTAATCCAACACACTTGTTCCCTCCACGATTTATAACCTATTTGTACGAAAACCGATGGGATCCCATGTATAGCATATGTCCAATCAGATGTAAAGGGGATTCGCAAAAACCTCGATCTTTAAGCCACATGTAACTTTATTTATCATCTTGTGAGTGCAGCTATTGTTTATTTATGCTATTAGAGGGTCGATGAATACCTAATTTCACGTGTAGCTTGGTTTAATACTCTACAGTGGAAGTAGGTAAAAGGACACAAGACTCTGTACTATAGAGCGAGGAGAATATGCTCTATAGAGAAACTAGAGGAGGAGTTTGAGTTCCTTGAAAAGATATTGAAGAGAAATGGGTATCCTCAAAAGTTCATCAACAAGTATGGAAGATCTGAAGTCATAAATGTAAAACAAATCACAGTGGGTAAAAAGCCAGTCTACGTTCAGCTTGACTATAAAGGTGAAAACATTGCAGCGATGACCAACAGAAGGCTGAGTACATCACTAGCCATAGCCTATCCTGCAGCCAAGCTCGTTCCCGTCTACCGAAAAATTTGCTCTTTGGTGCAATCAAAAAATCGATAGATATCCTTCTCATGTTACCTCCAACTGTATATACAAATTTACATGTATCTGCGGGAGCAGTTACATTGAAAGAACAGAAAGAAGGGCATATCTACGATTTTCCGAACACGTACCAAAAAGCTTACGTCTAAAAGGAACAAATGCTTTAAACAGTGCCATCACCAGGCATCTTCTCGACACGGGTCATGAGGTGGACGTCGAAAAGTCGTTCAAAATTATCAATAGGCAAAAGAGCTCAATTCTCCTTAAGTTTGCTGAAGCGATTTCTATCAAACGCTTGAAACCTGATATATGTGTTCAGAAAGAAGCAGTTATTAGTCTTTCCTTGCCTTGGTAACTGGATGCCTTTTTTCTCTCATCTGATTACATAATCTTTGCCTTTAACCTCACCCTCCCTTTTATAATCTGTAATTTTGCTTGTCTCTTGTTTCTATGATTTGAGCTCAACTCAGTTCATTGTTACCTAACTTACTAGTCACTATGCATCTAACGCACATCTCATCTTTATTACGTAACTCCTTTACCATCCTCTGCATACATTTATTTTGTTTTAACTTGAACTGCCTGTATGAAAACTATATAAGCGCAATCTTCTGAGCACTGTTTACAAATTGTGTAATTTTCTGTCAACTGACAACATGTAAAATTTGCAAGTATGTTAAAACATGTCTGTACTTAAACCTCATAATTTATTAAGGCTGTAAGCAGCTGATGAGAAGCCAACGAAATAAATGATGGTACCACATTATTCTGCTAAAATTGTAGTTTTTGCTTTGTTCAAATAAAAGCACATAGTTAGAACTATGATAAATGCTGAGTGAGCTCGGTTGAAATTAGTCAGCTGAATGTAGAACTCACTTATCAATGTATCAAACCTCCACCCTGGCAGTGAGTTTCATTGGCTTGTTGCTGTTTATTACAGTATAACCCTCTAGTCCTAGAACGCATAAATAAACACAAATAGGAATCTTTTATACAAGCATAAAACTTGAGTAAGGTGGTATGGTGCAACAAACAATAACTTAAATAAGAAAGAATATAAGGCATCCACAGAAGTTTCACGATATAAGGAGGAGACATCTCAAAACCCTACATAGGATTCTCAACAAAGCAGGAATTAGGGTGGCATATAAACTTACAAACTCACTCAGAGACAAGCTCTGTAGGCTAAAGGACCCTGTCGGTGAACCCAATTAAATAAAATAATATAATTTACAAATAACTTGCAATGGCTGAGTTAAGTCAACTCCATACGTCAATCAAACTAGTAAATCAGAAGTACTGAGATTATCAGAACATAAGAATTTAGCTAACGTCAGGATGATTGATCCCACGAAGGTGAGTAATTTGGAAACACACTCAGCAATCGCACTGTATGCATCGACACGCAACCACAACAGGGTTGGACTGAGTCAACAATCTAAAAAGTAATAATAATATAGGTGGAGAGAGATTGATTACTGAATCCTGCCTGGTTAACCCAATACATGCTCAATAGAAGTGACTGAACACAAATACCAGGGATATGTATCGGAGATATCGTTAACAGTCAAATCACAAATAATGTGAAAATGTATCCAGTTCACATTATAACAAGTTATTTATTTATTTTACTATAAAAACCATCTTATTGTATTTCATTGGTGACACTAATATTATTTCCGAATGTCCATTATCTTATACTGATTTTATTCATATGTCTGATCAGTTTTTACTGATGTATATAAAAAAGTAAGAAAGTCGTGAGATGGACTTGATATGGTTATGATTGACAATAAATCGTGCTCGAAAGGTGGTCATCAGTTATTATTACTGTACAACACTGGTTTTATCAAAACAAATGGAGATCCACTGGAGCAATGCACTTCTGGCCAGCGTTTAGTGTGATGCTGGCATTCATAGACAGCGGACACTGCAACTACAGGGAGTCTAGATAAGCGAGCATATAGCTTGTTATTGAACTCAGAAATGAAGAATTAGTCAAAAATGCTTCTTTTAAATAATGTATGCAGGCCTCTGAGGTGAAGGATACGTTGATGGTGAAGCTTCCAAAGGTTCAAACCACATAAATTAACTAAAAGTTAATAAACGTAATAATAAGCTTAGAGTTAATAGATATGAGACAAAACGGTCTGTGTATGGGAATAACAGTAAAAGTATATGTTATGTACTAGTTTTCCCCGTCGCCAAATTGTTATGTACTCGTCGCTAAATTATTGTTATGGGCTGGTCGAGAAACTAATAGTCCTGACGCGAGAAGGCGGAAATCAGAAGACCACTAGGTTTGCGATGATACTTCTATTGTCCAAACACAAGGAGACGAAAATAATGGTCTCACACCAAAGTGGTAAGTAAGTCAAGTAGTTGTAAAGTAAGTGGTTCACACAAATTGTAAATGCGAATATATATATAAATAATTCAGACAAGCGTGGGAAAAATCATTAGACAGTCTTAACATGTATGGCTAATTATAATGGAGTGTCGATCCAATTATACATAGCGAATATAGCAGACATGCCAACAAACATATATGGATATATGTCACCAAGCAACGGACTGTCAACAAACACTCATATTATATATAATATAATATAAGGAGAATACACATTATTAAAGGAGACAAGTCCATACAAGTGAAGTGGTCACAGACTAACCGAGCAAACAGAAAGAGAGACCAACATGCACACACACACATAAATATATATATGTGGATACATATCAGTATATTAGTAAATAACTCAATGATAAAATTTTTTTTATTGGCTGGAAAGTAATCACAACAATTTGCTGAAATAAGGTCAAGTCTTTCTCTAAATTATTGATTAATAATCTATATGAGAAGTGAAACTCCATCTGAAAGTTCAAACCAAAGAATAGTTATTTTAAAAGACCACTCTTACAGCCTGCTACAGAAAGTCAGCAGGGGGATGTCAAAAGCTAGATCTCCATGGGTTTCACTGGAGAGAACAGGTCTATACGTCATTTGTTCATTTCGGACACTGAATACAATGTGTACTCTTAGTTCAGTATCAATCTTTCTGAATTCCTTGAAATAAACTTTTCATGTGATAAGTGCTGGGTATTTTAATTTTTAATTCAACTCCTGTAAGGGAATTCTCTTCATCATGAAAGTTTGTATTTTAAAAAGGCAATTCTCAACTCATTATCCGAACTTCATTCCTACACTGTCCAAATATTTAAATTACGGAAAGATAAAAGCACTTCAGATAATTCAGATAATCAGTTTATAGTGTTTGGTAGCTATCATATAACTAATTCAGAATAGACTAATAAAATTGGCTACACCAGCTTCTTGTTATCCCTAGTGAATCGCTGTTTTACAACATTAGATAAACAGTAAGATGCGTGGATGTTTCAGCCGAGTATTTCACTTAGTTATTTGCTTGTTGTCAAAATATATTTTTTCAAATATGTTTGTTTCAAAATTATTACAATAATATCTTAATATTATTGCTTATTTTTTTTAGATACTTCTAAATGCCAGAATATGTATTTCTGGCTTAAAGGCAACGAACCCACTAACTACAATTCAAGAGAATACAATACGGATATATTTCGAGAAAATAATGCGAATGATATGGTTAAGGATGGAATATTATTCGAAACTGCTCACTTTAACGTCATAAAGGTATCTAACAAAATTTCTAAAATATTCTACATTAAGGCTGTAGATTATGTTTATGAGGTGTACTTTAATAACTTTCACTTTTTAACTCCTAATTTAATGTATTTTATCTGACTGAGAACTATTTCTGACAGTTCAGCTTCAGGTTCATTTTCATAATTTTCACTGGTATTTACAGGCCTAAGAAGTAATCATTGATGATACTGGGAGTACTGGAATGCTGTCCCAGTTTTGGACTCATCAGAAGTATGTACACATCACGGTTTGAACCCAGGACCTTCTGGTTACATGCCGAGCTTGTAGACCACTCAGCCACTGGGACTTGATCTAGTGTCCAACACATGGATTCTAAGCCCTACCAACTCATGACTTTAGCGCGACCGACTACCAGCCAATGTGATCGGAGAGTATACGTCCATATTCCCGGCCGGATTGATACCACTGGTCACGACTTATCACTAGAAAGAGCTCCAGGCAACGTTTTCCTGTAGAGAGTTACTAGTTTGCGTCACCCTATAACTAATTTTTTATTCTCTGAAAAAAATCTACCCACTTCATATTTAGTTATTATTGTAATGAAAAGAGTATCCTTCGTCCAGTTGAACTTATAATTCACACCCTTAAACACTGTTAATAAGCTGAACAGCTGCCTGAAAAATAGAAAAAGCTAACTTATTGCAGCCAATGAAAGTAATATGCGGCAAAACGAACAAACTGATCAACTTGGAATCTTGCATTCAAGTTCCTTTAGTGAAATTTTTAAACTTTATACAACCTGTCACTGGACTGCCACCTATAACGCGCCCAACATTACCAACAACGGAAGCAGATCTACCAGTAAACATCGACCCCCCAACGAAATCAGAAGTCCTGATTGGGAAAGCACCAGGACCAGATGGAATCCCAGCAGAAGCTTTGAAAATAGACCCAGAGACAACAGTGGACTTGATGACGCCACTACTGGAGAAGGTGTGAAAAGAGGGCAAAGTACCCGAGGATTGGAAGAACGGATACTTATTCAAACTTCCAAAGAAAGGAGACTTAAGTCAATGTAAAAAATGGCGCGGAATTATGCTTCTGTCCATCTCAAGGAAGATACTAAGTCGCATCATCCTGGAGAGAATCAAACAAGCCAACCTGGATGAAAAACTTCGTCCGGAACAGGCCGGATTCAGGAGAAACAAATCATGTATTGATCAAATCGCCACTCTACGGATGATCATTGAACAAAGCTTGGAATGGCAGTCACCTCTCTATCTCAACTTCATCGACTTTGAGAAGGCCTTCGACAGCGTCGATCGAGAGGTCATTTGGCAACTACTTCGCTACTACGGGGTCCCATCGACAGTTATACATCTCATCCAACAGTCGTACGACAATGCTGCATGCCAAGTAATCCACAACGGGAAACTTACGGAAGCCTTCGAAGTGAGGACGGGAGTGCGACAAGGCTGTCTACTATCACCAATGATCTTCCTGATTGCAGTAGATTGGATAATGCGACAGACAACGGCAACCAACGAGGGAACAGGCATAAAATGGACTCACACAGGAGACTTGGAGGATCTGGATTTCGCCGATGATATATGTCTGATTTCCCACAAACTGGACGATATGCAAGTGAAAAGTGACAAGTTGTCAGAAGAAGCATCCAGAGAAGATAGGACTTCAAGTGAACATAGATAAAACAGAGGTGATGAAGATTCCTAGCCAACATCAACAGCAACAACAACAACAACAGACAACAATCAGCATAAGTGGGAAGAACCTGAAAGAAACAGCCTCCTTCACCTACCTGGGAAGCATCGTCTCAACTACAGGCGGAACTGACGAGGATATCAAAGCCAGAATCAGAAAAGCAAGACAAGCTTTCATCACTCTCAAGTCTCTGTGGAGGTCAACAGCACTCAGCATCAAAAATAAGATCCGGATTTTCAACTCCAATGTGAAGTTAGTGCTACTATAGAGAACAGAGACTTGCACTGCGCGTCATAAAGAGCATCTCAAACAAACTACAGACCTTCATTAACGACTGTCTTCGCTCAATACTCAAGATCAGATGGCCAGAAAAGACCAGCAAGAGAGATCTCTGGGAGCGAACCAACAGAGCAGGAACCGATTGTAAAACAAATAAGCAGGAAGAAATGGAGATGGATTGGCCATACTCTGAGGAAACCATCAAGGGACATCACTAGACAAGCCTTCCAGTGGAACCCGAAAGGGAAGCGGCGAGTTGGTCGTCAGTGCAAGGGTGACTTGCAGGAGGTCATGTGAAGAGTAGATGAAAGCATGTGAGCAGACTTGGAGACAGGTGAAAACTCTAGCAGAAAACCGAAATCAATGGAGACGCGCGGCTGAAGCCCTATGTTCCTCTAGGAATTAAAGTAAATAATGATATACAATCTGTCACAACTTTTATCTTTACCAAAAGTTAAGAAAGCAGTTCCATATATCTTTAATAATCTCAAGTTATTCAAGTTCCAATATTTTTAAAGGTAACAGTGAGATGTTATTATGGTCATGAACAAGACCTTTTGGCTAAAAGCGCCTCTAAAAATCAGCTGTAAGTTTTACTTGACTGTTAATTAAGGAAATAAAAATTTCACGAGAATTCATTAATTTGCTAAATGTAGATATTTACAGGAAATTTCTATTTCCATACTCTAGAAGCCACCGGTAGTCTTTAATGATCAAATGAAAGTTTATTTGGAATCTGATCAGTTGTTCAATAAGGTGAAAGACCGTGAAGATATTGATTCTGCAAGTAATCCAAAAAGACATGCAAACAACTTACTATGGACTATATGGCGAAGCACTGTCCACCATCCCAGTGGTCTCAAACCGAATAAATGTCAAAATAAGGTTGTTTTTTACTGTTCTGTTTGTTTAACTCCATTATTCACAGTGATATAGTTTCAGCGTTTGTAGCTTATTTTATGGCATTACTAAGGAATCAATTCCAAGTACAGGAAACCATGGCGCTTGGCATTCGGTTAGCGAAAGTTATCCAGTCCCATTAAATGAGTTTCTGAAAAAATAAACCTTGAACGTTATAAAACGTGCTGTCAAAGGACAGCTTTCAGTTTTTATAAATTATTAGCTACAAGGTTTTTATTATTGCCAATAGCGAAAAGCACTGATTGGACAGATAATATTAGGTAGCTAAGCAGTTTTATTTCTTAAGGTACTTTTTTAATCTAAAAGTCTGATTATTGAACAAGGAACATTCTTTCCGAATCAATAGTATCGATAGGTGATTATGTTTCAAAAGCATCAGTAAGAGGGAGATAATATGCATTACTGTAACACAAAACTGACGGTATATCACATAACATAGAATTTATGAATTCATAGATTCGACAGCATGTGAGGGTAGAAATAGCAGCTGATTTGAACAGTTTAATTTGCGCTCAGACCCCTCATGTTTGAGTGTTTGGAGTGTTCAGTGTCTAGAGGCCTTTGATAGCTTATTCAACAACCGATAGATGATAGAAAAAGACTCTTCAATGTTAGCTTTGTGGTCTGTTTGGATGAGGTGATCTAATAGAGAACTGTTGACGGTTTTAACAGCACCTTTGCATAACCACTCTGGCAGGTTTTCATGAGCACAAAAAATCCACTTCCTGGAGCAGCAGCCAATACAACTGGCTCAACAGGAGCAGTTGCATTGAAAGAAACAATAAGAAGTGACTGATCTGGATATTTCCTTTTTTTTGTTTTCGGAATAACAACCGGTTATTTTGAAAACGTAGACTAAATCTATTTTCTCAACTTGTTGGTTATTATCTCACTTGGTGTATGGTTTTTGAATTATAGTCGTATATATACAAGATTCTTGATAACAGATACACAATCCTTTTCTACCCTCTTGACCATGTGATGAAACAACTGTTCAGGGCAGCTGTTTTCGGTTAACATGTTGAACACAACTTTGAGTTCGTCTTCAATCGGGTCTTCTAAACGGATAGCTCTAATCCTATAGCTGAGGGTCTTTATGAAAATTTTTATACTGAAGAGTAAGGAAGCTGTGAAAATCTGCATATTGAGTGTTTCGAGTACTTTTCTTATGCGAATTCCTTTTTATGTCACCGTCTGGTCTTTTTGTCAGTAGGACGTCTAAAATGACAATTCTGTTCTGGAATTCTCCACACATAAATTTAATAGCCAAATGTACTTTATTGAATTGAGGTATTAATGCCTTTCTGTCCCAGTCGTTTCCAATGTGCATAATGTCTTCTTTCTTGAATATAAAAAAGTTGAACAGAACCACCTGATGCACTTAAGCCTGTTTAGTTAGTGATCACATCTATCCATTTCGAAAGCTTGTAGCTTCATTTACACTTTCCGTTGAACAAATTTATTTTTCAATTCTAGCAGTCTAAGTAGAAATCGCTTTAATGGCTTGTGTGTTGTATTCATTGTATACATGTATTGTACTGCCATAGGTAATTTTACATGAACTAGATTGTAAGAATTTGATTGGTATCGAGGTAGACTTCATCACCAACCGATATCATAGGATGGCAGTCAGCAGTGGACAGCTGTTTCGTCCTAACTCTCGATTTCTCAGGACGGCATGCCTATAACCCCACTAGGGATCGAAACCTGTAACATTCAGACTACGAAGCCAGCCTATTGGCTATCCATCCACTAGGTTGGAGTGCGATGACGCATGGATTCTAACTTCTGTCAGTTTTACATATATGTAATAGATATTCCTTTCGTGTCACTAAAACTTTGAGTGCAATTTTAGAGTACTAATTGATTATTTTTATCACAATGCTGTTTTCATTTTTCAGGAAAATGATGAATCAGAAATTAATGGTCACTTACACTCTTGTCTGACAAACTTATTTCAGTGTATTTTAGCTAGCTGGATATCGGTTGATTATGAACATTCTAATTCAGGTAGTATTGTTACTACAGGTTATACCAATTATTTCATGTATATTATTCTCATTTGTTATAATATATTATTATACCCTTGGATTCAGAGTAAAATATAGCGCTTCAACAGCATGCCTGCATTTCTTCCTGTTCTCCGAAGTTCTCTTCATCTGATCACACAGGTGACCACTAGCTTTCATTGCCCCCTGACACAATCTCCCCCATGTCACCACCAGACACCTAACCTGTTGTTTCCCACTCGGGTTTACACTTGATTGATGGTATAGCCGTCTATTCAGTATGTGTCTGATTCATCTCCACTTTCTTTGTCATATGTTTTGAGCGATAGGTTTCTCATTGGTTCATCCACAGAGTTTTTTTATTGCCACTCCCTTCTGGCTGCCCATAAGACCTTCACTTTGGAGCCAGAGAAGGCAGCAGCTGTTGATGATAGTCTGCAGCAGGCTGTTGGAAATGCTTTTCATGACGCGCCAAGTCTTTGGACTATACAGAGAAAGTGACTAACTTAACATTTGCGTTGAAAATCTGAATCTTGTTCCTGATACTGGGTGCAGCGGATACGCACACTGTTTTAAGAGTGATGAAAGTCTCTCTTGCTTTCCCGATCCTGCATTTGACATTCTCATCCATTCCACGTGTAGTTGAAGCTTATTGTTACAATAAGTTTAGGCTATTTTCTTCTCTTGCTACCATTTATCCTCCCTTCAGTGTGATATCTGGTTACGCGTTAATTACAAACGATGTTGTACCTTTTGACCTTTTGAAAATTTTTTGTGTATTTTACTTTTGTACTTAAACAAAGCTACACAAATTTATCTTATGTTATAAGAATATTTCCTCCGGAAAATTACAATACAAATACCCATTTACAGAAGTATAATATGAAAGTATGTCGAGTGGCTTGCTTAAATCACTGGGCTACCTAAACTCCTTATCTATCAAAATGCATCGTCTTTACTCCGTTTCAAATCTATATTCACGTGCAGTTCTAAATAAGTTTCTACCTACAACTAGAAAATTTTCGAAGAAAATGCAGGACGAAGATTGTCGAGTAGTGCTGTAGCAAACTTCGGGTGGGATATTATTGTTTTAGATGATACATCGTCGATTACTAAATGAGTAAATGCTGGAGATTCTGTATTCTGTATAGACGCAACATACAGAGTAAAGCCGTGATTATTATTATTATTATTATTATTATTAGAGAGATCAGTGTTTGAAAGTAAACCAATAACAAAAACTTCTGCTACTTCCCGGCCAGAAACACCAGAGAAATGAGAGTTTTATGTAACTAAGTAAATGTAACACACAAATTGAAAAGCGCATCAAGGTCAACAATCGGCATAAATGGGAGAAATCTGAAAGAAGCAACCTCCTTCACCTACCTAACTGGGAAGCATCGTTTCAAATACAGGTGGAACTGATGAGGATATCAAAGCGAGGATCGGGGAAGCAAAACAGGCTTTCATTACTCTCAAATCTGTGTGAAGATCAGCAGCACTCAGCATCAAAAATAAGATCCGGATTTTCAACTCCAGTGTGAAGTCAATGCTACTATACGGATCAGAGACCTGGTGCTGAGTCACAAAGGGCACTTCAAGCAAGCTATAAACCTTAATCAACAGCTGTATTTGCTCATTTCTCAATATCAAATGGCCAGAAAAGATCAGCAATAGTGAGGGATTTCTGGGAGCGAAACAACCCAGAAGGAATCGATTGTGCAACAAATTTTCATGAAGAAATGGAACTGGATTGTCCATACTCCGAGAAAACAAACAATCAAATGACATCGCACGCCAGACTCTCGAATGGCATCTTAATGGGAAGCGGCGAGTTCGTCATTAGTGCGGGGTAGACATGGAGGAAGTGATTCGAAGAGGAGATGAAAGCATGTGGGCAGACGTGAAACTAGTTGAAAACGTTGGCAGAGAACCGAACGATGTGGAGATGTGCTACTGAAGCCCTAGGTTCCTCTCGGAATAAAGGATACAATAATAATTATGAATTTCGCTTTGAAATCTATTCAGTAGTAACCGCCTAAGATAAGATGTCAGATTGATGTTGAAATAAGCACTAAGTTAACCTTTTACATTGAAATGGGAGCATAAAATATGTTCGATATTGTCAATGGTTGCAATAACTAGGGTTTACCTTCTCAGTATTTATAGCATGTACCGAAATTCTTTTCTAATATGAAAGAATCAGAGGTTTTTTTTCAAGTTGAAAAACCCACTGAAGACCAAGGAGTAGGGGGCAGCTGTTTTGTCATGATTGGTGGTCAGAGCTCACACCAATTAAAGCCGTATAAACCTGAATAAATAATAAGTAAAATAGACTACGGAACATTGACCAGTACTCATGATGTACCCTTCTGTTAGTAGATGGATACGTGCTACGGAACAGTCCTAAATTTGTAGGAAGTAGCTGTCATTTCCTGTATGTTTTCAGTGGTTCCCAAACTAACTGCTGTCAATTCATTATGTAACTTAATAAAGTTGGTCATTTGGTAATTGATTCACTCACATTGAATCTAAGTTAAATAGTGTATTCCACGATGGGTAGACAAAAGTTCAATGCAGACCAGTGCAAGGAGTTTTTGAACTTATTTACAATCAAGTTAATTATCAAACCGTATACTGTGGTGTCGCCACTTTTATTTTTGTAACACACTGGGTTGAGTAGGGACGCCTAGCTGGATACAGACGCTAGCCTACTCCATCATCATTTTCCTGCGTGTTCTATTTAAGCGAGAACACACAATAAAGTCAGCAGAAAAGTATATTTCAGTACCTGTCACAGTACCTTTAGATAAGGAAACAATGATATATGTAAATATGCACGGCCAGTGGTGTATGAGTGGTAGATGATCACCTTAAAAGTATGATCCATTGTAATGCAGTTGCCATTCTGCATACTTCTTTTTCTTCTTTTCGATAAACAGTCTGTAAACAATCGAAGAATCTTCAGAAGAATGGTTACTGAACAAAGAATCCTGTTTTCAATAATTTCATCATCAGGTTCTGCAGTTGTATATTCATAAGAAAAGGCACAAACAGCGAAGAAAATTTTCTTTTCGACGATTCATTTTCATGAGCTGTACAATCGTAATTATAACTAGACACATTAGTTTTTGACCAATCAGATACTGGTAAACTTTGTCCTTGAAAATTCTGCTACATAGTGTGAGGTGTAAGAAGGGATGACTAATTGTAAGTTAGAAAGGAGACAGAAGTTGGCATGACCTAATAAGTGTGAGATAATGACTAATCAATAAGCTAGTGTAGAGTGGACAGTTGTATATTCATTATAGTGGATAAACGAATTAGTTTTATGAACAACATTAATGTTGTTTAAATAACATCGAATCAATAATATCAATAGATTACAGTTCAATAGCATCAACGTGACAATAAACTGAATGTCAGAAAAATTAGGAAAGATAATATTACAAATTCATGAATTTGTAGTGTCCACTGAAGGCAAGCCAGGGGTTTGTAGTGGCTGGAATCACCTCTTTTGTACACAAAGCACTGGTTGTTTCACGCGAATCGCGATAGGCTCTGCTGTTTTGAACATGCGGTACCTCGATGTTTCTGGTAATTGATTCAGTACCCGGTAGATGATAGAGAAGGATTCTTCCGGGCTGGCTTCGTGGCCGGTTTGGACCAGGCGGTCTAATATCGAACTGTGGTTAGTTTTTAACTACACCTTTACTTAGCCATACTTAGAGATTTTCTAGAGCGCGAAAATCTCAATCCAAGAATCCTCAAATATTTGTGAAGTGATCATAAAACGTATTGTGTACCAACGAAACCCTAAAGCCAACATATTTATCTTATTTTATTTTAGCTACCATGATAGTTTTAGAGATTTTTATAAACTTATAAAAGAAAAGCTCCTGCTATTAATGTATTTATTTTTTTTAAATTTTACACTTGAAGGTCTGACTCCACTCATGGTTTGTTCTGCTGCTGGATTAATGGATGCTGTTGACCGTCTGTTAGGCCTTGGAGCGAATCCATTTACGCGTCTAGCTATGCCCTACGAAGTGTTAATCTCACAAACCCGTAATAACTGTCAAAAAGATTTTGAGCTTTTAGGTCCACAACATCGCAAAGTTACAATTACAAATGAAGTCTATACTATTGTCGGAGTTAATGCATACGATTTGGCACGTATATTTGGTCATGATGAGGTGGCAGGATTACTGAGAACACATATGTGAGTATTATAAACTCATCTTCTTTATTATACTCTATTTCACTTTGATATATTTATTCTTTTACGGATATTCTGTACTGTAGTTGTAATATTGGCTTAATTTTACCAAGCGTATGCACACCTGGAAAACTTATCAAAACCAAATACTAAATGTACTCAAAATGATAACTGCTATCTCAATGAGGTGATTGTACCGGGTTATCACAGTGAATAGCAAATTGAAAATAGTAGTCATTCTTGGCTAACAACACCCCAGACACCAGAAGAAAAGTTTTCCCACTTGGCAACAGCAAATGCCAAATCAATAACAGACACATATAGATTACTTCGCAATAATTTGCTGATTGAGTGAATCGATGAAAGCTTACTACTCTTTCTTCTGAAATATCTGCATGGACTTCAACGATGCATTGGTCGCTAGAGGTCTATGCCGATGAATAAAATGACGTAAAACGTGAACTTTTGCGAAGCCACAGTGAACTGATTGCTGATTAAACTCCCAGCGGTTACATCAGGCTATTCAATTCGCATTGCGTTAAAGACAAAGCGATATCCTGCTTCTGTATTACACAGTGGTTCATTCCCACAAATTGGAAGATATGCAAGCGATAAGCAACAAGTTGTCAGAAGAAGCATCAAAGATAGGACTTCAGGTAAACATAGATAAAACAGAGGTGATGAAGATTCCTGGCCAACAGCAACAGCAACAAACAACAATCAGCATAAATGGGAGGAACCTGAAAGAAGCAACCTCATTTGCCTACCTACCTGGGAAGCATCGTTTTAACTACAGTTGGAATTGACGAGGATATCAAAGCCAGAATCAGAAAAGCAAGACAAGCTTTCATCACTCTCAAGTCTCTGTGGAGGTCAACAGCACTCAGCATCAAAAATAAGATCCGGATTTTCAACTCCAATGTAAAGTCAGTGCTACTATAAAGAACAGAGACTTGCACTGCGCGTCATAAAGAGCACCTCAAACAAACCACAGACCTTCATCTACAGCTGCATTCGCTCAATACTTCACTGAAGATCAGATGGCCAGAAAAGATCAGCAGCAGTGATCTCTGGCAATGAGAGAATCAACGAGGAACCGATTGTGAAACAAATAAGCAGGAAGAAATGGAGATGGATTGGCCATACTCTGAGGAAACCATCAAGTGACATCACTAGACGAATGGAACCTGAAAAGGTAGCGGCGAGTTTGTCGTCAGTGCGAGGATGACTTGGAGGTCATGTGAGTAGGAGATGAAAGCATGTTGGCAGACTTGGAGCAGGGTGAAAATGTTGGCAGAAAACCGAACCCAATGGAGACGCACGGCTGAAGCCCTATGTTCCTCTAGGAATTAAAGGAAATAATAATGATAGTGGTTCATTCTGTTATTTTTATATCAGCATACACTTTGCCGGAAATCATTTGTACTGTCTCTAAATGCTGTGTTTTATTACTGTTGTAGTAAAATGTCAACATTCTGCTTCTTTAAAGTGCTTTTTTCACTTGAACTGAGTTAATTATTATTTTTTAATGTCGATTGTAATTTTGTTGTTGACTGACTGACTCGAAATGTTCGGCCTCTCTTGACATATAAGCTCTATTTGTTGATGCTTCGATGATGTTTGTTGATAAACATGCAGTAATTTGGTAGATGCTGACTAGGAGTAGGACCAAGGATGCTTATTTTTTCTTATTTGGGACTTATTAGCTGAATGTACTTGCAATCTTCTTGTCAACACAGGCCAAACATTTCGATCCAACCAACCAACAGGAAAACCAAAATTGCCTAAAAAACAATCAGCAACCGATGCTCGTTGCAGAACAGACGGCTTTCGTGGGCCGATTTGCTTAGCAGATAACGCTTTACCGTTTAACACGAACAGTACTAGGTTCTAGTCTAACTGGGAACAACGTCACTCACTGGAGAATGCTGGTACATCCAAGTGACGAGTCCTAAATAGGACGAAGTGTGCATCCTAGACTCTACTAATAACCGGAATTCACGAGATCACTTCATGAGTTAATAAGTGTATAAAATTAACAATTTAACTGCTAAACTTCATCATGCCATCAAAGTATTGTGATCGTTTTATGAGATAGTTTTGTATAATTATATTTCATTTTCTAGGGTTTCTCAAAGTCTTCGACATGAACCAGAAAACTGGGAAGCTATACTTTTAAGATACGGTTCTTGGTTTCAAAGTTCATTGAGCAGTTCACAATTCGATAATTGCACTTTAAATGAAAATCAAATCACCCTAACTCATTCACAAAAAGCCTCAACAGAAAAAAGAAAAAGTATAAATCAACAAAATCTATACAACAAGCTACTCTTATCTTATCAGTTAGCTAGAAATTGTACAGAACCTGAGACAACAGTTGATTATGATCTGTTGACTATGCTCATTGTGAAAATTGATAGTTCTTTGGCAGAAGGTAAGGTAGACTGTATGTGTTGCATTACAGTTAGTTATCACTGTAGATTAAAACATCTCACTTTTACATCCTAAGTTCTCATGTATTATTATGAGTGGTTGATCTTATCAAGCTAAGCAATTAGTCTCAGCACTTTATCTTTAAGTATATTTTGGTATTTCCACAATGTGCGTCGTGGCACAGTGTTTAGGACTCGCGCCGACCATGTACATGGTCCGGAGTTCTATCCCCTGCCAACGCACACCTGATATCTATGGTCGGCCTACAAAATTTGGGCTACCAATATCATATGCTGAAAATTCCATACCTGTACCAAAAAATACGTTGTGGAATGAAGCTGTAATCAAAAATAAAAAAATAAATACTCAAACTATTCCTTATAAGTTTACTCTTAGTTTCTGAATACAATTCTGGTATATGTTCTTCGAGTCTGATGTATGTGTCTTGGTGTATCCCTTTTATGCTAACTTTGTGCTCTGTATCTGTAGTTCAGTATTAAACTTGTTTGACCTGAAAGTTGCTATTACCAGAAGTGTATACGGCAAGATATTTGAAAATTTGAAAGACATAAGAAAGAAGGAATAGTATGTTGGGTTTCCGAGCAAATGTACTAAGAGATTACCAAGTCAAAGCCGCTATATCCACTCATAATAAACATAATGTAAGGCCAAATACAATAATATCATGAATACCTGCATGAATGTTTCAAAATACCATCTTTGCAGTGAAAATAATCATCTTTGATTTGATGAAAATCACTTTGGTAATTATTAGCAGTGAGTTGTACTCACAGTGTCATGCAGTAAGTAGCAGTGAATCACTGTACGTTTATTAGAATAAACGAAACACCACAAGATATCTTTCATTTGTTCAAACCTGTTAATTTGTTCTCACCCGTTTATGTGATTGTGATATACAAAGTCGAAATACTAAAGGTTAAACTAGTAGAGCAGGTGTAGTGAGATTATCAGAACATAAAAATTTACCTAAGGTTAGAATGTTTGATCCTACGAAGAAAAGTAAATTAGAAAAAAATCTCAGCAATATCACTGCATGCATCAAAACACAACCACACAACAGGGTGGGACTGAGTCAAAATTCTAAAAAGTAATATAAGTAGATGGAGAGAGAGAAACTGATTACTGAATCCTAGTTCGTTGAATATTCTACACCCAATACATGCAACAGAAATGACTCAACTGAAATACCATAGATATGTATGGGAGATATTATTACCAGTCAAATCACCGGAGGATAATAAATAATGTTAAATTGTATTCAATTCACATTATCACATTCTGGAAAGTTATTTATTTTTTTAACTATGAAAACGTGGTATTTCCCATCTTATTGTTTTTATTATATTATTTCCGAATGTACATTATCTAATATTGAGTTTATTTGCGTATCTAATCAATTTTTGCTGATCTATATAAAAGAAGCAAGAAAGTTGTATGAACATCCTGATATAATTATGAGCAGCCATAAGTTGTGCTGGAATCGTTTCATTAGTAAATATTACTGTATAACACTGTGAGACCTTATCAAAATAAATTTTATCCATGATGGAGTTATACTCCACCACAGTGCTCAAGTTTTATCCTTATATTAAAGGCAGTGACACTATAGAATGGTTCATAGGGAGTACAGTTTCAACCGTTTTAAAATTTAAGACGTACCTGTGTTAAATGCCAAACCTTATCAAAGCTGATTTTGAAGTTTTCTATTATAGACAACGATAAATCTACAAAGTTGTTTTATAAATAAAACCGTAAGTACAATCCGTATCATAAATTAAAATAAACATGCAGCATAATTAGCTGAAATTTTCACTCTCTTGTGGTGTAAAATATTGCTATCTAGCATTAATTAAGGCAAAAGACGCATATGCTACACTCTGACCGAGCAGCTACACATTGTCTTAGGTATGAGATTTCAATATTCGATTGTACTGCAGTGTAAGGCTGATTTCTATGATGGCATCAGTAACTATTGAATTCGTAGTTTGGACTTGTTTCTGAACCTTGTTAACTATGATACCTAATTACGAGGTTCATCCCACTCTCTGGTAAGCTGGCTAACCACTGAATCTAATATCTCGATCACTTTGAATACTATGCCAATTTTACACACCAGCCTTATCTGTAAACTTACTCATGTAAATGTCAGATAATGAATTCACCCAATGGAAAGTATTTTTATGAGAGAGATCTGTTAGTTAACTGTTCAACAACATACTGAATTTCATAATAATTTTTTTCTTTTTTAGGCACAATATTGGTCTTTTTGCCATCCTACGAAGAGATCATAACATTACGAGAAAGATTACTAAGCTCTGAGATTTCGCCGTGGAAATCATCAAAGTATGCAGTAAATTTTATCTGCACTCTCTTTTTCTGATAAGTTTTACTTGCGAGAATATCACCAAAATATTAACTTTCCTGCATTATCATTTAGTTGGATTGAAGTATTGTGGATTTTTTAGTGCACAGGAATAGCTCTAATCATGTAGGGATATTTAGGCGCCTTCTTACTTCGAAATTTCATTTTTTTATCTCTAATGAATGCATTTGCGTCGGTGGCACAGCGGTTAGGACGCTCGCCGAACATGCATGTGGTCCGGGGTTCGATCCCCGTCCGAAGCACTCCTTTACATCTCTGAGCCAATATTTTAAAAAATCTGGTGAAGAGGAAAGGTTGATCATGAGGCTAGCAACCCTATCCTGTAAAATTAAACACTGCTACAGAAATTTCAAGCCACTAGTTTGAAGCCTTATGTTCCACTGGGAACGTGAAGGAAAAATTATTTTTTTATTTTAATGAATGCATTTAAAATATGAAGACGGTAAGTATTATATCCTCAGTGGGTTCATTGGTTGACTTCAAGAAACAAGTTTTAGAACAGTAGATGAATACAGCAATGGAAACCTTCAATTTGATCTCAAGTTCCAAATCTACTGAACCACTGTAGAAATACAATGGAAATGTTTTCTCCAAGATGTTTAGCTTTATTAGTTGATTGTACAGACGGTGGATTTTAAGTGTTTTCGAGTAAACACTTCATAAAATTCCTCGCAGTAGCCAACTTGAACAAAACAAGAACAGCCAATGTACCAGGATAATATGAGCTCTTCCTCTATTATTTCACAGTTTTTTTGTCAGCTGGCCACAATATAATAAAATAAAAGATACAGAAAAGGTTTGAATACAGTTTTTTTCCCGATGAAAAGGAGTAACTGATAGGAACTAAGAGTGACATATGTCAAGAATGATGTAAGTAGGTATACTATTAAGATTTAAAAGAACTCATTATTTTAGCTGAACACTAGTTAGTAACTAGTGTCATGAGTCTAGTTTTTCTTTGGTACAGACTGAATTCTATCAGACAAGTTTGCTCACTATTACAGTACCCTGTGATTTTTGTTATAAGATGGCTGGAGGTAATTAGCAAGAAGCCTTCGAACCAGTTTTCATGCTTTTTAGTAGTCACTAACCAGTAGGGTGTATTTATAACCTGAGAGGAGACATGAGTTCATTCATGGCTGCAGATATGCTTTGCAGGCTGATGTGTGCCAACAAGTACGAAACCCAGATGCAAAGCGTTTTTTCAATTTCCTCCCACCATCTAATAAGAGCGATTCGCGATTGACTATTTTTAGGATAATCAGACCCCTACACTTTTCGCGGAGAAACAAAGTTTAACTAGAAACAATATAACAATATAACAGGTTACATAACTACAGAAATTATGTTTTTATAAAACAACAAAGATTGTGTAGAGTGAGCAATGTTCAGACAAAATAATGAAATTTTGTAAACAGAATAGGAAATATAAAAGAGCACCTGACGTAATAGGTGAATTCGAAACACTTTATTACTTTATTTGATTAACAAACATTAATCCAATCCCTAGTTCCAGTCAATCAGTGTAGATCCACTCTGAAAGTATAATGCTACTAACAATTTGCATATTTCAGTAGTCACTAAAAATGCAAATAAATAAATTAAATAAGCCTAATCATACTCTCTTGAAATGAAATTTTGATCCTATGAATTCACCTTATGTCAGTTACGTCAGCTTTCTGTTTTTAATCTGTACCTTTTTAGAAGACCATTAATATTGATTCTGCACTCTAGAATGCTTGTTGCTGATTTAAAAACAATATATGCTCGGTCTAAGAGTTCCGTTCGTAGACTAGTAAGTTCATTATGTGTTGAAACAATATTAATTTTATATTACAAGCTACACTATGATAATCACGATGTGGGATAAATCACTATAGAATCTCTTATAAACTTCATTTGCTTACTTTCTTATGACTTACAGGATAAGAAAAATGAAATCAAAAAAACTTATACCACAGGCTAAGACAACTACTCATTGTATGTGTACGCTTACTACTTTAAAATTAGTTCAGCCAACAACTGTGCAAGCTTTTCATAAGATGCCGTTTGGAAATGGATGTAATTGAATCCCGTTTATTTTCAAGGGTATCTTTCTTCATTTCAATAATTTCTCTTCAGGTTCTTACAATTATAAAACATATATGTTGTCGTTACAATAAAGGCCAGTTGTCCGGCGGATAAATTTTTAACGTAGAATAACAGATTAGTTATGGGGTATCAAAATAAATAGTCATATTTGTATGACAAACTTGCTAGGCTGAAATCGATTAGAAAATATTTCTGTGAAATGGGAGACAATGGTGGTGATTAATCATAATAGAATTGTAGAGTGTGGGGTAGGAAAATTGACAAGTCAGTTCAAGGTTATAAAAGGCGTCAGGTGAGTGGCTAGTACAAAGTGGTCTGTCTTAAACAGGAGATAGTAAGACTGCAATGAGAGATACATAATGAAATAACTAATATGTGAAATGAGACAGTGGAGGCATATATTCAGAAAAGAGATAATATCACTAATATTAAGTCCGGATAGTATAAATGAAGAATTCGATAGTATTGAGGTAATGTTTGCATGAGGGGCATAAATTATGACGAATAATAATAATAATAACTGTAATAATAATTTTAATAATAAGCAAAGAAAAAAACAAAACTAATCTGTTATTCTACGTTAAAAATTTATCCGCCGCACAACTGGCCTTTATTGTAATGACCACAAATATTATATTTTATAATTGTAAGAACCTGAAGTGGAGAAATTATTGAAAAGAGAATATTCTTGGTTCAGATTAACTTTTAATTCAGAATATGGCAATATTTCAGACTATCAAATCTTTCTTCAGCTTAGATACTATAATAAGACAACTTTCTTCCCGACGAAGTCAGCAGTATTAGATCATTGCATTCACTATCAATAATATATGTAATCCCCATATTTAACGATGTGTTCGAAAGACGAGTGTTTTCTTGTATAACGCTATGAGGCAGTAATTTTCCATCTTTAGTCATATCAATACATATAGCGTTCCCAGAGATCCCTGATATCCAGTTATCCAGATTATAAAAACATGTGTGATTCCGTTTTCATCGCCACGTTTACAAGTACTTATTAAATGAATACTTAAACTCAAAGTCTTTTTTGATACTGAGTAATTCATATGTTTAGCTGTGAAGCCTGGTAAGAAAGTATGTATTTCTTAAAACTGTGTTTTCAAAAGACGGTTAAATCAACTAGAAAAATAGGAAGAAAAGAAAAACGGTGATCACATGATTTAAGATAAAAAAACAGGAAGTATGTTGACGCATTCACCAACAATCTTGTACCTCGTCATCGAAATTCTCCAAAAATTGATGTCCAACACAATGAAGACCTCTGCTTGCCACGCTTCACTTTTCTACACAGCTGATACCAACAAAAATAAACGTCGTACTTGCATTATCTTTCATAGTCTGTCGAAATATATGACTTTTATAACCTTTTTGACATAATTTTAGGTGGAGATTTACGGCACAATCTTAACACTAAAGTTAATGGTAAAGAAAGGGCTAGACACGTCACACTAGTTGCTAGTGTTCAATCAGACTACCCACCACAGTCCTACAGGAGGTCAATCGCGAGCTCGGATAGCTCAGTGGTAACGTCTCTCACTGCAGTACTGACAGAGTGACGTGGGTTGGAATCTCAGAAGGGACATGAGTTCCTTCAAGGTTGCAGAAACGCCATGCTGACGAGTGTCAACCAGCACGAATTCCAGGTCCAAGGCTTCCTGCTGATTGCCTCGAACTATCTAATATCATCAAATTAACGCTATTTTTCATTTGGTCATTATTGACCTACTCTGTCTTTCTATCACATTTATTCATTCTATGTCCAAACCACCTTCCAGAAATCCTCAATTGATATTTCTGATCAGAAAAATAGAATCTATTTCAATATTTTCCCTGACGCATGTTCACCTCGTAACTGTAGGGTAGATCGAATTCAAGCTGCAACGCAACAAGCTTAATTTTCAACTACCACTTAAAATGATCGCTGACACAAAAAATGACAAATGTCAACAAATACATCAGCAGCACCAATAACATTGCTAGACTTGAACTGGCAGATTGCTATTGATGCAATGACTGTTGACAATAGCCTGCCGATCCAATACTACTCTTAAAGCCCTCTTTAACAATTTGTAACCTTCTGCCTTCATATGACTCACTATGATTATAACTAAAAAAAGAAGACCTACCTGGGAAGGTGATGTGAAAGTGTTGGATAGATAATTACGCATCACTCGCTCACTCACTTACATGGCAGGTGCGTATTATGCATGATGACCTTAGTGAAAAATTGACTTAGTTAGAAACTGAGTCTCGTAGCGTATCCCATAGGTCGACACGTAGTAATGCAGAGGTTTCCGGTTTGAATCCTATCACAATCTTAATTGCCACTTCAATTACAATCCGATACGATCTCGCATAAAATAGTATATAATCATTTCTCACAAATATTGCGATTGATTATATGATCAATCTTTTCTCACGTATTATGTGACTTGTGTGATCAATAATTTCTCACGGCTTTGATCCGACCTTATTGTTGTTAAAATGCATAAATATCATGTGTCGTTTTGCTAATGAATATACGGTACAGTATAGAAGTAGTAGTATGTAGTACAGTTTCTTACAGTCACAGTCCAGCCTTTGTCTTTCGGTATTTCCGTGGTTCAGTGAATTGGAAGGTACAACGAGCAAATAGGCATATTAGGGTACCAGTCGAGTTTATTACTCCTATTACCAGTCAGCAGGCGCAGACATAACACAATCATTATCCAGTAGATATGTGTACATAACAAATTCAATAAATTTAAAGAATTCACAAGAATGTATTGCTGAACAGGTTACTGACTGCAGTATTAAGTGGCACGGGTTGGAATCTTAGAAGAGACATGAGCTCCTTGAAGATTGCAGATACGTCTTGTTAATGAGTGCCAATAAGCACGAAACCTGTGTCCAAGGCTACTTACCGATTGTCCCCAGCCATCTAATAACAATAATTCAAAGTGCAGCATGGCGGTAAGCTATCTGACATAGATACCTCGTTGCAAACGTGTCTGACAGAATTCAGTCTGCAGTGTAGACAAGTGTAATAATCCATGCATTATCTAACCATAAAACGAATTTGAATTCCAGGATAAAATTTTTGTGGAGATATTTTTTACAATATTTTTTTACTTACACTCTTTTATGCTTACCTTCTAGATACTTTCATCAAATATTGCAGAATCATGCATGACTTTTGATGATGTGTCCTACGTCATCGACTGTGGATTAGATTTTACGGTATGTCTTTTAATGATTTTATAAGTTTATTTTCTCAAAACGACCAGACGATGCAAATATCTTTTCCAACATTCAATTAGTGAATTGTTATAAAAGTTAATCGAGTTTGACCACGGACTGATATCAGTTAGAGTACCATTGAAAATCGAGGAGTACAGGACAGTTGTTTCATCCAAGAATTTCATACAATGATTCTCGTTTATAAATTTGAACAAAGAAAGAAGAAACATTGGCACAGAATAATCTGGATCCATTTTATTTCGTTGGTTCTCATCAGCTGCGTACAACCTGAATTTTTAAATAAAAACAAACAGTGTATGATTTTTAACAAACCTTTGTCCACTAGCAAGCATGCTGTCAGAGCGTCATAGTAAAATAAGGCGTTGAGATTTACAGGGTGTCTAAAGTGTTATATATATATATATATATATATATATATATATATATATATATATATATATATATATATGTTAAGACCGAGTGAAAAAGCTGTTAATGAGAGTCCCGCATTCCTAATTTGAAAAGTATATGAGCAACTTAATTCGAACCTTCTAGACGACGTTTGAGAGGATTAAGGTCGAAACTATCTTACTGGAAAATGGTGACCTATAGGGTTTTCGCAGATCACGGCTGGTAACGGGTTGCATCTTCTACAGACTGCGAGTTAATGGCATGCGATCGGTCTCGTGTGATTGATCATGGTCTTCAAAACTGCTAGACGAGATCATACAACGCAGGTTGGTGGCGCGACCTCCAGTCCAGCAGACACGCAAATGTCAGAGTGCTGCTCATGATTTAGTGAGAGCAGTGCTGCCGTGAGAGAGTCTGTCCACGATCCTGGTACACGTCCTCCCAAAGGCAGCTAATTAGTTATGTACCTTCGTCCTGAGATGGAGTATATGACCATTATCTGTACAAGGAGAAGCATTCAGGCTACTGGTGGGTCACATGTGAACCGAGTTCATGAACTTTGGTATGATGGGAACCACCGAACTGTATCGTAATATTACTTCGCCAGCCTCCTAGAAGGAGTTGTCTCATTCGTGCCACCTTGTTCAACGAAGAAGGAGTCACCTGGGATTATCGTTGGCATTTAAGGTGCTGTTGTCAGGCAGACTGCAAGACTGTCCCATCTTCGAGAATAATGGTTGTGGGCAACCTGCAACATGGTTGCGCATTCGTGAAACCTTCCTACGAAAGTTATCATGATCCGCTGAGATGAGCCAGTAATGTACCGTCTGAGGAGCAACACCTGAAGAATTTGAGACCGGATAAAGGTGAGTGGGACAACACCAACCACTACATGATCATTGACAAGATACCTGCCTTAAGTTGTTCATTATCATGGCATCTGCGTTCTAAGATGTTACTTTCTGGCTAGGATACTGACTCAGTAGGGGATTATAAAGGAGGGGAAACAAAAATTACCTCCTCCTCTACCTGAGGCTTGGTCCGAAAATGGACGTAAAATTATTACTGAGAGAATTTATATTTTGTGTCATTTTGAAACTAGCTTGTAAATGTTACAACCTATTTTAACTTAAAATTAAGATGTCTCATTGTTTTAACACAAATTATTTAGAATCTTTGATGTATACTAGTTTGATTCATACAAAATAATTTGAAAATCCGAATCGTGTTCCTTATACTGCCTGAGTGAAGTAGACTTTCACATTGATTTCAGATTCATAAAGGTGTCTTTTGTCTTTCCTATCTCGGCTGGTTTTGACATCCCCATCCGTGTCCTCTGCTAATGACTGAAATGATGGATTTTACTTTCACGAAGGTAAAATATGAAATCTTTCAACTTAAGAAACAAATATCACCAATTACCAACCTGTTCTGATACTGACTATGGAGTTTTTTCTTATTCTATATGATCTGAATTAGTCTAACCCCCTAAACTTTTATTTACCGAGTGAATCATAAGTAAATACTAGTTAGTCTTTTAAAATAAAATCCAAGATGTATTTAGGCTACATACAAACTTTACAATACATAAAAATTAATTGATAATGTAGTGACAGGTACTGACATACTGATTCAACGGTATATTGAACTTGGTTGTTATTTCTCTAAAACGTTGTTTCACGTAATTTATGTATTTTTTAATGAACAATATCACAGACAAAGCTGTAGATTTTGAAATTAACATTATATATGTAAGATAGGCATCTTAGAATTGTTAGCATTTGTTTATTCACTTGTATACATTAATCTGCCTTGAAACTCTTTAAGTTAGTATCCCATAGTCCATCAAATATTTTAGTGATAACGATTAATTAAACTGGAGTAAATCAACTGTTTGCTCAGAGCTTTAATGTTATTAATCCAAATCAATCTAACTATTTATCTTAATCATATCAGACTGAGATCTCTCGCTTGTTAACATCCGTTAACAGGAAAAATAATTGAAGAACATAGCTATTCATTACTGTTTTGGTAGGCTCCTAAATCCCAGCACCACACTGTGATGTCCAACAGCTTTATGCTACTCAGCTTAATGAATTCATACACTGCATCTGTACATCAGAATCTGCATATTTTTTTAATGGATCGGCTACATTTACAAAATCATGAACTAATTTTATTATGTTTCATTTTTAGTTTAGCATTATTCATTGGAAAACTAACTATTCAGTGATCCGTACCAAATGTTCATGATTACCTCATTTAAAATGGATGATTATTCTAGTTATATAAAAAGAAACTTTCACTGATATTATCATACTCAGCTTTATCCATCAGTTCATCTTCTTTAGCTCTAGCTTGTGACCAACAATCACTTAAAGCTCCACTAGCAAATATTCTAATCAAAAGGCAGAGCTGTGTTGCATACTCGCAATAGGTAGACAACTTTTATTGTATATGACTGCATACTGCAACTTGACTCAGATGAGTAGCTTTATGCCATTCATATCAGCTATCAGTGCTTGATGGGCAGATGGAGGTGTTTAAGATGCTGGGTGACCGACCCGACTGCCAGCTGTATGCCTAGCTTAACTCAGCTGAGACAGCTGAATAAGATCAAGCCACCTGAATTCTGGTTGGCTACTTGGGTAAACTGGTGACACCATAAATCAAATTCACAATTTTCAAATTAGTCAGAAATTTTGCAATGCACACAGCGTGAGGGGCGAAATTTTCAACCCGATTTCCCCTGGAGACTGAATTACTCAAGTCACATACTGTGACTTGCTTGATGTTGTATATGATAATCAAGAGAGCACGAGACTATATACTATTGACTGACTGTAGTAGTGCTTGCTAATCAGTTCTAATAATTAAAGTAACCTGGATATTTAGTTTTCGGAAGGATTTGATTCAGCTACTCTTTACATACTGATAACTTTTCAGATTCGCTTTCTGCACAGTCACTGTGGTAAATTAATAGTTTGTTATCATCTTCGATCCCCGGCCGACGCACACCTGATATCTACGGTTGGTCTGCAAAATTTTAGCTACCGATATCATATGCTGAAAATTCCATACTTGTACCAAAAATACAATGTGGAATCAGGCTGTAAATAAAAAAATATTAAAAAATACAAGAATAGAATTGTACACTGTGTTATTATCTGTTAGTCGAGCGTCGGTGGCACAGTGGTAGAGTGCTCTCCGACCACTCCTCATGTAGTCAGGGGTTCCATCTTCGGCCGCCGACGCACTCCTTTATCTCTCTAAGCTTGTACTAAGACTGGTAAACAGGGAAGGATGGGGGCATGATGCTCGCAGCCCCATCCCGTAAAAATAAACACCACTGCTATCGAAACTTGAAGCCTCTATCTTGAAGCTTTATGTTCCACTGGGAACGTAAAAGAATAAAACAATCTGTTCGTCATCACAATACCGATATTACTTTTGAGGGAAAATGTTTTACATTATGAGGATAAAACATAGCAGCTTATTATTCTATTACCACCTTAATTTTACAGGGACAGTATCTTGATTGGACTGAAACTACTGCACTACGAAATCATTGGATTACGAAGTCGAATGCAATTCAAAGACAAACAAGGTAATCTAAAGGTTAAGTCACTTATTAAAATTAAGATGGTTTTGTTTTCAAACTTATTTAATCCAGATATACATTTAATCAAGTGATTTATTTTGACTGAACACTAGGCAGTGACTAGTATAGTGTGCCTAGTCCTCTCTTTGGTGCAGAGTGAATTATATCTTCAGTCAAGTTTGCAATGTGATCACCATTTGGCCTACTAGGCTCGCCATCACGGTGCACTTTGAATTGTTGATATTAGATGGTTGGAGGCAATCGGCAGGAAGCATCGCACGTAGGTTTCGTACTAGCTGGTACTTGTCATCAGGGCGTATCTGCAACCTTGGCGGAACTCATTTCCCTTCTAAGATTCAAACCTTCAAGTTTGCAGATACGCCTTGCTGACTGGTGAGTGCCAACCAGTACGAAACCAAGGTCGAAGGCTTCCTGTGGCCGATTGCCTCCAACCACCTAATATCAATAAGTGATTTATGTTAAGAAAATCACTACAAAACAGGCTGTTCCACCTATTTTACCTATCATTACACTAGAATAACAATTTCAATCTTAAAATATTATGAAATGAGCAGTAAATATAATTATTATAGGAAATCGATATAAGAATAGAACTTGTGCACTGTGGTAGACTGTAATTCCATTGTAGGGGAAATTTATTTTGATAAAAGCACACTGTGTCATTATACAGTAATATTTACTGATGATGACATTTTGAGCACAATTTATTGCTCATAATCACCTTAATATGATTATGAGTAAAATAAATTTGACCTATAATGGAATTATTAGGAAAAACAATTTAGCCTGTCATAAACTCTGATAGACAGCAACAAAGATACAACTTCAAATGAACATAGAGAAGACGGAGGTGATGAAGATAACCAACCAAGCAAAAACAACAAGCACCGATCAATATTGACGGAAGAAGTCTGATAGATGCGGCTTCCTTCACCCATTAAGGCAGCATCGTTTCAACTACAGGGGGCGGTCACCCATGAGGATGTCAAAACCAGACAGAATCGGAAAGACAAGACAAACATTCATCACCCTGTTATCAGTTTGGAAATCTTCTACACTCAACATAAAGGACGAGATCTAAATCCTTACCTCTAGATTCAAGTCAGTTTTTCTAGTTCAGAAAGTTGGTGCGTCAAAAAAAGTATTTTTAATAGGCATATGCCTTCTGTAGCTCCATAAAGAAGATCAGATGACCAGGTAGTAGGGATTAACAACAAGAAACAAACCAATCAAAAACTTATTACTGATGAAATATTCTGGAGAAAGTGGAGATATACTGAACACATGCTAAGGAGATAGTCAGGTGGCATCGTGTGCCAGACCATCACTCGAGTATTATTTGAATAAGAAATGACGATTTGAGCGTCTGAAGGCGATATGAAGGGGATCATGTGAGGAGGAAACGAAGGCTTATGGGTAAATGTAGGGCCAGCTTAAGTAGAAAAAATGAAGACGTGCTGTTTAAGCCCTATTTTCCACTCCAAACCCAAGGGAATAATAACAATATATTCTGATACTATTATCGTGACTTTTTATTACCGGATCTCCCAGTAGTGACATGATGGTATGCGACATAATAGTTTTGTGAAAGATTCTCAGAGGGTTTATGAATTAAAGCAACGAACTCCCATTGAAACTCAACGCGCTTAGTTAAAATGATTCCAAGCAATATTGATCCCTCAGGGAACTTATTTCCTTCTTACCCTACTTTTATTTTTATACATAGTTTCCTGTATTGTACCTTTTCTAACCTTGGCTTCTTAACCTTCGACAGCCTTTCGCCTTTGTCGAGATTCCCAGCCTATCCGTGTCGTTTCGAGATGTTAGTGAGTAGTCCTCAAAATGGTTGTTCCCAATGTGACATCTAACACGGATATCCTGAAACCGCGTGCTGCGTTCAAGCTGGCTACCTACAATGTTCGGACGCTGATGCAAATCGGACAACAGGCAGGGTTGGCAAGAACTTTGGAAAGCCTCGCTATCGATGTCTGCTGCATTTCGGAGACCCGCATTCAAGATCCCAGTGAAGTGCTTCGACTATCCTCTCCATCTGGAAGTTCTAGTAGTATGTACCACCTGCGCTTATCCGGGGACCCTGTGGCGTCGGCATCCGGCGTAGCTGGTGTCGGTGTCGCACTGAGCGCTAGAGCCGAAGCTGCACTGCTCGACTGGATTCCCATTAACAGTCGTTTATGTGCTGTGAGGCTGGAAGGTTACACGAAAGTAAAGAGTAGTAGGCCAGATAGGCGGTGTCTATTTGTTGTCTCTGCCTATGCACCGACGGATTGCAGCCCGGATGCAATGAAGGATGAGTTTTACTACCAACTGAGCGATCTCTTGAAACAGGCGGGTCGGAGGGATATCGTAGTGCTGGCTGGGGACTTGAATGCACAGGTGGGGCGTCTAAGCTCAGAGGAGAATCGTCTAGGTGGTCAGTGGGGACTACATGGTCGCAGGTCAGATAATGGGGACCGTCTTCTGCAGCTTTGCGCGGATCACAACCTATTTCTAGCTAGCACCAACTTCCGGCACAGCCATCGCCGTAGCGCTACCTGGCGTCCTCCCTCTGCGAAGCAAGCTTGGACTCAGATTGATCATATCGCGGTCAGTTTCCGGTGGCGGGGATGCATACAAGACTGTCGCTCCTTCTGGAGCACATGCCTGGACTCCGATCATGCGTTAGTGTGTGCCAAGTTCGTCTTGCGATTTGGTGGGGTTCGTAAAAGCCGTCGTCTAAGCGTTGATGTGAGCAAACTAGTAGCACCTGCTACTTCTTTGAAATATCAGAATGAGTTAAAAACAATGCTTGCCAGCAACCCCCCAAGTAGTATAGATGAACATTGGCTTCATGTGCAAGGTGCCATGCAAAAGGCGAGTGTAGCCGCTTGCGGCTTGAAAGAATGCTCCGCTAACAACCACTGGGTTTCTGCGAGTTCCTTGCAACTCATGGATGAACGCCGGTCCATTCCGGCTGGCAGCGAATACAACAATCAGCGAAAGGCGCTCACGCGCAAGATTAGACAGTGTTTACGTAAGGACCGCGAAGCCTGGTGGTCAGAACGTGCGTGTGAGATGGAGTCAGCTGCTGCATCTGGCAACAGTCGGAAGCTGTTCCAACTCATACGAGCCACCGGCAGCAAGAAACAAGGTGTCAGCGAGACGGTCTGTGAGGCAGATGGCACTCCAATTACCAGCCTGAAAAGACGCCTGGAACGCTGGGCAGAGCACTTCGGGAAGCAGTTCAGCTGGCCACCAGCTTCAGTGTCTACTATCATTAGCCCGAGTGCTCCTTGGTCGGTTAGTACCGACCCACCCACCGAAGCGGAGGTCCGTAAGGAACTCCAAGTTCTGAAACGCCATAAGGCGCCCGGCCCAGACAAATTACCCCCGGCTCTTTTTAAAGATGGTGGCGAGACTCTCACAATGGCTCTAACTGGGTTGTTCAGGAAGGTGTGGGAGACAGAGAGTGTACCATCAATGTGGAACGAAGCCATTATCGTCCCCATCTTTAAAAAGGGTCGACGTAATTCGTGTGACAATCATAGGGGTATCAGTCTGTTACCAGTCGCGTCTAAAATATTGGCTGCTGTCTTGCTTCGCAGACTGTGCAAAATACGTGAAGGATTGATTCGCGAAGAGCAGGCTGGGTTTCGTTCAGGTCGTGGATGCATTGATCATGTGTTCACCCTTCGTCAGTTGTTGGAACACCGCCACACGTATTGCAGGCCAACGATCGTTGTGTTTCTTGATATTAGGGCTGCCTTCGATTCGTTGGACAGAACTGTGCTCTGGAACTGTCTGTTAGAGAGAGGTGTACCTGAGAAATTTGTTAACATCCTGAAAGCCCTATACAGAAACACCTCAGGTAGAGTGAGGGCATACAACCAACTATCACCACTGTTCCCAACCAACAGTGGGGTTAGACAGGGTTGCCCAATCTCTCCATTTCTCTTTAACTTTGCCATCGATGACATTCTGGAGTCAGCTCTGAAGGATGTGCGTGAAGGTGGTGTAGATCTGCTACCTGGAGATAGACTTTTCGACCTCGAGTATGCAGACGATATCGTCTTACTGTGCGATAGCATGCAGGCTGCCCAAATCGCACTTAATCAGTTGGCGATCAGTGTCTGTAAGTATGGTATGTGCTTTGCGCCGTCTAAGTGCAAAGTACTGTTACAAGATTGGCAGGAGCCTGTACCTGCACTCACTCTTGCGGGTGAACCGCTTGAAGTTGTTGATAAGTTTGTGTACCTGGGTAGTTGTGTGAGTGCTGGCGGAGGGGTGACGGATGAGATTTCCAACCGTATAATGAAGGCTAGGGTGGCATACATCAACTTGAGCCACCTCTGGCGCCGTCGCGACGTTAGCCTGGCTGTCAAAGGTCGGGTATACAATGCTTCGGTGCGGGCTGCCTTGCTCTACGCCTGTGAAACCTGGCCTCTCCGAGCTGAGGATGTGCGGCGACTCTGCGTGTTCGATCACCGCTGTCTCCGCAGGATTGCTTGCGTTCGATGGCATCATCGCGTGAGTAATTCTGAGGTTCGGCGGCGTGTGTTTGAACAAAGTGGAGATCACCATTCATTGAATGTCGTCATCTGGAAACACCGGCTCCGGTGGCTTGGACATGTGCTCCGAATGTCACCCCAGAGGCTTCCGTACAGGTCTCTGTTCGCTAGCCCTGGGACGGGATGGAAAAGGCGGAGAGGTGGTCAGTCCATGACGTGGCGTCGTGGGATGAAGGATTTTTGTGCTAGATTAGCATCGGTTGGTGTGTCACGACTCCCTGGTTGGGGTCCGAGAGATAGCTCAAATCGATGGCTCGAAACGTTATCGGATATGGCCAAGAATCGTAATCAGTGGCGAATGTGTTGTGATTTCCTTCTTTCTTCCCTTCCCGATGATAGCTAACGAACACTGTTTGAACTTGTTAAGCATGACTGTTTTCCTTCCAGATGAAGTTCTTTATCCGTTCTCTACTTATATATATTTTTTCTTTTCCTTCCTTCCTTTTTTTTGATCTATGTTGTTTTATTATTATTGTGTGGCGCATCTTTCTTGGTGCCATATTGTACCAAGTTTTTTATGCGTTTAAATAAAATAATAATAATAAGAGGGTTATATGCTAGATGTATGCTTGTTGCCCTGACACTATTTAGTAAAAAAGAGAGTTGTACTGTTAAAAAAAAACACAAACGTCACCACTTTATGAACTTTCTAAAATGTACACCTAAGTGACATCAGCTACGATGATAACTGGAAGTAAATAGTTTCCTTAACTATCCACTAACTATTCAGCTTACTTACTTCAGCAAAAATAGAGGAATACTGAAATGACAAATTTCCGAATAAACTAGAAGCAAGCTATAATAATGTTATGTGGATGTAAAGAATCAGTGGATGATGATTAGGTATTACCTGAAACTTAATAAACATTAGGCAGTTGTTATGCACCAGTGGTAAAGTGTCAGAATACTCACCGCTATTAGACCTATTCTATGCAATATAAGAATGGGAAAGAAGGGAATTCGGGATGGGGGGGGAGTGAAGCTACCAACCCCACCCTGTAAAAAGGAATATTGCTACAGAAACTGCAATTCTTAAGGCCAAATATGCCATTCGGAACACAAAAGAACAAAAAAGGTTTCGCTTTTCCACCATATTATTCTTCCAAGCAACACACAACACGTATATGTGAGGCGGCATTTGTGAATCAACGACTTGTTTATCTTCAAAGTATTTTGCACATATATGCAGAAGTTCAAGTTGTCACAACTTCAGAGAAGACTAAAGAAATTTGATGAAACTACAAGGGACTGTGGTGCGTCGGTGACATATCGGTTAGGACGCTCGCCGACCATGCACATGGTCTGGGGTTCAATCCCCGGCTGACGCACTCCTTTACCTCGCTAAACCAGAAATAAAGCTGATGAAGAGGAAAAGTTGATTATGAGGCTAGCAAACCCATCCTGTTAAATAAACACTGCTACAGAAACTTCAAGCGACTAGCTTAAAGCCCTATGTTCCACTGGGGAACGTGAGGGAAAAACAAGGCACTGTGATGAATGAAAGAATGAATAATCAGTTGAAAACTGTTGGAAGTTTTCAGGATCTTCATTTATACTATATGTGCATAAATCTATGTCATTGAGAATGATTTCGAGCCTTGTTATCGGCAGCCCGGTAACCGTCGAGTCTTGGCTTCCTGAGGACTGCAGCCAGGTAGCCTACATCTATTGAAGTGACTCAAAATAACATTCCAAGACTTTACATGTTGCTGCCATGTTTCCTTCTAATGAATCATAATTGTTTCACAACGTAAACCTATGTAAGCTGAAACTGACCGACGAGCAAGACTATAGGTAAGCAAGTGAGTAAGTAACACATGACCAGGCCTTCTTAATCGATGTAACGAATGATTTTCCTTCGTTACCTAAGACTTCAGCTTAATCTGACCACATCTCTCCACTGAAAATGAGAGAATAACATGGTGACACTTATGATTATAATCTTCTGTTCTTTTCATATACTCCACCTTCAGCGTCACTAAGCAGGAACAATAGAACAGTTACATGTCATCTGATAGCTAACCAGAAATCATGTCGACATCAAAGATGACACGAGCTGGTGTATGCCAAACGAGCCATTTGTATCGTTGGTACTATTTCATCCTAAAATCCCTGAGTAAGGGACAAGATCCAAACACAAGCCCTCAATCCTGAAGCTGAGAGTTTGTAAAGAACACTTCTACCTTTGAAAAAAGTGGTTTTAAATATAAATGTGATACGCTTAACCGAATTTCAAATTAAGCGATTATTGAGTTACTTTGAATTTTAAATATGACAAAGCATGTGTTCTGTAATTTTTCTTTTACACTACATATCGCATTTCTGCTATCGTTTATATACAGAACCGGAGAAAATAAGAATGGAATATGTTTTCACTTGTACAGTAGTTTACGATTCAGCATGTTGTCTGAAGGACCAAATTTTGCTGTAAGAGGACATACAGTTGAAGTAAGCAATGTTTTAGTTAATATACTGAAAACACTTTTCTCCTGGAGTAAATTTGAAACCCAGGGTTCGATCGCCGACCGACGCACTCCTTTACCTCTCTAAGCTAGAAATAATGCTGGTAAAGTGGAAAGGTTGGGGATGAGGCTAGCAACCGCATCCTGTTAAATAAACACTGCTAAAGAAACTTCAAGCCACCAGCTTGAAGCCCTGTATTGCACTAGGAACGTGAAGGAATACAAAAATATTTGAAACAAGCAACAACTGTGAAAAAAGCAGAATTTAATGAATTCATAAATTTCGTTGGAAAAACTCGTCGGCTGAATACTACTCTACAAATATTGTTATTTATACGATTTCTTCCATTAGATCAAATACATACAAACACATGAACATTGTGCCTACAAATTAGTATCAATCTGAACAAAAATAAGATCTATTAGTGGTAAGTGATAATCTGTTAACGTCATTATTAGGTGAAAAATATTCATCAGAGTACATATTAAGAAATAAATTAGAGTTACTTTGGTATAGCAGCCCAAAACAAAATTACTTAATAAACGGATTAATGAGCTTGAGTCACCTGTCATATTGTAACAACAGAAGGCAGTACACTCAAGCCAAGGTATATTTTCATGTGATCAAACCGATATTTATATATGTATAGTTTTATATTCTCTAAACAATCATTGAGCGTGTGATTTTGGCTTACATTAAACAACATGAAATAGAATGTTCAAACAGATATATCGTATTCTGGCACTAATGTAGTCTCAAACTGTGCGAATATATAAGAATAATGTTACGTTGGAACACACTGTCTTTATCACACCACCACAATATGAGTTTGTAGCATATTTTGGGGAATTAAGGATGATGGACACGAATAAACCAGTAAAGTGCATCCAAATCTAGTATTTAAACGCTGTTTAGACAACAGGCTAGTTGGAAGGGAGAAAACATGTAGCCAACAGTTATCTCTGGGCTATATTCACAACGTGGTCAATCTTAAGGAAGATTTCGTTAATCCTTTAGATGGGACTCACACAAATTCCATAGAAAGTTTCTAGGGTCACTTAAAAAAGAAAATAAGCGAGGTGAATGAGTCAAGAAACACAATGATTTACAGTCGTCTCGATGAATTTATGTACAGAAATTGGTTTAACCTAACTATGGGGACTCCTATGAAGAATTGGGAGGTTTTATCGGAACACATGCAAGGAAGCTATCCTGCGAAATTGCTTTTCAACACTGTATTACTTTTATATAAACGGCCTTTTCAAATTACGCGCTCCTGCTTCGGACGTATCTGATAGGTCGATCTGTCAAGGTCTTTATTAAGTAGTTTCGTTTTCGGCTACCGCAGTTTAGAGTTACCAGAATTCATATGATAATAAACATCTGGACTTGATAATACTGAAATACGAGGACTGTGATGGTACCATAACGTTGAGTGAAAGCTTTATAGTTATTAATAAGCAAGGTAATGTAAGAGCTCTTTGTTTTCCTGAAGCCTGTTCTATCAGATTAAAGCAGCCAGATCTGTGTATACAAATCTACCCTGATAGCACACATTCACCTTACCTTTACAATTCTCCTTCTCTTCCCTCTTCTACTTGCAATGAAAAGAGTAAAGAATAGACACCAGAGCCAAATGACCTTCACTTGACCAATCAGATAGCTCAGCATTACACATGGTCACGACTTCTCACTAGAACTCCAGTAAACTCCGTCCTGTAGCAAGTCACTAGCGAGCATCAGATTAATTTTCAAGAGTTGGTTTGTTAGGATTAAATTTGCTTTTATGAGTTTGACCACAGGTGGAAATTAGTTATGTTATTTAAAACAATTAGTCCCTTTGATAAATTTGAACAAGGCATTAAGAAGACAAATTTCGCGAGATGATATCATTTCGTAGTTTCTTTACAACGCTTTACAACTAACATGGTTAACTCATTATAAATTATTTAAATTAATCCCAGCGTGTTAAGAAAATCAAAACATGGTTAACATGGTTAACAATGATAAAATAAAGTTCATGAAAATTACTCAGTTAAATAAAACAAAAGTACAAGCTAATGACCAATCATATTAAGATAGGTCATGCAGTCCAGGGTAGGCGAAGATTGAAGTCTATTGATTTTTGTACACACAGTTTAGGCTGTATGTGATTAATCCTCTAAAGTGCTTCCATCACCTTCAATAACCAAACCTTAATTAGAGTTATGTGAAATAATTGTGAAACAGTCATTAATATTGATTTTGTGACCTGACATTAATAAGTGTTTTGCAATGGATGATCCTGATGGATTTCTATTAAGATTAATCGCGTTAGGAATTTCGATATGATTTACTAGCCATTTTGGAATATGTTCTTTTCGACGACATTGGAACATTCTGTTGTTTCTACGTATAGGTGTCACCGCAGCTGCAGGTGAACTTGTAGATACAGTTTGAAGTAGAGTCCAAAGAATTTCGTCCTTTAATCCTAGGTAGGTACAGGGATCGAAAATGTTCGGCAAGTGAGAAAAAGAGATGCGGCGTAGAATGTGCGTTTGATGGCTGATCGAAGTCTTTGAGTTGTCAACTGCATAATCTGGTCACCCTTGAATGCAGTTGACAACTCAAAGACTTCGATCAGCCATCAAACGCACATTCTACGCCGCATCTCTTTTTCTCACTTGCCGAACATTTTCGATCCCTGTACCTACCTAGGATTAAAGGACGAAATTCTTTGGACTCTACTTCAAACTGTATCTACAAGTTCACCTGCAGCTGCGGTGACACCTATACGTAGAAACAACAGAATGTTCCAATGTCGTCGAAAAGAACATATTCCAAAATGGCTAGTAAATCATATCGAAATTCCTAACGCGATTAATCTTAATAGAAATCCATCAGGATCATCCATTGCAAAACACTTATTAATGTCAGGTCACAAAATCAATATTAATGACTGTTTCACAATTATTTCACATAACTCTAATTAAGGTTTGGTTATTGAAGGTGATGGAAGCACTTTAGAGGATTAATCACATACAGCCTAAACTGTGTGTACAAAAATCAATAGACTTCAATCTTCGCCTACCCTGGACTGCATGACCTATCTTAATATGATTGGTCATTAGCTTGTACTTTTGTTTTATTTAACTGAGTAATTTTCATGAACTTTATTTTATCATTGTTAACCATGTTAGTTGTAAAGTGGTTGTAAAGAAACTACGAAATGATATCATCTCGCGAAATTTGTCTTCTTAATGCCTAGTTCAAATTTATGTTATTTAGTCAAATATATGGTTTACATATGTTAAATTTATATTTTGCTTTTTACGAAGTCTCTTTGTATTTAAATATTATCGTATCTAGATACTTATAGTTGTATTAATTCTATTTGAATGACTTTAGATCTATGACAATAACTCGAATTTATATGTTAATATGTATTGTGATGAATATTATTCACTTCATAATGACATTAACAGTTTATCACTCACTACTTATACGTCTTACTTTTGTTTAGATTAATACTTCTTTGTGGCCACAATGGTCATGTGCTTGTATGCATTTGATCTAAGGAAGAAATCGTATAAATACCAATGTTCGTGGAGAAGTATTCAGATGACACGTCCTTCCAACTAGATTTATGAATTCATTAAATTCTGCTTTTTTCACAGTTGTTGCTTGTTTAAATTGTATATACTGATATTAATTTATTAATAATAATGATACTCCCTGATTATTTGCAAAGTTAAATAAAAAGTAGCAAAATAAGAAAAGATCTTTTTGTTAATAATAGTAAGTAAGAGAGTTACAGGTCATTAGACTATGAGTCCATCAAATGGTTCACTGTTAGTTTGAGTCCCGGAGACGACAAGGATTGTGTGACTGGAATCTCTGCCCCTCGTTCAGCCAGTGGTTGAAGACTGTTGATGTTTTGACTCTAATTCATTCTTCACATTGGGACATATGTGTGCACGTTTCGACATCTTTTGAATGTTGAGTAGTGTCGTGAAAAGCCTCATTTAATTAACCTCTTCGTTTCACCCAATTCTGCTATAATGAAGTATTTATTTCTTTTCGTTTACTCTGTGTCTGTCGGAATGATACACTCACATGTATAGTTCTAAAATAGTAAGTCAGTCAGATCGCATTCACTGATCAGGCTTCTCTGATTCCCACTGAAGAGAAACCTCCAAGACGCTGAAGTAAAATTCACGAAAAGTCATTTCATGTTCTACTGCAGCTTAGGGTGAATTTTTTTAGCCTACTGATCACTATTTAACGTTTTGAGATGTAACAATCTATTTTTAAAGAGCGTTTACATTAATATACTTTCGATTTAAATATGCTACTGTAATCAAATACGAATTTATTTTCCCCTTCAGGAGGCATGTATTCAAGCTCGCCTACTTTCACCACCAAATATCTCCATAGAAACTGTTTTGCGTACCTTACCAAAACCACCACTACCTGAATCTTCTAGAACGGCTATTCAAGGCTTAAAGGTAAATTGTTTTCATAATAAAAATGATATTTATTTATTTTGTAAAATGAACTATGATCAAGTTTTTTCTAGTTAGAGTAGTAGTGATTTACCGGAATACCAGAATGAAATCATATTTTTACATAAACTTATGGCTTTCAACAGTTCACAGCTTAGGCGAGGCGAATGCAACCACCCACCTCAAAACTGATTTCATTTCATGGAAATCAATAATGAGGGATGCAGTAGAGGTCCCTTAACTGTGATCAACTGACTTCGCGTATAAATTATGCTGATATCATCTCATCCAGTATTTATGAAATGCCTTTTTAACACTAGTTTTTCGTCTTCATTTAAATTAATAATGTTGAGTAGCTGGCTGGAACATACTTCCGTTATTTACATAATTACCGTGAATATTCAATTAGTTATTATTATTATTCTCTTAAGTTCCAAGTAGAACAAAAGGCTTCGACAACACATCTCCATTTCATCCTGTTCTCTACAGTCCTTTCTATCTGGCTTCACGATTGCCCATAGACTGTCATCTCCTGCTAACCTGATCTCCTCCATGTCATTCTCAGACCCAAGCTAAACTCATCACTACCCATTTGAGTTCCACTTGCGTAATGGCTAGGGCTGTGATGTCACTCGATGCACTCCTCAGCATGACTGAAATTCATCTCCATTTTTCTGCATATTTGTTGGACAACAAGTTCTCGGTTAACTGGTTCCCATAAATCCTTATTACTTGTCTTTTCTGGCCTGCCATCTGATCTTCAGTATCGAATGAATGCAGCTGTTGACAAATGTCTGAAGCCTGTCAGTCAGTTATTAACCTTCATTTTATCCCTCCTCTACATTTAAAATATAAACGATACCTGAGATTTTGCATTATGAAACTAAAATTTATTCAGGATCGGACGTGTATATGACGACAGTGAGATGAAAATATTCTTTTTTCGTTTATAAAACCATCATTCTATTTGAGTTTTCTAGAAATAATGGCAAATTTAAACATTAAGCACCACTACCTACCAATCAGCGAATGACCTTGAATGTACCAATCACATGAAGGAGGCATTTCTGGTTATGGAATGTATATATTTATGAAAAAAAATGCATAAATCTGTATAAAACTGCTATATAGGATAACTTTCTCTCATATGTGATAAGAACATCTCCCAGATGAGCAAAGGAGTATCAACTGAAAAGTCGTACCACATCCTATGCATATATTCATCTAAACAACTATAAATGACATCCTTTTGAGATCTATTAATGCCCCTAATTCAGTTTCTTACCCTTCGTCAAAGGCCTTCGATAGAAACGGTGTGGGTCCCTGTAGTGAAATCCACAAAATCACTGGAATGGTTGACTCTGTGGTGAATATATCCCAAGGGATGACTGATAAGTATCCACATATATATAATTATGTGTGCGTGTATGTTGGTCTCTCTTTCTGTTTGCTCGCTTAGTCTGTGACCATTTCACTTGTATGAACTTGTCTCCTTTAATAATGTGTATTCTCCTTATGTTATATTATATATAATATGAGTGTTTGTTGACAGTCCGTAGCTTAGTGACATATATCCATATATGGTTGTTTGACATGTCCGCTATATATTTTGCTATATATATATATATATATATATATATATTTCGTTCACACATTTTGTGTGAACTACTTTACAACTACTTTACTTACTTACCACTTTGGCGTGAGACCATTTATTTTCGTCTCCTTGTGTTTGGACAATAGAAGTATCATCGCAAACCTAGTGGTCTTCTGATTTCCGCCTTCTTGCGTCAGGACTATTAGTTTCTCGACCAGTCCATAACAATAATTTAGCGAGGAGTACATAACAATGACAAAGAGCTATAACCTTTCCACTCATCTTTGTGTGTTATAGATCCTTGTTTCACCAGCCGCGTAGTAATAGGTATTAAGCTAGTTGACTTTCTATCTGCTATCTTCTCTGTAGAGAGGTATCATATAAACCAGTCGCCCAGACATTATTTGCTCGACCTTGACGGCGGTTGTATTTTTTCTTCAATAAGACAGTCTAAACCACATGTATGATAATACCTTCTCCTGCTAATAACGAAGTAATACTCTCCACTTTCCATGACGCGATATCTCTGCAGCGCTAGTACCCTTGAACTGTCGGTACAAAACCATTTTCAGTTTCAGCAGCTGTACCTTTCACAGGCTGTTTTAAAACCCAGTAACTACAAATATGCAAAATCTAGGTTAAGGACAGATGTGACCTAACAAAAAATCTCCCTACAAAATATTAGAATCATCAGCTTAGCTTCCTTGACACTAACTGGTCTCAAACAAATTGCGCAACGATGTACATATGCAACAACCGACCTGCTGAAACTTTCTACGGTCATCACACCTCTACATGAATAAATCCTCTCTTTCCTAATCAACCCTACATCTAAGCAATACCGGAAGACTTGATTCCCACCAGATTTCAAACGCAACTGCGTTAGAGCAGGCATTTGACTCGAATCAAGCGGAATTGAATCTTCAACTCGAGTGAATAAATCTCATTGAACCATCCAAGGTCAATCGTGCTGAAGCACTCCATTGGTAGTTAAGGGTGTTTAAAGTTTAACTTTACTATTTTTTAACTTATCTAATAATTTTATTGATCTATTTCTTCCATGAAAATATATACTAGGAAATGGATGCACTGGATAATTTTGAAGAACTGACTGAATTAGGTTATCATATATGTGATATACCTATACCAGCACATTATGCTAAAATGGTTTTAGTTAGTGTTGTGTTAAAATGTCTTGATCCAATTCTAACAATTGCGTGTATACTAGCCTACACAGAGCCATGTGAGTACAAGTAACTTCTGTTTTTAAAAAAACTGTTACTTTTACAATAACAGTTCATTTTATTGTATGATTTTTTTTGTTGATTTACATTAGATTCTTTCTGTAGACAAATAATCTCAGTCGTTCTGTTTAAATAATGAGTATCTTAAAAATCGTGCTAAACTCCCAATCAGTGATGCGAAATTGAAATCTAACTATTATGTCAAACAGTCGGTTGATATAGCAGTAATCCGAATAATTCATCCAGATGTCTTCTGTGAAACAGACTATTAATTTGGTGCCAAGGTTAAAATTAATGTTTAAGTTTTCTTGTTCAGTAAAAAAGTATAGAATGGCAGTCAAACTTCTGCCTTAACTTCATAGATCTTGAAAACGCCTTCTACAGAATTGAGTGTGAGGTAATTTGAAAACTACTTCAACTCTATAGGGTTCCCTAAAAACCTTACCAACCTTATTCAATAGCTAGATGACCATACCACGTGTCAAGTGATCCAAAATGGAAAACTGAGAAAAGCCGTTGAATTAAAGAGAGGAGTAGGCCATAACCGACTAATATCACCGATGATATTCCTAATTGTGGTCGACTGAATTATGAGGCATATCGTTAGTGAGGATTGAGAAGACATGGAAAAGTTGGACCAATAGGAATAATCTGAAAGATCTGGACTTCGAGGACGATTTCTGTCTAATGTCCCTTAAATTTGAAGACTTGCAGGCGAAAACCAACCAGTTGGCAGAAGAGGCCACCAGTGGAGACAGGACTTCAAATGAAAATAGGGAAGGTGGAGCTGACGAGAAAACCAACTGACAACAATAAGCGATAATCAATATCAACAGGATAAAGCTTAAAGAGGTCACTTCTTTCGTTTATCTAGGAAGCGTGGTTTCAGCTACAGATGAAGGTTTAGTTGACGATGTCAAAACCAGTCAGGATTGGTGGAGAAAATCAGACCTTCATCACTCTGAAATCGGTTTAGAGATCGCCTACACTCATCAGAAAGAACAAAATTTGAATTTTTAACTCTAATGTCAAGTCAGTTCTTCTATATGTGTTAGGAAGTTGACGGATGCTTCATGAAAATCATTTCCAGCGGAATGAAGACCTCTATGAACAGGTGTGTTCGCTGGCTCCATACCGAAGATCAGATGGCCGGTTGGAAAGGATTAGCAACAAAACCTCTGGAACGAACCAATTATGAAATTGCTGGTCAAGAATTATCCTGAAGAAAATGGAGATGGATCGGACACAAGCTGTAGATACCGCTGGGTGACATCTCGCGACAGGCCATCGCTTCAGTGGAAAGTGAATGGGAAACGACCAGTTTGACGTGTGTGTGTGTGTGTTTCCGTGGTTGATGTAGAGGAGATGAGAACCTATGGTTAATCGTACAATCGGCTAAATTTCTGTGTGAATCTAATTTAACCAAACGCAGACGTGTTTATTTTACCTATTAAAAAACTTCTTGGTTGGTATTACGTTTAAAATAATAGAAATTTATAGCTCATGGTAGGTAAAGAAACTGTTTTCATTCGCTTAGAGTGCTGTTGTTCGCTAGTGAACATTTCAACAATAGGTCTAATAATATCTTTAGCACATGATACATTAGAAGTTTGCTTATATAAACAAGCATAGATTACTTGTAGGAGAACTCTTTACTATTGATTGTGACATATAGTTGCGAATAGACTCACCAACATTCACTTAATGAATATATCAGTTTTCAGTAGTCTTTTAATTTACTTTGGTTCATATCCGAAATTGTCTTTTGATTATTTAGTCTTTTCAAAGACTAACATTGTGCCTCTAATTGGGTAGATTTAAGAGAAGATTTGCAAATTATTGATATTTTCGCAGAAATCCAGTACAAAATAACTGGAATAAATATAATCCACAGGAACGATAGGAAACAGAACAGTGAACAAATGTATCTTATTAAATCAGGTGATACTCTGAAAGATCTAAAACCAATATGATCATTCTACAATCGACTATCTTGTAATGGTAACAGATCCCGATCTGGAAATTGAGAAACAACAAAACTACCAAGAGGATCGAAGTATGAACTGCTATTATTCGTTAGCAAATGAATATACACTCTCCACAAACTGTCTTCTGAGCGAATTACACTTGTTTTTGTTTTATTCGTTTTAGTTACAATACCTAGAAATGATGGTGAACGACGCGATTTAATGAATGCTAGAAAAAAATTTTCTGCAGATACTTATAGTGATCATATGATGCTATTAAGAGCATTTCAGGTAGGTGTAACTGTCGAAATATGAAAGTAAATATTAAGTCATGAAATATTCCTGTAAAGGCATTAGACGAAATAACAAGAAACGACGGGTACTGAGTCTGAGCCTCAGGGCTAACAGTGTTACTCATTAGAGAATGCAGGTACATCCCGAGTGCGAGTTCCCAAAAGGACAAAATGCTCATCGTGTATTCCATCGCTAGTCACCACCCACCTAAATTACTTCTAAATAACAAGATGTTCAGTGATTTATATGCTTTTGGCGACTTCATCCCCAAAAGCTGCACATCTTCATTTTTATTCCTAAGTTAGCATAGTTACATTTTTTATCTAATTCCACATAGTAACAAAAGAGAATTACTACTTTAATTATCATTTCAGTTCGTTTCTTTATACACCTCGTTCACACCATTTTCTCATTAAAAATTATCTCACATATTACTCACATATTTTTCTAATTCAATTTTCGTGATCTAAATTCATCTTTCATTACACCTTCAAATTTTCATATCAAGTGGAAAATTATAACCTCTTTTAGTCCCCCTTCATCACTATGCTGAAGTAAATAATAATTATAATGTATCAAAAACAGTGAGTACCAAAACGCATAAATATCTTCCAGTGATCCCCCAAGTGAAAATCTATTAAAAAGGGGAGGTGTTAGTACGGATAACCTATCGTTATTAGCCGTAAAAGTCATGATTGGTGTATGCACTGATATGATAACCTAAGTGAACAGTTTTTGGTTATTTCTGTTTTGGCCATGCAGTCACTCAGATATTGATCATTTACTTATAGATAAATTGCTGTAGGTATGTAATCCCCGTTGTTGTCACAGTTAAATCTGACTTTTGAGTCTATCTCTGTGTCGGGGATTATTTTTTTTTAGTGATCATCTGGTCATGTTGCCGTGTCTCGAGGCTCATCCTAGTCAAGTTATATGACCACAAAAACATTAAAACTCCATTATAACATAACCCTATTCACCTGTGTATGAAAATGCAATTGTACAGTAATTGAGAATAAAATCTCCGAAAATATTTTTTTGGCTGAACTACATACTTTTTTTGTCCAATAACTATTTTTTGCTTTCTTCTGAAGTTAGATTTCTTGTGAAACCGAAAAATATTAGAAAATAAGAAGCGCTTATATTTTATCCTAGTTTAGTGAGAATAAAATGCTCCATTCATGACCTGGGGATAGATCAGAGTAAGAACCATAAGGTTACTAAGGGAACGCACTGATACTAAATAAACGACTAATTTGAAGTCTGATGGCTTACTATTTCCAACTGCTGTATAGCGAATATGTAGAATCACCTCTGAGGTCGATCTATATTGAAGTCAATTGAATTTCAGCAAACCAAAAGTCAATTTTTTCTCGTTTTTTTTTCAGTTCTGGCAGAAATCTCGTTCCGAAGGATGGGAAAAAAATTTCTGTCAGAAAAATTTTATATCTACTACAGCTTTCGAAGTTATCACAGCTATTCGGTAAGCTCTTTATTTTGTGTAAGAAAAAGTACGAGTATCATAAGCAAAGTGATAGTGATTTTCAAATTATCTTCATGAATAAAAAAACTAAGTCAATCAACTTACAAGCAACAGAACACAAGTAATTTGATGGATGGTGACTAGCAGCAGAATCTAGGTTGCCGCTTTCGTCCCGTTTTGGACTCGTCATCTGGCTGTACCTGCATTCTTCACTGCGTGATGGTTTCTGCATTGAAACTCGAGCCCAACATCCATTGTCCCAAAGTTCAAAGCATCAGTTACTAGACCACTTGAACCACGTGGGACAGCTTTTGTGTAGCGGGTGTCAGTTATTATTTATTTATTAAATTTTGATTTTTCCGTTGATTGATTGGACTGGGATGTTCGGCTTCTTCTGGCATATTGGTCGCTTGTGGGAATGTTTTGACGATGTCTGAGGATGAAATTGAATTAATTTGGTGGTATATGGTGACTAGCAGTGGAATGCATGATGCGTATTTCAACCTAGCAGTTAACTGGGAAGATGAAATTGAATTAAAAGCAAATGACAATAGGCGATAATTTCAAAGTAACCCTCATCTATGAGCATCTTTTTAACTAGATTGTATTATCAACCTTAACACAATAATTTTAGCTTATTATCCCAATTGAAACTAAATTGACTAAGCTGCTATGCATTTCATGAATACTATTATTCATACAGTCAAGAATTAATCTCCAATAGAGGCTTTAAAATATATTGGAAGCAGATAAGCAGTGTAATAATTACTGATAAAAAGCATTCCAACTGCACATATTTTATGACAGTGTTATCTTTTGCTTTAAATGCAGTCAGGAAAGAAAGTGTAGTAAAACGAGGTTTCACTTCTTGAAAGATGGTGAATCAAATAACTCATAAATCAGTGCACCGATTTGCTTTATGAGGAAACCAGGATAAAGGTAGTGGAAAGAATTTATAATAATAAGGTACATGGATTGTTCGATAGGACGTCAGAATCTCAGGTGCACAAGTAATTAAATAGTAAACAAAAAGGAAGGTGACTATAGGAGCATTCACTACATGAGAAACTCTGTCTTTAGATTTATGCCTAAAATTAATAGGCCTTTCTTCCTCTGTTTTTCACTTTATGTCTAAATATCCTGAAACTGCAATCACTTTCTCCGACGAAGTTGTAACATAGCTGGCGAAAAATGCACTCTGCACAATATATATTTTTTCAACAGTTAGTTTGTGGGGATTTGAGTTGTTTCAGGTTTGATTACGGATTGATATCAGTTAGGGAACCAATGGATACCATTGAGTCGGGTCCAAACGGCTGAATGGTCAATAAGCTTACCTTTGAACCGAGAAGTCCTGGGCTCGAAACAAGGTGGGTGAGCGCTTCCGACGAGACCCAAGCTAGGCTGACAAAGCAGCCGTTCAGTACTTCCTGGTTTCCACTGGCTCTCTAACTGATATCAATCACTGGTCAAACTTCAAATATATATATATATTAATGCTGCTGAGAAAGAAAGGAGAGTTTACTGCTCCATATGATACTCAGAAAATGCTAGAATCTGTGACTCATTCGACTGTTCAATTCAGTGCCAACAATCATATCCTTGTCAGAGAGAAGGGATACAGACAGTGAGATCGAATCCACCATTTGCATCATACACAGTTTGAGATGAGAATTCACAACATATTCATTGAGAAGCTAAAATTATTTGGATCATAATACGAGATCAGCGCTTGGTAACGTGATTGGCAATCAAAAAAATTAAGCGAAACAGTATGGTGGTAAATACCACTGATGTGATATAAGTGGTTGAAAAGCGCTTACATTGAGTAATAGTGCTTACTGGTTAGACTGGAGTGATTTAAACACTTGATTGATGATTCGTTTGTTTGGAGTCAAGTTCATCAGAGGTGAACTGGAGATGACTCATTACCAAGGGTGGAATCCTTTCAAACCACCTCGAGAAATCAAAATAATCAGTGCCATACAACCATACTTTTTGCTGACTTTCTTGGCCGTCACCTATAGGAACAAGCAGACAGCAGAATGTGATCCGGAGATATTTTTGGTTCCAAAACAAAACTCTGATGATTTCTCACCTCGAACTGTGTAGCTTGATTCTGTTTATTAGTATTATGGGTCTCTGACCTGACTCAGTGAGAGTACACCGCTGATAAATTGTGTGTCGAATGAACCAGACAACTTTACTGAATTCAGATGACTTCACTATGGCTATTAAACACTACTGCTTCACATGAGTAGTCTCCAGGTACTCAAAGTAATCGCCAGTATATATCATCAAGTATACACTCTCTAACTTATTTTGTGCTTCACCAATATTAACAAACTATAAAACTATGCTACTTCAAAAATTAATCGGTTTCATGCGTGTTTGGTATTAAATGAAGGAAGTATATGTCTAACCAAGTGTTCAGCACTAACATTCATAAATTTTGGCACCTATTCTTTTTGAGGATAGAACAACCGGTGATTTAAATTTCGGATATTATGTTGCATGAATAACGAAACGTATTCACAAAGTGTAAAAATGTTCCTTAGACGGTAGAGTAGAAAACTTTTAAAATATACCCACTTATTATAAATTGTTATTTAAAATACTTCTTATCTATTTTGCTTAGTACACAGTTATTAGGACAGCTTAGAGCTTCTGGTTTTGTGAAAGCCAGAGGAAGTGGAGATATCCGAGACCTTAACAGTAATTCAGAAAATTGGGCTGTTGTTAAAGCAGCTATTGTAGCCGGTATGCATGGTAATTTAGCCCGATTGGATAGGAAAAATTCATGTTTGAGGATGGCTAATGGAAACAAATCATTGGTGAGTCCTGTTTGTATTTTATTGCATATAAATAATCCTTTGACTAGATTTTCAGTGTAATGAAGACGATTTACGCAAAGTATTATAGCAGTTTAGGTCACCATCGCAAAGCAGTCTCAATCTCTTTTATATATTGCAGGCAAATCCCTGTTTATTCAGTGAGCTGGATACTAGATCACATACATATTCCAATAGGTTTTTTATCGTATTTATGTTTTCCGCTTAAAATAAAAAGGAGCTACAAGGCTAATATCAACCAAGAATCACCAATTATCAAATGTTCGTTTCCAGAGATTTGATTGGCTACAGGTTCGGTCACAAGCTGACATCAGTTAGAAAACCACTGGAAAGCCAGAAAGTACTGGATAGCTGTTTTGCACTAGTTTGGAACTCCTCATCAGTGTGCACCCTCCGGGATTCGAACCTTAAACCTTCGGTTACAAGGCAAACTGGCAGATCATTCAGCTACGATTTAGCGACTCATGATTTCTAACTTCTGTTAATTCGTGATATATATATATAGCAAATCAGCCATCCGATCGGCTCCCAGAGGCTAAAATGGCCTACGAATGGAGAGGCTTGGGTTCTAACCTCGGTGAGTGCGTACTGTTGAAGCGTCTCAAACCAAAATGAAGCAAGTGTGCAAAAGAATAGCTAACTTTGCTTACCCATGAATCCATATGACAGGCGGATCAAAACAGTTAAGTCTCGTAGTGAACAAGCTGACATTCATTCATTATTCCAGGATAGACCATAACATATTTCTACCCTCTGTGGATAAGCAAAGCAATATGACAATCAACCAGTGTTCTTGATACTTAGTTGTCTTCACATATGTGACTCGATGAGTCTCTGGCCCACTGAAAAGCCATAATTCAGATAACTACTAACTCCCACATTCTTATTACGGAAATTAACTCCATTTCCCAAATGTTGGTGACTAAATTGTATTGAACAACCCATAAGGTGGAAACGAAAGATGTTGCGTGCTCTTAGCTTTAAATAGATATCCGATATGATCTCCGCTCGTTGTCTAAATATTATTGGAGTCAAACCAATGCTCGTACACTGAGAAGCCAAATAGTGGCAGTCTGATTAAGGGTTTCAATGGATTCTATTTTGTTTTAAGAATTTACAGAAAAAACCATTAGCACAAAAATGTTTTAATCAAAATGAATATGAAAGTTATTTTGTGGTAACTCATGGCTAACTCCAGTTCTTATTGTCAGTTCATAAGAAAGTGACTGACTGGTTTCAGTACAGCACTTTTCCACAGAAGTAAAGCATTTCGAGTGGCCATACTCTATGTAACACACAAAGGAAGACAAAAGAGAGAAAAGACATTCAAAACCACGATGGTAAGCAGAAATGTAAGGCAGAAAGTATAGTAACATGGAAAAAATTAGGGTTTCATAGGATATGACAGAACACACAGAGTGAATGTCTTTGGACCGTTGAGAACGATTTTGAGCCATATCACCAGTTGTATCCAGTCACTGGTTTTAAGCATCCTGAGGACTCCAACCAGGTTACCTACATCTCCCTTAGTCGCTCAAATTAACTGTTAAGGATTTCATGCACCGAATTTTGATCTGAGCCCTACTATCTCTTATCCAACCTTATCGTGTGTCAACTAACACTACTGGTCAAGGAAGCTGATGACTCAGAATATGTAACACGTGCCTAGCCATCTCAATCGATGTAGCTTCAAAATCTCATCGACAGAGTTTCCCTTCTCACCCAGCACACGACACCTAACCGCAATGTTACTCACCCTATGATACTACCTAACATGGGAGATAGAACGCAAGTATCCGTAGTTAAAAACAGATAGTCTTTTCATACCTTCCACTTTCACTGACCACGTCTCACAGCCATAAAGGAGAAAAAATGGAACTGCTGTGCAGTACAAACATCCTTTGATCGATAGACAGTCGGATATCAAGTCTACTCCAGAGATCAAGTAAATTGGCAGGTACTAAGCAAGCCTTTTTTATCAGTGCTGAGATTTCGTCAGCGATCGGCATTTTGGGGCTGATGAAAGTAGGTTGAAAACATAAGTCGTTATATTCAACAACTTTTGCAAAGCAATATTTAAACATTGCTGGATATTATAATCATCGATTTCGCTAACAGTCAACTTACCAACTAAACAAGTACTAGCTTTTATAAATATTCCGTTTCATATTTTACTGAGTAGTTATATTTCTGAATTTTTTCAACAGATTATGCTTCACCCAAATTCTGTCATTGCTACAAATTCTGATGGGACAAAAATGGATTTGAATAACTTGCCGTGTGACTGGCTTGTTTTTGATGAAGTGCTCACTTTAAGTAATTCAAATGCCAATGACATCTATGAGTCCATGTTGTCAAGCAACAGTGAAACTCATTTCAGCAATACTTGTATGAATAGCCAACAACAAAATAATCACCTGAGCACTTCTACTGAAAATAATAAAAGCGACTTGAAGGTTATAAAATGTGCTAGTATAATTTCACCAATCACTGTAGCACTAATGGCTGGACCGATTCGATTATGGCCAGAAATGATTAAAGAATCTCAGTCAAATGTAAACGGTAGGTGATTTTCTAAACTACTACTAAAACTCACTTATTAAACATGCTTTTCTAATCTGTTAACGAAACATAGTCAAATGTTACACGAAAGATCTAACATTTGTGAGAATAAGATTTCCTTTTTAAAGACGATGTGAAATTCAAAGAAGGCAGTGTTAACTTTGAACACGTACTGATTTCAGTTAGCAAAATCGAAGAGTATTAAACGGCTGTTTCATCCTAGTCTGGAACTCTTCATCAATAAGCACCCATGGTCTCATTAAGCGGTTCAATCAGCAAACTTCAGGTTACGGGGCGGGCTCGTCAACTATTCAGCCACTGGCTCAGTAGTTCATAATTTTGCCAATATGTGACGTCATCAGAAATTCCCTAATGATTTCTTGGTGATCCTGTCTGATGATGCATAAAATCTCTATTTTGATAAAGTCTCACAGTAATATTAATTTCAGTAAAAAGTTTGAGCATTGTGGAATAGATCAAATAACTTATAATTATATTTTGGTAGTTTACATTCAATGATAAGTTTTTTTTTGGTAATATTTAGAGCAAAATTACTGCCCGTGATCCCACCAACTGTTGGAATTGTTTTGTTCTTAATTCACACATTTATGATTCGTACTCATTGTGGTCGAGTATAATTCCATTATGGATAGAATGTTTATTCTTATTAAGTCTCAGTTATATTTACTGATGACATGTCAAACACAATTTATTGCTCATAATCATATGAAGGTGATATGATATGATTATGAGCAATAAATTATGCTCGAAATGTCATCAGTAAATATTATTGTGAAACTTTATCAGAATAAAAATGTTCTATTCATAGTGGAATATTACTTGACCACAGTGCCCATGTTCTATCCTTATGTCAGAACTATTTTTGTCAGTACCGCCATCTTAACTCGTTTTATTATCATTTCTGTAATATCTAATATTTCCAAGTTCCTTTTCCGATAACGAACTGTTTATTAAATTTAATCTCTAACAACCTCTTCATCCTAACTATCTGAAATTGACCTGTAAAACATACGGACGAGGTATTTTGAATGATTAATCCACTGTAGTTTATCGGTGGCACAGTGGTTAGGACTCTCGCCCGCCATGCATATGGTCCGGGGTTCGATCCCCTGCCAGTGCACACCTGATATCTATGGTCGGCCTGCGAAATTCGGGCTACCGATATCACATGCTGAAAATTCCATACCTGTATCATAAAATATGGTGTAGAATCAAGCTCAAATAAAAATAAATAAATAAAATATCAGTCACATGTATTTCTCAATGTACATATATATATATATATATATATATATATATATATAATTAGTTGTGTTCTCTGAGCTGATTGATTTAATTGCGAAGCTCTCATCGTAGGTGTTAGCATAAAATGAACTCATTTAAATTTTCCATGAAGGATGTAACTGAATCTCCTGGTGACCACTGTCGTGAATTAATAAAATATGAATGTGTCAGTTCCCAGTATATCCTGAACTTCAGTCTTATGTCAGTTTGTCTTTTAACAATGCTAAATTACTTTAAAGATCCTGTACATGATTAGTTTGCTAGACAAAATGTAAGGCTTCAGTGTTCTAGGGATGGTACACGAGACAACCATCATCCAATTGATATTTAATGTTCCTTTTTGGAAATCTAGTTATCTGGCCTGTCAGAGGACCATTTTCCAAAAAAGCTTTTTCTTTAGAAAAAAAACCTTCATGATTTAATTTTCAACAGATTAGATAACAATATCACAATTTAACTCCGATTCAAAGGGCTCTAATCTTTACTTCCAGCTACATAAATCTCTTTATCTTAAGAGATAAAAATCTTTTTTTATTCATTAACTTTCCCAGTGGAACATAGGGCTTCAAGCTACAGGCTTGCTAGCCTCATGCCCAACCTTCCTTATTTACCAGTCATTACTGGCTTAATGAGGTAAAGGAGTGCATCGGTGGGGGGATCGAACCTCGAACCACCTGCGTGATTGGCGAGCATTCTGCTAGTGTGCCACTGACGCAAGTGATAAACACTTAGTTATTATAATTTAGCTTGCTGCACATCTATCAACTTTCTAACATTGCCAAAGCTTTAAAAGAAAGTAACTGAATGTACATTAATTAGTACCCGATTAATAATGCCACATAATGAAACCTACTTACAACAATCAGTCCCCTTTATGAATTTGGAAAAAGCAATAAGAAGATGTAATTTGTCTGAATCGTGTAATGTTTTTCGAACACTCTAATCACACACAGACTTGTCATAGGAATACATATGAAATTAATAAAGACTTAAAAGGTGAGAAAATAGACTTTGGTCAAGTTAAAACCTACTTATTCATCATCACCAGTTCAGTTAAGTTAATACACTTTCAATTATTAGGCGAAAAATCGTCTTGCTTATTTATTCACTTTTAGTAAAAAAGATTGGATTACCTTGAAGCTGTTTTCAGGCGTAAGGAGTGAGTTATAATACATCTAAGGGATAGTTATGGTTAATTAACAACAACAGCAACATCCAGCGCCAATCACCATCAACGGGAGGGATTTGAAAGAGGTTACTTCATTCATTCACTTATCTAGGGAGCATTGTCACAACTACAGGCAGTCGGGACGGACGAGGATGTCAAATTGAGCGAGAATCGGGAAGGCAGGTGAGAAACGCATTCATCAACCTGAAACAACCAATCTGGAAATCTTCGTCACTCAGCCAGCATCAACAACAAAATTCGGTAGGATTTTCAATACAAACGTCAAGTCAGTCAGTTCTTCTATCCGGAACGGATCAGAAACTTGGCGGGCGTGTCACAAAGAATATTTCCAACAGGCTTTCGCAGACTTTCATCAGTCAACAACTGTCTTCGCTCTATACTGAAGATCAGATGGCCGGGCCGGAACGAATCACCAACAAGAAACAAACTATGGGAACAAACAAGACAAGAACCAGTCACCAACCAACAAATATGCAGAAGAAAGTGGAGATGGATTGGACACTGGCTGAGGAGGCGGCCGCTAGGTGACATCGCGCGCTCGTCAGGCCATCGCTCTAGTGGAAGCTGAAAGGGAAGCAGCGAGTGGGATATGGAGGTGATTGTGTGAAGAGGAGGTGAAACAGTATGGACTAACATGGATGCAGGTGAAAAGTACAGCAGAAGGAAGACAGAAGCAAGTGGAGACGTGCAGTTGAAGCCCTATGTTCCACTAGGAACCCAAGGGAACAATGATAATAATAGTTAATTAATGCATAAAAGTTGTATGATGTTTATGATGATAGGTTCAATTCATATAAAACCAATTGCATAATACATTTTTTAGTTTATGTCATAATTCTTTTGTCTATAAATTAATTGATTACACAGGCTTTAACCCTACTAAAATACCCACAGAAGAAGCAAAACAACAAATCCATCAGTGCCAGACAGTTTGCAGTAATACAAAGAATAAAAATGAGAACAATAACAATATTATCTATGGAGGGGTTCAAGAAGAATATGAAACTGAATCAGAGTCCGATTCTGATTCAGAAACTCAAGGGATTGTTAAATCTCTTTTACAGAATAGTAATAATAATAACAACAGTAATAGTAATAATAATAGTCAATTATCACGTATTCATATGAATATTCGTGAAGTTCTCGGTGAAATAATACAGCAGAAAACAAAAACAAGTGGCAATTCAACAGACGCGAAGTCAAAAGTGGATACTCCACAAGCACCGACACAACCATCAGATCCTATCATAAATCTATCAACAAATTTCAATACAATAAAGGTTTCTGATCATAATAAGCATAATTTGAAGTCATTGCCTATTCAACAACAAAGTCAATTAATTCCTAATCTTACTTATTCACCTGTGGATCAGTCTAATCCTATAATGTCAATGATGTCATCATCATCGTTGGTTTCAACATCAACATCTGCAAATGATCAAACAAATACTAACACATCATTTTGCTTAGATTCAACTGGATTTCTTCGTTTTATTCTAAACTCGAATGAAGCACAAATGGTTATAGGCTTACGACAGAAATGGCATGCATTGTTCTTACGTCGATTAAAGAATCCTGGGAAACAATGTTCACAACAAGATGAGGTAACATTAAATCATTATATTCAGTCTTATCTAGCCTACCATTAATTGTTCAATTACTTTAGGTATTTTGTACATGATAAGTTTGTCATATAAAAAGGTAAGAGCCTTCAGTGTTCTATCATGGCGTGTCGGATAGTCATGGTTCAACTATCCGAAACTCGTGGATTTCATCAAGCTGTTAAATATAAATTACTCACCTTACATCCAGTACATAACCAACTTGCCCATAACAAGAATTACAATGAATTAACTCCACAACAACCAACAGTGAGTGCTGTTTATCATCTCGCTTTTATAAAAATTTAGCTATCACTTATATCATTGTGGTGGACTGGATTATACGTCAGACAGTGCGTTGGGAGTAGGAAGATAGGGATACACTGGACTACCGATAAGAAAGCTCCAGAAGATCTGGATTTCGCGCGTGGGTGATTTATGTCTAACGTCACACAAACTCGAAGACTTGTAGGCGAGAAGCAACAAACTGGCAGAAGAAGCCATTAGAGAAGACAGGAATCCAGATGAACATAGAGAAGACGGAGGTGATGAACATAATCAATCAACAGCAACGGCAACAACAATAACCAGCACCAATCACCATCAACGGGGGAGATTTAACAGAGGTTACCTCCTTCACTTATCTGGTAAGCATCGTTTCAACCACAGGCAGCCAAAAACTAATTAGGATATCAAAGCAGGCCAGAATTACAAAGGCGCGGTAATCTTCAACACCCTGAAATCAGTCAGGAAATCTTCCGCGCTACACTCAGCTATCATAAAGGATAAGATTCGGATCCTGTTCAACACAAATGTGAAGTCAGAAACTTGGCTAAAGCGTCACAAAGAGTATTTCCAGCAGGTTTCAGACTTTTATGAACAGCTGCCTTCGGTCCATATTGAAGATTAGATGACTAGAAAGAGTAGCGATGAGAAACTTTGGGAGCGAACCACTCAAGAACCTATTGCTCAAAATATACGGTGAGGAAAATGGAGATGGACTGGGCATACGTTGAAAAGGCAGCTGAGTAACATCTCGCGTCCCACCAGAGCTCGAGTGCAGCCCGAATTGGAAACGACAAGTGGGCCGTCGGTGTGAGGGTGACATGGAGGAATTCGTGCCAAGAGGAAACGAGAGACTATAGTCAAAGGGAACAGCAGAAAATAGAACAAAGTAGAGACGCGCTGGTGAACTCCTCTGTTTCACTCGGAAACCAAGGGAACAATAATAATATTAATCATACGTCATTAAGATCGAAAAAATAATCAATTAGTAACCCCCATACTGATCTTTAGACTAGACTAGACACGATAATTCGACAAAAACACTGAGCTAAATTATGAAAGTAGAACTTTGCAAAAAAGTGTATCAGTTCAAGTTGTGAGACATCACAAGTGTATTCAAAGGAAATAAAGAAAAAAAATTCAATTAAAGTACAATAAACGGAAATGTACGATAAAAACAATTATTATATGAAGAATAATCCATATTTTTCTAGAAATTGGAAGACCATTTGGAGTGAATATAACTGCTTCAGTGAAAACAACCTTGAGCTTAGACACTAACAGTCTCAAGGACCCCAACCAGACTGGCTACACACCCCTACGTGGCAAAAACTAACAGGCAAGGAACATGTACTGGTACTATGTTTTTATATCATAAGCACATAACGTTTTCCCAATCTAAACCTATGTCAGTTATATGATAATGCCATATGCCAAATAATTTACAACGAAAAGCTCACGGAAGCATCTGAAATGACTATAGAAGTAAGACAAAGCTGCCTACTATCATCAATGACATTCCTAATTGTGGTGGATTGGATTATGCGGCAGACTGTCGCGGGGGGCGAGAAGACAGACATACGTCGGACTGATAAAAAAGATCATTTATGTCAAACATCATACGAACTCGAAGATCGACAAACAACCAGTTGGCAGAAGAGACGTGGCAGAGACAGGACTTCATGTGAGCATAGAAAAGACACACTTAATGAAGATACCTAACAAATAACAACAAATTCCGATAACCATCAATCGGAGAAATCTAAGGAAACTCACTCCTTTCGCTTATCTGGCTAGGCAGCATCGTTTCGACAGCAGGCGGCACAAATGAAGATGTCAAAAACAACCTAAATCGGAAAAACAGGATGGGTGTTCATTAATCTGAAATCTGTGGGACAATCTACTATACTCAGAGTAAGAATCAAGATCAGAATTTTCAACACGAATGTGAAGTCAGTGTTCCTCTATATTAGTTCAGAGACTTGACGCACATGTCACCAGAATTGTTTCCAACACGCTATTGCAGACCCTCACCAATAGACGCCTTCGTCATCTTAATACCGGTGATCAGATGACTGATCGAACATGAAATTCTGATAGAGAAACATCCAAAAACTTACGGATGGCCCTACAAGTAAAAGGGAGGAATTGGAGACTAGTTGCACATGTACCGAAAAGATATTCAAGCGATACCATACTTCAGCCAGGCCTTCGAGTGTAACTTCTTTTTTTAGAAACAAAATACGAAGTCAGTCCTGTTAACAGATTTCAAGAATGTTTTGTTACTCATGTATAAATAATCTACTCAATAAGCGGCAGTATGTTCAAAAATGTGAACCTCAGAAGTTAATCCATCCACAGTTAGAATACTGATTATGTATTTATTCTCCATCAAATTTCTATGTATCATTTTATTGGCTGAAGATTGACCACTACCATATTCCTTTGCATCAAGCTCTTATTCGATTCATTAAATGCACCTGTCCTGTGGACAATTTCACAGCCAGGTATCTCCGGAAAGTTCATTAACCATGAAAAACTCTAGTGGAGAATGACATGAAGTAAAGAGCAATCTTCATACACTTATTCCCCTTAATGAATTTGAATAAAGCAAGAACAACAGTGGTTTGTGCAGAATAGTATGGTACCATCATTTATATCGTTGGCTTCCCGTCATCTGCTTACAGCCTTAATAAATTATTAAGTTTATGTACAGAAAAGTTTTAAAATACTTGCAAATTTTACACAATATCAGTTGACAGGAGGTTCCGAACTTAGTAAACAGTGTTCATGAAATTGCGCTTACATAGGTTTTACACAGGCAGTTCAAGTTTAAACAAAAATAAATGTATTCATACAATGGTAAAGGAGTTCCTTCATAAAGATGAGAGGTGCGTAAGATGATAAGTGACTGATAAACTAGGTAACAGTGTATTGAGTTCAACTGAAATCATAGAAACAAGAGACAGGCAAAATTACACTTTATCAAAAGAATAAGAGGTTAAAGACCAAGAATACATAATCAAATGAAAAAGAGAGCAAAGATATCCAGTTAGCAGGACAAGGAAAGACTGATAACTGCTTCTTTCCGAACGCACAAATTGAGTTTCCGACGTTTAATAAAAATTGATTCACAAACGTGAGAAGAATTCAGCTTTTTTGTCAATTGATAATTTTAAAGGATTTTGTGATTTCCACCTCACTACCCGTATCAAGGAGATGCCTGGTAATGACACTATTGTGGGTTTTTTTTCCCTTGACAAGTAGGCCTTTCAGTACGTGTCCAGAAAAAAGGAGATGTGCCCTTCTTTCTGTTCTCCCAGTGTAATTGCTTCCCCAAATACTCGTAAATTTGTATGAGAAGGGTATCTGTCCACTTTTTATGGCAACAAAGGGCTAGACGGGAACCAACTTAGCTGCAAGATAGGCTCTGGTTAGTGACGTACTCAATCTTCTGTTGACCATTGCTGAAGTATTTTCACCTTTAAAATCGAGTTGAATAAAGACAGCCTTTTTTCTCATTGTGATTTGTTTGACATAAACTTTTGCTTCGGCTTTATTATAACGTGTGATCAGTTGAAAAAAACTGCTTAGAAAATCAATAATTTGTGTTACTTGATGAACTGACGTAAGCTATTTAGTGAGTCATTACTCATTTTTCAAGTAGTGAGCTGTGAACCATATTTATTGTATGAGGTCTAACGATACTACCCAGCTGCCCAGACTGATTTGGGTGGCGAGGAACTCGAACCATGCACCCATCCACTGAAAGTCAAGTGCTTAAGCCACTGAACTACATCTCGACATGAACAACTGGCGTAAGACCACATGACTCTTTCCAGTATTTCTTCCAGTTTATCAGTTACACTTATGCAGAAACCACTTCGCCGCAGACAAGTAAATCTCATGAGTTTGTCGGAAGTTTAAGTATCACTTATCAAAGTCAAACTCAGTAATACTATGGTGATAGCAGGCTGCTAGCCAAACTGGTAGACAGTAATTTACTTCAATGTTCATGTCCTTAATATTGGTCGTGAGGATAATAAGAACAAGACTGATTCAACAACCAATCACAACAGACTTATCGTAGGCAGATACAGTTAGCATATAGATGACCTGATATTCAAGAAACAACCACACAGAGATGCAAGGTCAACTTTCTGTAAGAAACAACCAATCAGAAGAGTGTGTTTGTTTGCTCGAATAAGCTATAATAATGTACATGAATATATATAAATACGTTTTGATTTCCTTAATAAACGATATGTTGCCTGGCCCTTGTCTTCTCTTGTTACAATACTGATGACGTTTCAAAGACATTTTCTTGATCATAATCATAATCTAATCTAGAATCCTACTCTGACACAATATCTAAATTCAATTTCTATACTAAAGTCAAATGAAATGATTCGAATGCTAATATAAGAACTGCACAGTCCAGAGGTTTTAGGTTTGATCCCTTAAAGTAGCATGACTTCACACAGACAGTTAAGCGTCGGGTGGAAAATGTGTCTAACTGTACTCTTCTTTTAGTGTTTTTCCTACTAATTCCAATGTTCAATTGTGAATACCTGAAATTTTATTAATTATTTAAAGTCTACTAGCCTATAATATTGATTAAGAAGAAATTTCATCAACGTTTACATTATAAGTAGGATCTGATAAGTACAACTAATTGATTAGTATTGTAACGACAGAAGACAAGGTTCAGGCAACAGATCATTTATTGAGGAAATCAAGAAGTATTTATAGATTTTTATATGCATTATTATTACCGTTATTGTTAGCAGAGAACCAACCTCTTCTGATTGGTTGTTTTCTTGCTGAAGGTTACTCTTTTACCCCTTCGTGGCCGTTTCTCATAAAATCAAGCCATACATCTGCGAATCATATTCCCACACTTCAACTCCACTATGATTGACTGGTGATTTTTTCAGGGTTAAGCTTTGTTATTGTTTTTCTCATGACCCTGATTCTGGACGTAAACATTGACGTGAATTGTTGTCTACAAATCTTGGCTTGCATACAGCTCTCACCAAAGTATAATTCATGACTTGTTCTTCAACGCTTGTATCACCCTATTTTATTTAGGCGGTTCTTAATTGCTTGACAAATGTTTTAATGACTGAAGAACAAGCATTGGGGCTAAGACAACCATCTGGTGTTGGTGCACGTCCACGTCCAATGGCAGCAGAACTATGCAATCAACTTGATTGCTCACAAAATGATACTTCTCAAATTGCAAAAGTCTCTACTGGACAGAGTATGAATAATAAAATTGCCCATTGTATAATAACAGAAAGCAAACACCCATCACTACAATTACTTCTTCAAACACAAATCAGTTAGATCAAGATAGTTTAAGGTGTAAATATCCCCTGTTTACACGACCAAGCTATGCATCACAAATTACAAATTTTACTCTGTTAAATGATTTCAGCAAAACAAACGAACAGGGCTCATTTCAAGCATCCAGAAGAGAACAGTATATGGATAAGCATACGTCGATCACTCCAGTTATGGAAAGCACAGGAAATACAGGAAGGCTGACGTCATTTCCTACTGCAAACAATAGTCGGTGTGATTGCCAAGCTTGTAGTGACAATCCTAATTATGTATTAGCGAATCCCTTGTCAAAAGTAAGTTAAATTACTGTTGATGTTTTTTGGGGGTGGATGGGGTGTCTGGAAACTGGAAATTGACTATCTCTGTACGTTTTAATAAGAAATACTTCAAGTTCAATGCGAATTCAGCATGATAGCTAATAGCTTCTACATCCATGTCATAAAAATATAAATATTGAAAAATTAAACCTCAGAAACACGTTTGTATTGGCAAAGATTTTATTAAGCTTATTTGTGAAAAGGGAAATACAAACATACTCAATGGAATATGAAAGCTGATAATTATCCAAGCACTTATAGAATGTGAGAGATTGTTACTTCCCAGGTCATACTGTGCACTTCGTGATATCTTTTAAAACGTATCCCTTATAAACTACTCATGAAGTATTTTATATTAGTCTGATTAATTATCTGGTGGTCTAACTGACAGAAGTTAGAATTCATGAGCCATTGGATCGGGACCCAGTGGCTTAATGGTCTACGATCTCGCCTTGTAAGCAGAAGGTTCTGAGTTGGAACCCCGGTGGGTGCGTACAAAATAGCTGTCCAGCACTTGCAGGTTTTCCAGTGGTTCTCTAATGACGTCAGCTCATGATGAAATCCTCCATCCAATCAAAGGAGGTAAGTGTTGAACAGGTTACATCTGTGGAATGAATAATCATACTACTCACAAACACTAGCAGTAGATGCTCAACACACACACATCCACACTTCTTGATTTTTCTATAGTTAGTTTGTAGTGATTTAATTCGTTTTTTTTTATCACGGATTGATATCAGTACTAAGAAAAACACTGAAAACCACCAGGGAAGACTGGGTGGATATCTCGTCCAAGTTTCGGACTCACCAGCAGTGCCCACACTCTGGGATTCGAACTCAGAACATTCCGGTTACAATGCGAACTTGTAGACCATTCAGCCACTGGGACCAAATCCAATGGCCAGTCCATGAATTCCAACTCCTACCGATTTGGTGATTTTAGCTCTACAGACCACCAGCCAATGTGATCGGCAAGTATTCGTTCTCATTCATAATCTGATGGTGCACCCCACCGGTCACAGTTTCTCACTAAAACTCCAAGCAACTTCATTCGGAGTCACTAGTGAACTACCAATGAGTCCTAAACTAGGACGAAACTGGTGCCCTGTAGTCTCGTTGGTTTTCTAGCTGATATGAATCCGTGATCAAAGTTGACTTTTTTCCTCTTGTAACTCCACTATGGATAAATTGTATATTCTATTTTCGCCTCCTTTACTTACTGTCCTTTTCTAGACCAATTCCTTTTATCACTGATTGAATTTAGATATGAAGCGACTGGTCGTTCAGTTTGGTTTACTAATGATATTGTCTCAGCGAGTGTTCGCATTCATTGCACTTCTTTCTTGCCTGAATTTTGATATCTAAGTTTGGAATGACACAAAATAACTGTAACTCAGATAGATGCTTTTGATTTGTTTGTGTCCTCTGAACTAGTTGATTTAATTGAGAAGCTTTCATTGTCTTTTTCGACAACATCTTCAGCGCAAGCTTTAATATGAATTGGACTTGTTAGAATTCTCTCTCCATGAATGACAATGAAAGCTTAGCTATTTAAATCAGCCAGCTCAGGGAACAGAACCAAATCAAAAAGATTTCTGAGTGGCACAGTTGAAGTATTCCTGAGAAATCTTCATTAATTTCGACAATTGAATTTTTAAGATTTCCATTTCCAATATCGAGTTAATTAACACTCAACTTAGACCAGTGACCAGAGTGCACAACTAATCGACAGGTTTCAACTAACACAATAAGAAGCACTTTTTGATTGCACAATAGGTAGTTACTAGTGTAATGTGTCTGGTCGTTCGTTTGGTGTGGATTGTGCGTCGGTGGCCCAGCGGTTAGAACGCTTGCCGACCATGCACATGGTCCAGGGTTTGATCCCCAGCCGACGCACACGTCATATCAATGGTCGACCGATATCACATGCTGAAAATTCCATAGATGTGCCAAAATACTGTGTAGAATCAAGCTATAATAAATAATAACAACTCTGTTATCTATTAGTTTGGTTTGTAAGGGTTAGTTATGTTTTTACGAGTTGATCACGGATTGATATCAGTTAGAGAACCATTGAAGACCAGGAAGTACTGGACAGCTGCTGTTTCATCCTAGTTTAAGAATCATCGGCAGTACGCACGTGACATCTGTCACGTGTGTGGATGGATGTCCCACCAACGACAATGGTTGGGGTCGCGCTAAATCACGAATTGGTAGAAGTTAGAATTCACGAGCCATTGAATCGGGTCCCAGTGGCTGAATAGTATACGAGCTTGCCTTGTAACCGGAAGGTCCTGGGTTCGAACCCCTGGCGGTGGGTACGTACTGACGATGATTCCCAAACTAGGATGAAACAGCAGCTGTCCGGTACTCCCTCGGTTTTTAGTGGTTCTCTAACTGATATTAGTCCGTGATCAACTCGTAAAAATAACTCTATTAGTCAAGTTTGCAATGTGATCACCATTCCAGGTGGTTCGCCATCACGATCCATTTTGAATTGGTGATATTAGATGGTTGGAGGCAATCGGCAAGAAGCCTTCAATCTAGGTTTCATACTTGTTAGCAGTCGGCAGTAAGCAAGGCGAATTTGCAACTCGAGAGGAGACATGAGTTCCTTCATGGTTGCAGTTACACCAAGGCCCAAAGCTTCCTGCCGATTACCTCCAACCATCAAATAACAATAAGTCAGTAGCTATTATTATCGGGTAAGTGATACACATAATAAGACACTAAATAAAAGACTCACGTACAAATAATCGCATAGGATGTTTTGGGGAAGACAGTAAGTTTATGAATAGCGAAAAATATCAATTGATAACCGGTTTTAAGGTGATTTTATGACATTTAAGTTGTTCAAAGTCTTCTTACACTGCAGACATTTATTTGTTATACTGTTCAAACAATTTTGGACACATGACAAAATTCGAGGAACTCCAGTGAGAAAAAACTAATTAAGTCGGATTATATGACATAGATTATTTCATGTAGATTCTTGATAATATGAGAAGCCTGTTTCATACCGGAACATAATTATTTGTCAATAATAAAAATAGTAAAGCTACTTCAGAGAATTACGATTGTCAGCTTATCATCACTGTTCCCCTAATTACATCAGTAAGTCTTACTCTTTGCTTTATTATATCTCATGGAGAAGTAACGCTTTAGACTCCGTCTAACCATATTTCCGTTTCAGAAAGACGACGGTTGCAGAGAAGAAGAAAATTTTCTTTCCAACGAAGACATCAGCTAGACAGCTGTACATTCATGTATTTATAGTAAAACGGGTGGGAACGTTCCAGAGCGATTTTTGGTCAAGGGTCAAATTATTAAAATTGCAAACAGAGATTAAAATGTAATGATAGATAAGATCGAAATAAAACATAGTAGGATTATAATTATTGTGAAAATTCATCTTTTATGCAGTTAGAGATTAAAAATGTTCAAGAGTTAACATATGTAGCACTTTGTTCTGTTTCAAGTTTGACCATGGATTGATGTCATTTAGAGAACTACTGAGGACTAACAAGAAGTATTGGAAAGCTGTTTTGTTCTAGTCTGGAACTTATCGTTATTACACACCCAATGAGGACGACATTGCCTGGAGTTAAAGCGAGAAGTTGTGATCAGTTTAGAATGGGAATAAATACTCACTGATCATATTGGCTGGTTCCAATCTCTCTAAAATCTCAAATTCATCGAAGTAAGAATTCTTGGACTGGCCATTGAGTTAGTTCCCACTGGCTGAATGGTCTACAAGCTTGATTTGTTACCAAAATGTTCTGATTTTGAATCTCAGTGGGTGCGTAATTCCAATAAGACCCAAACTAGGCTGACGAAACAGCAATCTAGTACTCCCCCTGTTGGTTTCCAAAAATAGTTCTCTAAATGATATCAATCGGTGGTAAAACTTGATTAAAAAATGTAGAAATATCAAGATAGAGAGGAAGTTCGGATAAAAAAAGTAGTAGTGCAACAAATAGGAATTAAAAAGACGGATAAATAAAAGAAATAAATCAATAAAAGCTTTATTTCGAACAAAATATTTACGGTGTGTACAGAATCGTCCGGGTAATTTATTGCATAAAATATAAGTCCTCGTTATCCGGAATCTTGAAATAAAGTAGCGGTCTACACACTATATCATGTGACACAATGCTGTTATATCTGAAGCATGAACTACCTCATGACGATATTTTCCCTGTGTCTCTAAGAAATGCGCACCGGTAATAGGGGTAATCATTGTTGGGAGAAATGACTCTTTATCATGGCTGTCAATTTTGAAATTACTACATTTTTGATCCTAAATTGGCCAAAACAGTCAATTTTCTCAGTAATTATGATCGCAAAATGTTTCCCTTCGATCTTCCTCTTTACTATTAAACTTTAATCCCTGCTATCGACCGGAAGCAGTTCTGAAAGTTTCTCACCCACTTTACTATAAATACACGAATCTACATCTGTCTAGTTGATGACTTCATTGAGAAGAAAATTTTCTTCTTCACTGCGAGCGTCTTTTTAATATTTCCTGATGATCAAATGTGAATATATTCCGTGATTTCAATTTTATAAAAAACAAAATAATTGAGCAAAGAATATCCTTTTCGATAATTTCTTCTTCTTGCTCCACAATTATATATAGGACAATTGAAAATAGTAGTCAATAACAGTATTAGTGTTTTTTCAAGAATATCGATTTGTAAAGTAAGATCGCAATGCAATTACAGTTCATTAAAGATGCTTAAATTATACTAATAATAATAATAATAATAAAGATATAGTAGCAAATAGAATGTTAACTGAAATTAGGGAAAAATCTACAAAAAATTGAGGATCATTCTAACCTAGATGGCCAAGGTAAGGACAATGTCTGAACTAGCTTCTTTTGGACACATAAATTAGGCTTCTGAATGTGGATCCCAACGGCCTCAGTAATATTTAATAAACGAACTCTTGAAGCTAAGTTAAGATTTGTTGGTATTCGGTAAATGACTTCAAAAGCCTCGTTGACATCAATCTTGTGGTTAAGTAAAGGACATAGAAAATCTATTTGTAGTGCTATTCTATCTCATCTTTTGGATACAGAACACATGAGTGGTGTTGACGAGGCTTTCAGAGTCAATTACCGTATACCTGTAACAACAGAAGAAAAGGGTCAAGCTACAGATCGTTTATTAAAGAAATCAACACGTATTTACAGATTTTCATGTCCATTATTATAGATTATTGTTAGCAGAAAAACCCAATCTTCTGATTGGTTGTTTCTCACAGAGAGTTGACCTTGCATCTCTGTGTGGCTGTTTCTTGAATGTCAGATCATCTATATGTTAACTGTATCCGCCTACGCAAAGCCTTTGTTCTCCTTTTTCTTTGCGACCAATATTGGGGACATAAACATCGACGTAAATTACTGTCCACCAATTTCAACTAACAGCCAGCTCTCACCACATACCAACAAATCTCATTTTCGCCTTATGAGTTCGATTACTAAATATTGCTGAGGCTGTTGGGATCCATATTAAAAAGCCTAATTTATGTGTCAGAAAGAAGCTTGTTCAGACATTGTCCTTACCTTAACCAAATAGGTTAGGGTGATCCTCGACTTTTGTGGAAATTTCCTTAATTTTAGTTGATATTCTATTCGCTATTATATCTTTATTATTATTATTATTTAAGCATCTTTAATGAACTGTAATTCCATTGATCTTACTTAACAAATCGATATTATTTAAAAAACACTAATGTTGTTATTGACTACTAATCTCGAATATTCTATGTATATAAACATATATATATAATTGTAGAGCAAGAAGAGGAAATTATCGAAAAGGAGATTCTTTGCTCGATTATTTTGTTTTTTATAGATGTCTGAATAAATATTTTCGCTATATTGAAATAAGTTTTCGTTTGGTTGACTCCTTGAAAATGCTTAGTGCGTGCTTTGTCTCTCTTTCTGCTATCTTCTTACTACCTCTGACTGTTGTTCACAAAGTTTTTTTTCTAAATATTTGGTCGTTAATATAAATTTTATGTACATCAAATATGTATATTCCATGATTTCTGCTTTAGTTAAATATTATACAATCGGAAGACAAAGGCACCTCATCAATAAGTAATTTGAACAGCAATTTTCCAGAAACACCTATTCATCACATTTCGCTACATGGAAATCAAAATTCTTCTCTTCTTAATCCATTAGTCAATTTGAATAGAGTGAACTCACTGGAGATGAAGCAACAACCGCAACGTCAACAGCAACAGCAACAACAACAACAACCATATGATCATAATGAAATCCAGAATAATAACAATAATAATAACAACAATCAAATAAATCACCATCATTCGCTTAAATGGGAAAGTATAAACTATTCATCAAATAGCTTAAAAGAATCCTATAGATTAAATAACCTGATCAGCAATTTTGCAACTTTATCATTCCCTGCGACACCTATTACTATAAGTAATGATAGTAGTAGTAGCAGTAATAGCAATGCGCTGATAAGTGATCATTCTCTAGGCAACTTAAATAATCGATTGAGTGTAACACAAACCACCAATATTTGGTCTTCAAATAATGAAGCCGATTTTAAACTGTTAAATTATGGAATAAACAAGTGATGACATAATCCGCATTGAAAGAAAAAATATATATAAATTTACAATTTATTTATTGGTTTCCATTTTGAAATTAAAGAAGTTCATTGATCAACAGAATTTTCCAGAATTAACTTTTGTCCTTAATATAGTTCGTGTTATAATTTCTGATTGAGTTTGAATGTTGTTGTTGTTTTTTTTTTCAATAGTGATTTAATTGCAAGTCTGGTTATTCTTTTTCAATAAGAGGGTTCTTTAAACGGCGACGATTACTCAGTTATATAATCTGTGCTTTGAAGTGTCAGTACCAATTGGATTGAATTCTCGGTGTAGAGTCGTGTTAGCTTTCTAGACTTGAGACCACTGGGTAGTAAATTACACTGAGTTAGTCTGACTAATTGGTTTCAGCGTAGAACTTTGCACTGGTGTGCAACAGTTCAAGTCACCACACTCCCTCTTTGTAGCACACAAAGCAAGAGAAGAAAGTAAAAAGAAATGCAAAACAGAGATAGTAAACACGGATATGAGGTAAAAAGAATAGTAATACCGAAGAGCAATTTTAGTTTTATTGGATATTTTAAGTCACAAGGAGTGGATGCACCTACGCCAGCCATTGAGAACGACTTTGAGCTATATCACAGATTGTCTCCAGCCACTGGTTTTTACTATAACGGGGACCACAACCAGGAAGTCTACACATCCTTATGTGGCTAGGATAAATTAACTGTTGCAGATTTCATTGACTGATGCCATGTTTTGGTTTTACCGCCACTGGCTCTTTTTCAACCTGATTCTATGTCAGGTAGATTTTCCCGTCAATAAAGGTGACCGATAGCTAGCGATGTGTAGCACATCTCAATCGATGTAACTTCACAACGTCATCGATTGATTTCTCCTTTTTACCTAGCACTCAACGCCTAACTTCAGTATTGCTCACGCTAGTATACCACTTCACACGGGAGATAGGACGCAAACACCTATGATCAAAGATAGCTAAGTGGGCTTTTCATGTCTTTCACTCTTGTTGGCCATATTTCACTGACAGCCATAAATGAGGACCGGGAAAAGTGCTAAGCAGTACACACGCCCTTTGGTCGATAGCCGGATATCACGTCTACGTCAGAGACGCCGTAAACTGGCATATGCGAAACGAGCCCTCTGTATCCGTACTGAGATTTAGTCAGAGATCAAACCGTTGGGGCTGATGCAGCTTCACAAATGTGTGAAGCGGTCAACGTGTTCTACCACTTCACTCCCTATTTCTAAACTAGGAGGCAGTGTAGTCCAGTCCTGTACCATCATCTTACATTTGGCTGTAGCGAATCACATGCCAAACATTCGTAGATTGCAGCTCAAGATGTTCAGAAGACTCTGCATTTTGTCAGTGTCCTCGCCTATAAGGACTATATCATCTGCATATTCCAAGTGAACGAGATTATTCCCTGGTAACAAGTCGATCTCTGAGTCTCTAAAATGATTCAGGGTTAATTCCATTAGTACATCAATGATGGATTTAAATAGAAATGGGCATCCCTGACGGACAACACAAGTTGTCACCACTTCAGATGACAACTCATCGTAAGCCCTCACCTGGCTGCCTGAGTTCGAGTAGAGTGCCTTGATCAGTGTAATATATTTTCTCGGCATTCTTCTTACAACGAAGTACCTCCCGGTCGACAGAATCGAATGTTGCCTTTAGGTTAAGAAATATAACGATTGTTGGATGTCGGTAAATATGCCTATATTCCAAAATCTGTCGTAGAGTGAAGATATGATCAATATGCCCTCTTCCTGGTGTAAAGCCTGGCTGGTCCTCTCGTGTTGCACCGAAAAAAAGACTCCAGAGCATCTGAACTTCGAGGATAACTTATGTTGTGTATCACACAAACACAAAGATCCACAGGCAAAAACCAACAACCTAAAAAAAGAGGTAGCGAAAATAGTACTTCAAGTGAACACAGAGAAGGGAGAGTTGATGTAGATACCTACCCAACAAAAACAACATACAGCAACTAGGATCAACGGGAAGAGACCTATTGTACTCAGGATAAGGAACAATATTTCAATTTTTAGCAATGTAAAGACTGCTTCTATATGATTCAGAGCTTTGACACACATGTCACCGAAAACACTTATAACAGACTGTTGCAGATTTTCATCAAAAGTACCTGTCTTCGGTGTCTCAATTCTGAAGAACAGATGGCTGGCTAGAAAGAATAAAGAACAAGGGACTTTGGTAGGTAGGCAACGAACCAGCCAAGAACTGATCGCACAACAATTATGCAGAAGGAAATCGAGATGGATTGGACTTACGCTGAGGTGACTTTCAAATGATATAACACGTCAGGTTGCTGAGTGGAATCCAAACATGAACGACAAGCTAAGCGTGGGTTTGACGATGACAACGAGCAGGTCGTGTGAAGATGAAATGATAGCTTATAACCGATCATGAAGCCAGCTAAGAAGGACTGAAGAAAATGGAGTAAGACGGAGATGTGCTGCTAAGGCCGATTGGTATTCCATTCAGAAAATAAAGGAATAATAGTAGCGGCAGTAGCAAAATTCTAACATAATTCATAAAAAAGTTAGTTGATAATAGACTATATGTAGTAGACATTACATTTACAAAAAATAATGAGCTGAAATACACCATGGATGTTTGAAAGAAACTAGAGGGTGACTACAGATTTTCTCTGCTATGACCGGAACTACGACCTAGCGAATAGTAACTTTAAGGCGCTGGCTGATTTGTCCTAATCGCACGTCTACAACAACAAAAATAATAACACCGCCCGCATGCAAAGGCAGAAGAGAAGACTGGGCGTTGATAAGAGAGCTTTTTACTTTCTCAAAACAACTGTCCAAAAAGGTTGATAGAGCTTGCGTATATATATGTTTGAAATGACCTTGGGAATCACCAATATCATTGATAAATTAAGACAGTGAACAACCAATAGGATTCCAAAGTTCATGAGTAGGGTGAGAGAAGTACAAACAGACACGTAGGAAATTAAGTCTCTATATAACACTATCGCGGCTTAAAGGCAACATTTTCAAAGAAAATGAACATCTGCCCGCTGTAACTTGTACTGATTAATTATTCTTCATTCGAAAACCACAGTAGTTACAGATTTTTATTTGAATAATCTTAATACACAAATCTAATAATATTTGGTTATCAAGTCAACGACTGCTTAAATTCTACTCATATCCTGCCCAACTCATCCTAAACTTGATCTCACTCTAACAACCACCGTACATAAGTAGTGAAGGCGCTCGATATACACATGATACCGTTGATGTGCATATATTGCGCATTCGTTTACAGCCTCGTTTATGCATCTGAGAATTGAGATAGTAATGAATTTATTCTCCAAGTACAATGCAATTACCGGAATTATTTATTCTGTGTTTAGAAGATGCCTATGATTAAAAAAGGGATTCTCCACCTTCACTAAGCATAATTGTCTCCTGAAGACTAGAAATGAAGCACTGTGAAAGAGTATAATTCCACAATAAGTTTATTTGGTATGACAATCTGTGAGTGATACGATATTAATGACTAAGTGACGTTTCCAACACAATTTATTCCTCATAATCATATCAGTATATTCACATGACATTAAAATTTGCATTAATATACGTATTTTTCTCTCTTCCCGTAGTCGTTTATTCCACTTCTCCACATATCCCTTACAGGCGTTACGTTATTTCGATTTCAGGTGTTTAGCGTTGATTGGATGAGCTGACGTGAGAATATCCCCAAACTAACCCTCATGTAACTCGAACTAACCCTAATGCCGCCCTAACCTGTACTTAGCCTTAACCCTAACTTCATCTTTCCCAAACCTAACCTGTAACTTGCCAGATATCTTATTTAATAAAATAATACTTCATTAGGTATATTTTATTCATGATTACGACATTATTTACTTCTCACTAACTTGCTCACTGGGTGTTTCAAGATCAGTGGTGCAGTCGCACTCCATCGGTAATTACTGGTGTCTAAAGCTTAACTTGGCCTGATTATGAGCAATAAGTTATGCTCGGAACGTGGTCATCCAGTTATTATTATTAATACTGTACCACTCACGCACTGTGGTATATCAAGTAAAGTTACGGACACTTACAACACTATATCCAATGGTAATAACCATGCATTTCACCTACTCCTAAATGACTTATTTTTACGATAAAAATTAAACGTTCTTCATTTTATGCAATCCATACAACATTTGGGTGAACAGATTTCCCCCCTAGCCTAAATGTCATATACAGAGGTGACAAGAGAATATCCCCATCTTAGTATTGATTAGTTACAAATATGTAATATAAAACAAAATGATATTTTATTAGGTGAATAACTGTACAAATATATCGCAACTTGAAGTAATAAAGCAGCAAGCGATTCAGTCACTTTCCTCTTCATCACTGATTCTCGCTCGAACCTTTTTACGTTGACGAGGTTCTGATATCTAATCAAGGGAAAGAAAACAAGATATTAGCTAATCTGCAGATTTCTACAAACATATACAAATATCTTTATAACTGATTCACTATTTCATGATCAGAGAGCACAACAAGTATCGTAGTTTATTCACTGGAATGATTCAAAGTGTAAATTCTGCTCCCGAAGGTGATCCCACATTTTTATTATTTGTTATGACATTGTGCACAGAAATAATCCTCAACTATTGTTTACTGACATATGTAAGCATGTATTAATTACATTAGGGCTAAAATAGATAGGGAGAACTGTGTGAGGTACATCCATTTTCTCGTTGACCACACAGTGGACGCTAATGTCATTTTGTGCTTGAAGAGAAACTAGTTTTGTGTGTCCACATAGCTCACTAAACGTCTGTCTGAATACTGTCGTGTTTGACTCGGTCAAGAGTATTAATATTTTCGTAGGTTCCTATGTGAGAATAACCTTACTGGCGGGTACAGACCGATCTAAGGTAAGCGCATAAGTTTACGGGTGGAGAAAACATGATGGGTATTCATCAGTCTGAAGCTAGTATAGAAGCCTACAGCACTCAGCACACCAGTGTCAAGTCAGCGCTTCTATATTCTTCACAGAATTGGCTCACGCATCACAAAAAGCACTTCCAACAGAATTTTATCAACATATTCTTTCCCTTTTCCTGTACTGAAGATCAGATGGCGGGCGGAAAACGACGAGCAACAAGAAACACTAGCAGCCAACCAGCCCATAACCTACGACTGACCCGACAAATACGGAGGAGAAAATGGGGATGGACTGAACATACGGACATTCAAGTGACACTACACATCAGTCATGCCTAAATGGGAGGCTACAGACTGCCGTCCAACCATGACATGGAGTAGATCTTGTGAAGAGGAAATGAAAGTATTTGGACAGTCATGAAGACATCTGAAAGTAACTGCGTAGAACAGTGTCACTGGAGCCCCATTTTCCTCTAGGAACGCAAAGGGTGAATAATATAATGTTAGAGTTACTATAACTTCTGTACCCCAAGGAAGTTTTCAATATTTCTTTGGAAACACTTCTGCTGTTAAATCCCTACTACTATAAGTAAGACCCTACCCTCTGACTTCTCTGCTTAGTGAATAACTTTTATCCTCAACACTATTAAAGCTTATTAAAATAGTTAGACCTCTGGAAGAAGTTGTCTCGTTGCAATATGAGCATCTGAATAGGTGGGAAAAATGAGCCAAAACAATTTCGATGTGAGATATACACATTTATTTTCTACTACTAGACATATGATGATTGCACCCATTTTTGTGATAACTCCCACATCAGGCGTCATAAACATGTGCAGATATTTAAAAAAATGAGCCAAAGAAATCTGCAAACATGATATTTCACAGAATGAAATAAGTTTTACATATATTTTAATAAGGCTAATTTATAATGGTTTTGCATTCACTGAGCTGGTTTCGTTTGGCCGCACATCATTCACTGTTAGTTTAAATTTCAGTTTAAGCATCAAGTGCTAGGTAAGGAGGAGAAATCAATCGATGAGGTTGTGTAGTTACACCGATTGAGATGGTTGGGACATGTGTTCCGTATGTATCCCTAGCCATCGCCTTCCTCAATGGGCAATATTAGCTGACATAGGATGGGTGGATCAGGTTGGAAAAGAGCCAGTGGTGGTGGAACCATCAGTCAGTGAAACGCACAACACTTAGTTTAATTAAGCTGGCAACATAAGGAGGTGTAGACTTCCTGACCAGGGTCTTCGGGATAGTAAAAACCGGTGGCAGAAGACAATCAGTGATACAGATTCTGTTGTTGTTCTTCCATATTACTATTCTTTTTTCCTCACATTTCTGTTTATCATTTCTCTCTTTTAAATCTCTCTTTACTCTCTCCTTTTGCTTTGTGTGCTACACTCGAATTGCTGCACAACTGTGCAAAGTTCTACGTTGAAACCAGTCAGTCAGTAGTTTAGATGAAACCTCGTTAGCAACTGTGCAAGTCAGTAAGAATGAAAACTTCACAGTGACAGCTTCTACCTCATAAAAAACCCAACACTTTAATAACCTTCCTTCTCAGTTGCCAGTATTTTCCATCACCTCAGTTCTAGTGAGAAGTCATGACCTATGGGATCCATCAAGTCAGTTGTGAGAACAAATCCTCACCGATCATATTGGCTGGTGGTTGGTAGAAGTTAGAATCCAAGGCCAAGGACTGGTCACTGGATTGGGTCCCAGTAGTTGAATGGTCTACAAGCTCGCATTCCAATCAAGATGTTCTAGGTTGGAGTCCCGGTGTGCGCGTTATGCCGGAGAGTTCGAAATTAGGACTAGACAGCTGTAGAATACTCCCTGGTGATTTTCAATATATATATATATGCTTAGTGTATTTCAAACAGACAGTTCATATAAGAGAAAAACTACACACACACATACGCACACGTTTTACTTACATCGCTTAGAGATTCCGAATCAGTTGAATACATTGCAGAAACGTCTAAAATAAAGAGGAGAATACAAAAAAGAAAAGATTAAAAAATGAACACAAATTCGTGAAGTAATAACTTTTACAATAATGACAATAACCAAAACACTAATTCAAAAACTTATTTCTAGTAAATTATCCGCAAAGAGATGCTAATAGTAAAAAAAAACCATGGAGTATCTTTCCGTGTATTTGTGAAGTCGTCATTCATTATTCTCTGTATATTTCAAAAAAGAGGACATTATAGGAGAAATTATAAGAGCGGATGACTTTTCTAGTGAACAAATGCACTTTGTCGTTAACAAATAGTATTTACTTCTACTGACAGATAGGTTACTGTGAAAAGTTTTTCCCCTATACAACATAAAAGAAAAGACGATTACAGAAGTAAACAACATAAGATTAATTTCTGAGGACTTCTGCACTAGACCAAATGAAAATATCTAACGGATAATAAGAAAACTACATTGGTTAATTCACCAAACTACATTAGCTTCTTCTTCTTCTGAAAAGAAGTCACTGAAATCACATCTCCACTTTGTTCTGTTTTCTGACGTCCTCTTCAGCTGGATCCACGATTGACCAAACTCTCTCATCTCTTCCTCACACGATTTCCTCCGAGTCACCTTAGGACGACCGACCCGTTGGTTCCCACTGGGATTCTACTCGAGGGCTTGGCTTGGGCGTGCGATGTCATTCGGCGACCTCCTCAATGTATGCCCGATCCATCCCCACTTTCTCCTACATAGCTGTCAAGCGATCGGCCCTTGGTTGGTTGGTTTGTTACCAGAGTTTCTTGTTGCTCATTCTTTCTGACCAGTTGATCTTCAGTACGGAGAGTCAGAGAAGGCAGTTGTTGATAAAAGTCTGCAGTGACCTGTTGGAAATCCTTTTCGTTGCACGCTGGCCAAGTTTCTGACCCGTACAGAAGCACTGACTGAAAATCCAAATCTTGTTCCTTGTGCTGCATGAGTGCAGAAGATTTCCAAACTGGTCTCAGGTTGATGAAGACGTATCTTGCCTTTCCGATTCTCGCCTGCTTTGACATCTTAATCAGTTTCCGGCTGCCTGTGGTTGAAACGCTGCAACATCTCTTAAATCTCTCCCATTGATGGTGATTGGTGTTGGCTGTTGTTGCTGGTGGTTGGTTATCTTCACCATCTCTGTCTTCTCTGTGTCCACCTGCAGTCCTGTTTTCGCTGCCTCTTCAGCCAGTTTGTTGGTTTCCGCTTGCAAGTCTTCAACTTTGTGTGACATTAGACATATATCATCTGCGGAATCCAGATCTTAACAGTGTCTTCTTATCAGTCGTCCAGCGTATTCCTGACTCCTCGCCCCTAATAGTTTGACGCATAATCCAGTCCACCATAATTGAGAATATCACTGCTGCCACTGTCATATTGCTGTTAAATGAGGTTGACAAAGACTTGAGGTATGCCGTAGTGTTGAAGTAGTTTCCAAATTACTTCTCTGTAAACTATGTCTGTCGAAGGCCTTTTCGAAGTCGATGAAGTTGAGGTAGGCACGGGTGTTTGACTGCCATTCTATGCTTTGTTCTATGATGACGATGCGTAGAGTTGCAATTTGACCAATACATGATTTGCCTTTCCTGAATCGAGCTTGTTCTGGTCAGTGGGGTGGAGTTTTGTATCCAGTGCATCCTTTATTTCCCCTAGGATGATGCGACTTGGTATTTTACTTGATGTGGACAAGAGCTAGCAAATAGATCCTGCAGTTCGCTCAAACTTAGCATAGAGCTAAGCAACTTACACGTCAGTGGTCATTTAATGCATGAAGAAGTTTTTCCTAACTAATTTAACAAATATAAACACAAACATCCTGGAAACCAGAGGAAGGTACAAAAGAGGGTGACATTTAATCATTTTCAAAAGATATAGTTTACTTAAATGAGGGACACTATTATCTAACAAGAGAACAGAATCATGAGTAACCATATATTTATTTGAAGGGAGTGGTGTTCCAGTTAGCAATCAATCGATAAGATGGCTAGGATACACGTTACGTGTGCTAAATCACTGCATCGTGGATAAGGATAGTTAAATGAAATAGGATAAGGTTGGAAAAAAGGCACAGGTGATTAAGCAATGAGACTGTTAACACAATCTATATTCTCAACTCTCCCCGGCTAGAATCTCATCCGGTAGGACTAGAAGTCATTCATTATAAGAGATTATATGCTCGCTCGCACAATTAAGTTCAAAAACTCAACGATACCGCATAAGACCTGAGTTCTATGAGACAGAAAAAGTGTTAAGCGGGAAACCTACAACTTACTATAATCATTAGCGAAATAATTGGCTCTTTTCTCCTCTCCTCTTTGTAATTTATAGTTACACTACTTTAATTAACTTATAGTTCTACGTATCAACATTATTATCGTCATTATTTTACACTTCTTGAACATTTTTGCCGTTATTGTCACAATGAATAGCAAAAACCAGCTATTATCAGTTCTGGTTACGTATATCCTATGATATTATTTTTTTATTTTGTTTTTGCGGTTGTCGAATAAATATGATGCCCTATCGTACCTAAGTCTGGCAATTCCACACTGTATCATAAGAACTGCTCTGGAATAAAGTAAAGTGAATGAAGTTTTCCAATGGTTCTCTAACCAATGTCAGCTCATGATGAAATCCTGTAACCAATCAAATCCCTACAAACCAACACTTGAATATCAATGAGATGCTCACTGGCGACTGGCCATATTCAGGTAAGTAGTTACCTGGGGTTCCAGTGGGAAGTCTTGACTAGTAGGGTGCAGAAGGTCGGGTGTGAGGACAAATACTTGTCACCAATAACATTGGCTAGCGGTTGCGCTATATCGTGAATTGGCAGAAGTTAGAATTCATGAGCCATTGGATCGGGTCCCAGTGGCTGACGAGACAGCTGTCCGGTACTCCTCAGGTTTTCAAATGGTTCTTCAACCAATGTCAGCTCATGATGAAATCCTGTAACCAATCAAATCCCTACAAACCGACACTTGAGTAAATCACTATTTTCTTTTTAAATATAAACATCTAGTAAGTGATCATCTTCAAAAGCTTATGAAGAAGCTCCTTAAATTCCCCTAAACAAGTTTCAGATGGAACAACAACAAAAGCATCTTAAAATGTCACTTACCACCTTTACGACCAGATAATAAGTTACTCTTTGCGTTACGTTTCAATGCATTCAAGGATGTTGTATTGCCATCGTCATCATCATCATCTTCCCCGTAACTTCGTCTACGATCACTTCCAAAACTGCCTCTTGACATGGCTTGTTTCTCACGCATACGTCGTAGTTGACTTTCACGTCTTAGGGTAGCACGTAATTTCTCCTCTTCTTTTTTCACAAGTGCATGACGATTTGACTCAGGATCTGCACCGGTAATCGGTAGAATTTTAACCTAAAACAAAACAAGAAATACACAAACTAATAGATTAAAAAGGTATGAGGTTTGGATTGTGTTCAACTTTCATATAAAACTCCAACATACATTTACTGATGACAAGTAGATATCTACTTGTGAATTTGGTGCTTAAAACATAAATGTTTCCGAGAAAAAGAAACCAAGTTCGAAACAAAATTTTAATTGGTAACGGTGGTTCAGTAGTAGAACGGTTGCCAACCATGCACATGCTCCGGGGTTCGATCCCCAATCAACACACTTCTTTACCTCACTAAACCAATATTAAGGTCAGTATAGATGGAAGGTTGGATTTGAGGTCAGAAACCCCAGAGGTCAATGCAGCTGAAACTTCAACAATTTGGCTTGAAGCCCTATGTTCCCCTCGGAAAAACAAAGGTGTAAACTAAATAAAACTAATAAAGGCATTTCATAAATTTTTCGGGATTGGAGGAGTCATAAGAAGACTCAAGAAAGCCAAATCTGCTGGAAGTTAGTCTAATCAGCAGCAACTTCCCGAAGGCTGATCTTGTAGGATATCGACTATCCAAACAAGTACAAGCATAAAAGCTGGTACACATAAATAAAACCACGAAGTATACTGTGAGCATGGTAAGTGCTCTACTTAAATCTGTTCAGGAGTATCGACAATAGATAAGATTTTATTTTGATAAATCACACACAGTGTTGTTTTACAGTAATATTAACTGATGACGTTTCGAGCTCAAACTGTTGCTGCTCATAATCATATCAAGTTACTCGCTCACACAACTTTTTTTCCTTCATTTATATAAATGAGTGAAAATGATGACTAGACATTTGAATAAAGATCAGTATAAGATAATGTACATTCAGAAATAATAATGAGTGTTATCGATCAATTACAATCAGATGGAAAATAAGACGAGTGTTTTTATAGTCAAAATAAGTAACTTGTTAGAATGTTGTGATGTGCTTGAATTGAAATAGAATTTTGAGATTGTTTGTTATCCTCCTCTGATGGTAATAATATCTTCCATATTTCTGGTATTTGCGTTGAGTCATCTCGGTTGCGTGTGTTGGGTGTAGACTCAATGAACCAGGTTTCAGTAATCAAACTCTCTCTCCACCCACATAGATTACTTTTTAGAATTTTAACCCCCTCCCACCATGTTGTGTGGTTGTGTGTTAATGCATACGGTACAATTGCTGAGCTTTTTTCTAATTCACTTATCTTCGTGGAGTCAGTCATTCTAACCTTAGCTGAATTCTTATGTTCCGACAATCTGACTACCCCTAGTAGTTTGACCTATGCAGTTGACCTCATAGTCATCGCAAGGTATTTTGTAAATTATATTTGGTTTAATTGGGTCAACCGATAGGGGCCTTTAGCCTACAGAGCTTGTCCCTGAGTGAGCTTGTAGGTTTGAATACCACCATAATTTCTGCTTTATTGAGAATTCTACGTACGGCTCCAGATGTCCCCTTCTTTTATGGTATAACTGTAGATAACTTATATTCTCTTATTTATGTTATCATTATTAGTTTCACAATTATTTTTATTTTGCTTTCGACCTTTTTCGATATTTCGATTATTCAACACCAACGCCTCTTTTATCTGTTTCATTCCATCGTTTATGCCTTTTTTGTGTTACTTAGTCCTATTGCTCGGCTGCACCGCATGCATTAACACACAACCACACAATAGGGTGGGAGAGGGTTAAAATTCTAAAAAGTAATCTAGATAGGTGGAGAGAGAGGTTGATTACTGAATCCTGGTTCATCGAGTCTACACCCAACACATGCAACAGAAATGACTCAATGCAAATACGAGAAATATGGAAGATATTATTGCCAAAGGTCAAATCAGAAGAGGATAATAAATAATCTTAAAATTCTATTTCAATTCAAACACATCACAACATTCTAACATAAAAACTTATTATGACTATTAAAACACTCGTCGTATTTCCCATCTGATTGTAGTTGATCAATAGCACTCATTATTATTTCTGAATGTACATTATCTTATACTGATTTTTATTCAAATGTCTAATCAATTTCACTCATTTATATAAATGAAACAAGTAAGTTGTGTGAGCGAGTGACTTGATATGATTATGAGCAGCAACAGTTTGAGCTCGAAACGTCATCAGTTAATATTACTGTAAAACAACACTGTGTGTGATTTATCAAAATAAAATCTTATCCATAATGGAGTTATACTCTACCACAGTGCCCAAGTTTTATACTTATATCAATATCGACAATAGCTTTTGTCAGTAGTATAAGGTCTCGTCAGGCATCTTTAACAAATCAACTAATCGTAACTAGTAATAAGTTTAGAAATGTTCTGACTGCGTAGACTGGACAAATTACATAACTATATCTGTTTACCAAACCAGTAATATATTTATTTACCAGTGACCATAACTTTGAAAGACGGCTATGAAGTTGGACGACAGTGGGATTAATAAATATGAACTGAACAACTCTTTTTAGTACATGTGTAAAACTTGGGCATTGTGGTAGTAAGTAATTCAGTATTACTTTGTTTATTAGATATATCACACAGTGAAACAGTATTATTTACTGGATGACGAGGTTTCGAACAAAATGTATTCTTCATAATCACATCAATTTTGATCACACGACTTCGAAACTTGAGTTTTATAGTTTTCTTTGTCTTCTCCTATTTGTCGTCGTAGGGGTAGTAGAATTTTCCAGATATCAGGGACAGGTGATGAATCATTCCTATTACATGTATTCTCTCTCAGTTGATTCGATAAACAAAGCTTCTGTTATCAGTCTCTCCCTCCATCCTATGGCATCAGATTTTAAAACTGTCATCCCATCCCATCCATCCTATTGTATGGTTGTGTGTGACTGCATGTAGTGCTATAGCTGAACTATTCTCTAGATTTCTTATCTTATTTGGGTCAATCAACCTAGATTTAGCTAGGTTTTTATGTTCGGCTAGTCTGACTGCCCTGTTCTACTAGTTTGATCTATATATTTGACCTCACAATCATTGCAGGGTATTAGATAAACTAAATTGTTTTGTTTTAAAGGCTCCACAGGATTGATCCTTTAACCGACAAAGCTTGTTTCTAATTGAATCTGTGGGTTTGAATGCCACTTTTATTCCTGCCTTGTTAAAAATTCTGCTTAAGGTTCTGTGAGGTTTCTTCCTTGTATGGAATTACTACTGATTATTTTTAGCCTCCTTTAAGCCGCAATTATTCGAAACACTTTGTTAATTCGTGATAAGGTGTGTACAGTGACTATCGAACTAATTAAGAAGTTACGCGTAAGCACTCTTTGCATATCTCAGTAGTTGAAGTACTTTTAAAACGTAATCACATATTACTTCACTCCAACTGATATTCTGGCTTTATTCAGATTTGCAAAGAAAGTAACTAAAAAGGACTGATACAAATATATGCTCTTCTCAGCAGAAAATAAACGTTTCCAATGCAGATAAAGATACTTACTTTTTGTGATTTATTTGTCTTGTCTGCCAATGATAGTGTGATTTTACGATGTGTAAATGAATCCGTTGAATGTGGCCTATATAAAAAGAAATAAAAAAGTGAGAAATGCTTTGAAAAGAGGAGAAACGTCATTTTACCAACAAGCAAAATAAACAATTAAACTGTATGTGTCACGATCAGGTCTTTGTAACCCAACACTTAACGCTAGCTATGTTCCCTTGAGGAAAACTATGGTCAATTTATAAGGCTTCCTATAATTCAACGACATATCGCAATAAAATCCTGCTGCAACAACAGTGGATCCTTTCAGAACAACTGACAACCAATGATGTTCACTGGTACTGGGGAACTGCTTCAAGGATATTGAAACAATAACTAGTATTTTTATCATCCCACTGAAATAGCAATCAATACATCAGCAAACAAAACCTTGTCGGAAATGGAAATGTGATCACGGAGTGTTATCAGTTAGAGAACCATTGAAAGCAAGTCCTAGTGCTTAGGACTTTTCGGCAGTACCCACCCGCCCACGATGGTTCAAACACAGGACCTTCCTGTTACAAGGCAAGCTAGTAGATCATTCAGCCATTGAGACGGAATTCCGTAGCCCATCAAAACTAACTTCTGTCAATCTAATGGTTCTCCAACTCATATCAATCAGTGATCAAACTTGAAATAGATGAAATCCCTCTTAATTAGCTCCAAAAAATTAGGTTAACACTAGCTGGTGACTGTCTACAGGAAGAAGTTACCTGAAGTTCTAATGAGAAACCATGACCGCTTGGATCAAACCGGTCAGGAGTGAGGACAAATACTCGGTAAGCACATTGGCTGGTGGGCCAAGTTAAACTTTAAGCACCACTAACTACCAATCTAGGTGAGCGACTGCTCCAATGACCGTGAAACGCTCACTGAGCAAGTTAGTGAAACCTGGCAAATAATGTTGTCATCACCAATAAAATATCCTCATCAAAGTGTTATGCTATTAAGTGGGATATCTGGCAAGTTTCAGCTTAGGTTTGGGAAAGATTAAAGTACGGTTTAAGCCAAGGACAAGTTAGGGTTAGGTTAACCGCACAAAAGCGACAGTAGGTTTGGTTTGAGCTAGATGAAAGCTAGTTTAGTGATATTTTAACGTTAGGGTTAGGTTCAGGAAAGATTTGGGTTATTGTTAGTGTTAGAAGACCTAAATAATTACATGCATAGAATGTGGTTAAATTTCTCTGTTGATATAAGAATAGGACTTGTGCACTGTCGTAGGGTATAATTCCATTGTGAGTAAAGTTTATTTTGATTAAGTCTCACAGTGTTATACAGTAATATTTACTGATGAAGTTTCGAGCATAATTTATTGCTCAGTAAATGTCACTGTATCACACTATGAAACTTTATCGAAATAAATTTATACTATGTTGATACTCCAAACTAAAGCTGAGAGCTATTTTTATCACAAGTGAGAGGAAGGTATCTGTTCACCGTTACACTTTTATACAGCTTTTATGCATTTTTTCATAAATATATGTATTCCACACACAAAAATGTCTCGTTCACGTGATTGGTGCGTTCGAGGTCATTCTCTGATTGGTGGTTAGTGGTGCTTATAGTTTAACTTTACCGGCTAGTGCTCTGTAGCGCTAAAATCACGAATTGGTAAAGTTAGAATTCACAGACTGGTCATTGGATTGGGTCCTGGGTTCGAACCCAGGCGTATGCGTAGTACCGGAGAGTAAGAAACTAGGAAGAAACACCTGCCCAGTACTCCGTGGTAGTTTTCAATAGTTCTCTAAATGACATCAGTCCCATCGCCTCCCCCGACGGGCATTGCTAGCTGATATAGGTGCAGGTTGGAAAAGAGCCAGTGGTGGCCAAACAAAAACATGGCCTCATCAATCCATGAAATCCTTGACAGTTAAACTGAGTCAGGTAGGGAGATGCAGACTTCCGGGTTGGGGCCCTCGGGACTCTAGGAATCAATGGCTGGAGACAATAGGTGACATGGCTCAAAATAGTTGTCAATGGCGCAGATGTATTCAGTCTCTGTAATCTTTCATATTCCTTCCTACCATTACCCATTCTGTTTCGCTCTTATACTTCTCAAACTCTATTGATTCTCTTCACTCATCTTCTTGTCTACCTCTGTGTGCTATTTGGAACGTGGCAACTCGAACTGGTGCACTTCGGTGCCAAGTTCTATGTTGAATCCAGACAGACATCAGTCCTTTGTCAAATTTGAAACAGATCAAATTCTTACAAACTAACTCTTGAAGAGTAGTTCATTACTCCCTTCAACATCTTAAAGCCATATCTGATACTCATTTTGATAACATAGATAATTCGTTTTAGAACTGAATGCTCCAAGGTACAAATTAATTTTCGTTAGAGTTTCTACAGTTGAATATCTAGTTATTGATTATGACAGTATGAGTCACCAGTTGAGATATAGGACTGTCGACTGTCGAGTTGTGATTTCGATACACTTAAATGAAGAATACATTTATATTTTATCGTCAAAAAAGCATCTTGCCTATTCGCTGGCAATAAGGCTTTGTACGAACGACGTTCAATGCCATGCCCATATTAACATGAACTTTAAGGAGAGATATATTCTACCCAAGTAACCTTCTTATACTATCTACAGACAAATAGAAATTTTAATTCTTTAAGAAGCGAGGATTTTACAGTTAACTTATAAATCCAGCATAAGGCATATATATCACTAAAAGATATACGTTTCACAATAACGCACCAACTAATTAATAGATAACTATAAGTGCGCATGTATGATACAATATGAATTAATATTGCTTGTATTCTATCCCTCTTTCTTCCTCATATTCCATTGAAGTATGGAAAACTGAACCGATACACAAATACAAAAAGGCTTTAAATTGTTCCACTTTTCTATTTCTCTCCTTACCCTCCACTTTCTCTTCCATGACTGAAAAGGTCTTGTTTCTTGGATAGGCAGACTTTAATGTTATCTACATACTGGTCAGGGAAAAAGTTGTTACTATTATTATTCTTATTATCGTTTCCTAGGACTCCAAATGGAACACAGGGTTCCTGAAGCACATCTTCATTTCACTCTATCCTCTGCAGTCCCCCTTTAGCTGGTTCCACCACTGCCCATAAGCTTTTATTTATTTCCTCACAAGATCTCTAACCATTTAACCCCTGGACACTAAATTCGTCGTTTCTCACTCGGTTTTGTTGCTTAACCATTCTGGTTATCTGATCTTGATTATTAAACGAAAGCAGCTACTGATAAAAGCCCGTTATGTGCTGGAGATGCTTTGGCAGGGTATGCGCCAAGTCTCTGAGTCATATAGAAGCACAGATTGATTTGACATTAGTGTTGGAAACCCCGATTTTGTTCCCTATGCTAATTGCAGTAGGTTTCCAGACTGATTTCAGAGGACCAACATACATATTACATTACATAACAAGAACAGGACCTACCTAACACAGAGAAACCAGAAAAGATATTTCAGCAAGTATAAGCACAACAGAAAAAACAAGTACTGAGTAACTCTATCACATTTCTATAGCAAGTGTAACATAACCGTGTACATGAAGGAGGTCGAGAATAGCTCGCTGATCGCTTCACTTTCAGTACAATATTGAAAACAAGTCATTTTTGTTGAGTACCACATAAATGTGGTGCAAGAAAATACAATAAAAAAATAACACGTGAAAAATTTCTTTTTTTATCAACAAACCTGAATGTCAGCTTAGTTTTCAAACTTGTTTGACCTTGTAGACCACTACCCTCTCGTATGAATAAATAATTATAGTCCGATTGAATATCTACTTTGTGTATATCAAAAATTTCATCGCCCAAATGTAATGACAGAGAACCATCAGACCAACGAACAATACGAGCATTCGATTCATGTACCATTTCACCGTCAGGTGTTTTACCGATTCTCCAACGTATGGTATTTTCCACCTAGATAAAGATAATAATAACAATAACAATAAAATATCCTTAAACAGATTCATAGTGTACAAAAACATCGTGATTACATGGCCAGATTACTTTATTATCAGATGACTATAAAAGAATATGCCAAACTCATTCAAAAAAATATCTGTACAATCCGAAATAATGTTTAAAAATTTGAAATTAAACTATTAAATTCAATAAGAACGAATTTTTGAAATAATCCATACTGATGAGGACAGAAACGTTTAGTGTAGCTCCACCATTCTCAAGTGCTGGACTACAGTATAACAAAGGAACGCATTGGTTTACGAAACAAATGTTAAAAACATCAGATCCAGTACCATTCACAACTGAAAGTGGAAGACATCTGTCTTTGACCACAGATGCTTGTCTTTCATTTCCTGTGTTCGGCAGTACAATAAAGTGAGTAATAATGAGGATAGGCGTCAAGTGTCAGATAAGTAGGGGAAATCAATCGACGACATTGTGTAGTTACACCGATTGAGATGGTTAGGACATGTGTTACGCAAGCCTAGCCATCACCTTCCTGGAGGAGCAATTTCAGCTGGCAGGTTAGAAAAGAGCTACTAGCAGACACACCAAAATATGGAATTAATTCATGAAAATCTTGACAGTTAGTTTGAGCGTGCGCCACTTAAGATGTATACTGGTTGGGGTCTTCTGTATCCTACGAACCAATGGCTGGAGACAATTCGTGACATGACTGAAAATCTTCCTCAAAGGCGCAAATGCATTCACATCTACTAATCCCTCATTTTTCCGCGTGTTACGATTCTTTCTCCCCCTCTCTTTGTCTACCATTAGGTGCCATATGAGGTGTGGCAACTTGAACAGCTGCACTTGTATACAAAGTTCTGCGTTGAGACTCAGTCAGTATTAATCAAAATTTCGTAGTCAACATAGACCAAAGCAGTTGTACCTACACACTGGGTCCATTCAAGTTAGCATTCAACCAAGCCTACCATGAAGTGCATTTGAAAACAAAAGCTGCGAAAACTTGAATGCTGACTTATTCAAGTTGGTTCCCTGTAAATCAATCATTTTATTGAGTCATTAGCACAAAAGTAAGTCTAAAAACGTAGAGTGACCGATACTTTCTTCCTCACATGTTAGACTAATGTGATGTTGTACAAAGTTAAAACTTTTCAATAGACGTGCTGCACCTTTATACTTGTTGCACGTTGCAATAATACGTCAACATAACCCCCATAAAATATAAACCCCAATAATCAAATCACAGGTTAAGTTTTCAGGATTTTGATATATCTACACCTGTTGATAATAGTCCACATTTATTCGCCATGGTTGGCGAGAGTCCTAACCGCTGCGCCACCAACGCACACAAAAGGAATAGTAATAACGAAGAAGAAAACAGTCTCATTGGGAATCATAAGTCACAGGAAGTGGATGCATCTGCGCCATTGAGCCATATCACCAATTGTCTCCAGCAATTGTTTTTTACCGTCCTGAGGACCCCAAATCATCAGTGAGACAATCTCGGAAAAAAATGGCACTATAATTAGCTCACAGGATAGACGACTGGATCGTTGGAAAGAGCATTATGAGGAGCAGTTTAATTTGCCCACAGCCACGCTCAACCTTCCGAGCATCCAACACCTCCCTGAATGGGATATAAACACAGGTCCTCCGTCACTAACTGAGGTTACTAAAGCTGTCACCAATCTGAAACTAGGCAAAGCAGCGGGACCTGATGGAATGACTCCAGAGGTATTTAAGTACGGTGGAGACAGCTTACTGTCCGGATTAACTGAGGTACTAGGCAGCGTCTGGGAATCAGAAGAAGTCCCATCGGGTTGGTGTAAGTCACTGATTATCCCGATATACAAGAAGGGAGACAAGTCTTCCTGTGATAATCACAGAGGGATTAGCTTGACTAATATAGTATCTAAAGTCTTAGGCTCAATAATCATGCGTAGACTGAGTGGTGCTCGGGAAGCACAAACACGAGAGAGCCAGGCAGGCTTTAGACCAGGAAGAGGGTGTATTGATCATATCTTCACCCTCCGACAGATTCTAGAACATAGGCATTCCTACCGGCGTCCAACAGTCATTATATTTCTTGACCTAAAGGCAGCATTCGACTCTGTCGATCGAGAAGTTCTCTGGAGATGCTTGGCTGTAAAGGGAATTCCGAGAAAATATATTGCACTGATTAAGGCACTCTACTCGTACTCATACAGCCAGGTGAGGGCTTACGGCGAGCTGTCATCTGAACTGATGACGACCAGTGGTGTCCGTCAAGGATGCCCATTATCTCCTTTTCTATTCAACTTCATCATAGATGTGTTAATGGACTTAACCCTAAGTGACTTCAGCGACTCAGGGATTGACTTGCTACCGGGGAATAATCTCGTTGACTTGGAATATGCAGACGATATAGTCCTTCTAGGCGAAGACGCTGACGAAATGCAGAGTCTTCTAAACACCTTGAGCCGCAATCTACGAATGTTTGGCATGCGATTCGCTCCCGCCAAATGCAAGATGATGTTACAGGACTGGACTACATCGACGCCTAGTTTAAAAATAGGAAGTGAAGTGGTAGAGCACGTTGACCGCTTCACTTATTTGGGAAGTACCATCAGCCCCAACGGGCTGATCTCTGACGAAATCTCAGCACGAATACAAGGGGCTCGTTTCGCATTTGTTAGTTTACGCCGACTCTGGCGTAGACGAGATGTTCGACTATCGACCAAAGGGCGGGTGTACTGCTCATCAGTCCGCTCCGTCCTCCTTTATGGTTGTGAGACCTGGCCACTGAGAGTGGAAGACATGAAAAGACTAGCTGTCTTTGATCATAGGTGCCTGCGTTCTATTTCCCGTGTAAAGTGGCATAATAAGGTGAGCAACATGGAGGTTAGGCGTAGAGTTCTAGGTAAACAGGGGAAATCAATCGACGAAGTCGTGAAGCTACAAAGACTGAGATGGTTAGGACATGTGTTACGTATGCCAAGCCATCGCCTCCCTCGACGAGCTATGTTAGCGGATATAGGGTCAGGCTGGAAAAAAGCTAGCGGCGGTCAAACAAAAACTTGGCATCAGTCAATGAAATCCACAACAGTTGGTCTAAGCCACGTAGAAAGGTGTAGACTTCCAGGCTGGGGTCCTCGGGACGGTAAAAATCTATGGTTGGAAACAATTGGTGACATGGCTCAAAACCGTTCTCAGTGGCGCAGATGCATCCACTCCCTGTGACTTATGATCTTCAATGAAACTGTTTTGTATTTCTTTATTACTCCTTTGTCTCACACCTCTGCTCACTGTTTCTATTATGCTTTTCTTGTACTTTCTTCTCTTGCTTCGCGTGCTACACGGAATGTGGCGACTTGAACTTCCGCACATTTGTGCAAAGTTCTATGTCGAAAACAGACAGACAGACAGACAGACCTTTCGGTTCGACCGCCGCTAGCTCTTTTACAGCCTGACTCTATATCAGCTAACATTGTCAGTCTAAGAAGGCGATGGCTAGATAGTATATAATAATAAATAACTCATTCAAAAACATTGGAGGAATAGTAAATGGAGAACTACTAATGGGTATGTAGTCATGAAGAATAACAACTATTTTGCTTAAGAGCACGTTAAATACGCTGTACATCATTGTATTTTATTTTTTGATTACAGCTTGATTCCACACTGTATTTTTGGTATGGAATTTTCAGCATGGATATCGGTAGCCCAAATTTCGCAGGCCGACCAAAGATATCAGGTATGCATCGGCAGGGGATCGAACCTCGGACCATGTGCATGGTAGGCGAGAGTCCTAACCACTGTGCCACCGACGCACGAGACAATCAATAGGTTCAAAAGGTATGTCTTACAAAAACCGTACATAATTTATCGCAAACCATGATTATGAAAAAGACGGTTGCACCGAATAAAAGTTTCTTTTCTTTTTCTTTTTGCTATTTTGCCGATTTATATGTGGAGGAATGCCACGTCTAAAATACTAAACGTAACGGATTATTATACTTGTGAATCCTATACGATCCATGCACATTTGAAAATTCAGACACACTTCACTTCTTAGTAATGTTAACCAGATTTATTAAAAGGAAATAATTTTCTACTTCGCTTATTTAAAACACAGAACCTGATACAATATAGGCATCAAGGTTTAGAGCCGCATGCACTAATAATAAAACAACAATACAGTCAGTGAATGATTAAAAGAATTCATCCTGAAAGCAAGCAAGCATATTTGACAAAATCAAACAACATTCATCGTATTACTATCACAAAGGGAAGAAGGAAGGGAATCACAGCACGTCCGCCATTGACTGAGACTCTTGGCCATATATGATGACGTTCTGAGACACCAGTTTGAACTACCTCTCGGTCGCCAACAAAGGAGTCGTGGTGTACCAACTGATGCTAACCCAACACAAACATCCTTCTTCCCACGATGCCACGTCATGGGATGACCACCTCTCCGCTTTTTATATCGAGTCTCAGGGCTAACGAACAGAGACATGTACGGAAGCCTCTAGAATGTCATTCGTGGTTTATGTCCAGTTCATCAAAGTCGGTGTTTCCACATAACGACATTTCTTTGGTGGAAAATAATTATTCCATGAAGTCAGTCTGGCTGTCAAAGGTCGAGTTAATAATGCTTCAGCACGCGCAGTCTTGCTCTAAGCCTGTGAAACCTGGCCTCTCTTAGCTGAGGATGTGTGGCGACTCTGCGTATTTGATCATCGTAGTCTCACTAGGATTGCTTGCATTCGATAACATCATCGTGTGAGTAATTCTGAGGTCCAACAGCGTGTATTTGGACACTGAGCTATTCGAGCTTGCGACTGACCACCTGTAGGACTGTCTGATATCAACAGTCCAATGTAGTGCACCGTGATGGCGGGCTACCTGGTAAAATGGACACATCGCAAAACTAACAGGTAGAATTCAGTCTGGACTAGACGCATGACACTAGTCACTAGTTAGTGTCCAATCAAAGTTCTACGGGAGGTCGATCACAAGTTCAGTGATAACGTCTCCGACTGCAACATCGGATGACGCGGGTTTAAATATCAGCAGGGACATGAGTTCCTTTAACGTTGTAGATACACCCTGCTGAAGAGTGCCAACTAACACGAAACACAGGAGTAAGGCTTGTTGTCGATTGCCTCCAATCATCTGATATCAACTAAGTAGTATCTGTTATTTATTTTTATTTTTTGGTTAAGGCTTGATTACACACTGTATTTTTAGTACAAGTGTGAAATTTTCAGCATGTGATATCGATAGCCCAAATTTTGCAGGCCAACCATAGAGATCGGACGTGCGTCGGCAGGGAGTCGAACCCCGAACCATGTGCATGGTCGGCGAGAGTCCTAACCACTGTGCCACCGTGACACACCATAATTAGTCATCATATGACAAACGTAGCTAGTAAATCATGAACACGATAATACAAGAAGGTAGAGTTAGAAGGTGAAATTATACCTTTAGTTTTAAGCGTGTTCTTCCTTCTTCATCCAGAATTTCGTCTTCATCCAATTCATCTTCATAATAGTTAGGATCAAATGGTCGAGTTTCCACAGATAAAAAATTGGGCATTTTCACCAAGTGTACTTCTCTATAAAGTTAACGAATTCAAAATCTGCGATTAGATATTATCTGAAACAGAAAATTTATTTTATTTATTTATTTAAACGCATAAAAACTTGGTACAATATGGCACCAAGAAGGATGCGCCACACAATAATAATAAAACAACATAAATCAAAAGAAAAAAAGAGGATATATATATATATATATATATATATATATATATATAAGTAGAGAACGGATAAAGAACTTCATCTGGAAGGAAAACAGTCATGCTTAACAAGTTCAAACAGTATTCGTTAACTATCATCGGGAAGGGAAGAAAGAAGGAAATTGCAACACGTGTAATAGCACGCGATAAGTTTCACTGATTGTTTGTTGCTTCATTCAATTCATTGTGTGAGGGCTAAGATACTGCCCGAGCGCCCAAACAGAAGCAGGTGGTTTTATTAAGGGACCGTCCTCCGAGTCTTTGACTTGGAGTCTAATCCGCAAGGCAGCGCAGCAGCGTCAGGAGCTGCATTCCTATGGTTGCCAGTGACCCATATATGGGTTCGTACGCCATTTGATCCGATTGGATACTGGAGCCCATGTACCCCATGGCAACTGCTTTTAGTTTAACTGCTATCCAAATAACCTTCCTGACATGGTAGAACCTGCAGGGACAGAGTCCCACTCAGTTTAGCATGTTGGGTCATGACGGTATTCAAGCCCGACCACCACGACAAGGTAGCAGTTATCGGCCGGGGAAACAGAAAAAAACGTAATTTTGTCGCTATAATATTTCTGGAAACTATGAGACGATTTAGAAATGAAGTTATGCAGTCTTGATAGCCATGAAATAATAAGTCGCCTTGATTTAATCTTCGACTGCAGAAAGCCACTAAAACTGAACATTTTTACAGCTTTTTAGAAGTAGCTACAAATAATAATTTTATAATACTATGGTTTCTTCGCACTACTTTACAATCATAGACTGTTAAAGGTTCGTTTATTCGTATTCAAACAATGAGATCATCGTTAATTCGCCTTTTGTACTGTGTCATCAACACTCTTACATACAGCATTATTGGGAATGATTTGCTGTAGCACTGCATCCAGCTGAACAGCAGTACAAAGCTTTTAGTTCCAAGCGAAAAAGCAGGACTGTTTGAACAGTCTATGAACTTTTTTATATGAGACGTGATTCGCGATGAAGAGCTTAATTCAGTTACTTATGATGATTAACGCGTGGAAAAATGTTTGCCGGCTAGGCACGCAGTTCGAGTTTCGATTCCTAACCGGCGCACTTCTGAACCTCATCTAGTTTGCTAGCCAGTAGTAAGCCTTGGAAAGAGGTGGGAGTTGAACGTGAGGCTAGTGACCCCACGGAAACTTCGAAGCCTGAAGACCTATATCTCACTCAGAACGCAAAGGAATGAAAAAGTGAAAAGGAGAAAAACAGGAAGAACAGACTCAGCCGCCATGCATTAACACGCCATAGAGACTAGTTGAAAGGTCTCCTGACACCCTTAAAATGGATTTTGCAAATTCACCTTGTTGGCCCGGTGAGGTTAAGTGAATGACTACACTCGAGTCTTGTATGCGTGTCTCCGAAACACAACATACATCGATGGCTCAAGATTCCAGAGTTCTTGCTAGTGATGCCTGTTTTAGGGGAGTAAGATGATGAAGGTGATGTGGGTAAAGGATAGTGATGCTCGCGAAGGCTTCTCTAGGAAGTGTGTGGGCGGTTGTTAATTTCCGACTGCCCATACCGTGGAAGTTGATTGATTTTTCGGGTACCTGAAACAGAAAGGCGGATAGTGTTGCGTGACCGCAGAGCCCAGGGGACAATTGCTTGATGCTGTCCGGTTACACAGCGCCTGTATGGACTGGTTTCTGGGATTGGTTGCGTATTGGTAAACTTACCGCCGGTTACGGACCAGCGTAGGGTAAGTCGGGATGCACAATTGTTGGGGTCGACAATTTCTGAACCCCTCTCTCCAGACTGGAAACAGCATAGCTGCCATGGTCTTCTGAGGGAAACACCTTACTGCTGCTGCATCCCTGTCCCCCAGAAGTATGAGTTCGCCCTCATACCACCCCCCAGCATACTGTAAAAAATTTTTACACAATGCCGATAACTGCTTTTAGTCTAATCGCTATCCTAAAAACCTTCCTGACATGGTAGGACCTGCAGGAACAGCGGTTCCAGCCAGTGTAGCTTGTTGGGTCACTGCGATATGCAAGTCCGACCACCACGTCAAGGTAGCAGCTGTCGGTCGGGGAACTCCTTATTACTCTTCTATTTTCAAGTATTGGTTTTGTAGGGATTTTGTTTGATTGCATGGAGGATTTAATCATGAGCCGTGACCAGTAGGGTACAGCAGGTTGAAGATGAGGCAGTAACTCATCGAAGAAGACATTGCGAAGTGGTGAATTGGCAGAAGTTAGAATTCAAGGACCATTGGATCGGGTCCCAGTGACTCAATGGTCTACGAGCTCGCCTTGTAACCAGTAGGTCCTGGGTTCGAATCCTGGTGGGTGCGTACTGCTGAAGAGTCCCAAACTAGGACGAAACAGCTGTCCGGTACTCCCAGGTTTTCCAGTGGTTCTCTGACCCTTTTATTTCCTCACAAATCTTACATAATTCCATATTTTCCGGCGTTTCTATGTACATCCTAATCAAAACTCACTCATTAAATTATTCATATTATTACCCAGCTACAATACACTTATTCAACTTCTCTCATACATTGACTAACACTGACATCTATTTTTTGACAACTCATCATCACTACCCTCATACTAGTCCTCACCCCCTTCCTAGATACAATTTGAATATTCACCACATTTTTTGAAATATTTTGGTGACGCAAACAACAAACCCGAAATATTTTTTATTCTCGTCTGACAAAGCTAATGTACACACACATACAAAAACAATTATATATAATTACGATTGTACAGCTCAGTGAATGAATTCGCCGAGAAAAAACTCTTTGCTGAACTACGTGTTTTGTTTTTCAGAACAGAACTAAGCAATTAAAAAGGGAGTTAGAGCCAACAACCAAGACGAACGTTTAGTTGACTCACAGCCGCTTTACAAATGGTTTTTGTTTTACTTTACACACCTAACTTAACGCTTTCTCAGTGTTTGTTTATCTGGTGTGTCCTTATAAGTACTAACCCAAACTAATGCAAGCTATATTTTCAACTACCTTAAATATGGACCAAAACTATTTATATGTGAAAAATAACCTAATTTGAACTTTCAGACTATTCAAATATAATACAAACATCTAAAACGTAAAAACTAATCTGAAAACTAAGAGCATGAAAAGTTTTCAGATTAAAACCTTCTTGAGCTCAAACATACTCCAATCCATATTGCCACTGCACAGTAAGCAGTATGCTAAGAGCGAAACAGGTATGCATTAAATTGAAAATTCAACTACAATTTACCAAGAATAATTCATACCTGCCTAAGTCAGCGCGAATCAGTGGGAAGTCGACAGAGATTCTCGTTTCGTCCGGTTCTTCATCTTCCACTTCTTCATCATTTCTATTACCTTCATCACCATCGTTGTCATCAACAACTTCATCTATTTGTGACCCATCATCACCTGACTGGCTTCTACCACCTTGCTGAGAACCATCTGTTTCAGGGCTGTTGGAAACAGACCGAATGTTCTGGAGCTTCTTCCGATATCGAGAATTTTGGTCAGGTGAGACGTCTGAACTGTTATCTGTTTCAGGCTGTTCTGAATTATTCTCGGCACCAGCATCGCCATGATCTGATTCTTCAGAACTATCCTAAAAAATTGATAAAACTTAGCACTGGAATGGCTGTAAAGCTACCCACTAAATAAAGTTATTGTTGTTTGTAAGGGATAAATGTCACTCACAGGGTATGTAAAAGTACATTTACCAGTCCATAGATTACATTCAAATTGCAAGAGTTGGTAACATTATTTAGATGTCTGAATCCATCAGAGTGCTGACTATACTCGGATTTGGCAGTCTTAAGACATTGTTTTCCTACAAAACGACCTATAAATGTCCAACCTTTATTGTCTTCTTAACTTCTCATACTAACGCAAAAACTTAAGTATGAAGCAGAATCAATAGCATTTACGTGAATCACTTCCCGGAAATCTGCCTGTAGTGGCCTTCAATCATATCTTTTAAACTTTAAAAGTCACGCTCTAAAAAACATAGGTCTGGTTTATTCAGACATCTCCGAAAAGGTAGAGTTCTGTGGTACAAGCGACCAAAAATTGTCATTCATCCCCCGTGTACACAACACCAGAACTTCTCATTATCGTCAGTTACCTCTAATTCATCTCTTTATATTTCGTAGTATTTCTCTTGATAAATCCCCTTCTTCCAGCTCAAAAGAGTGAGCTTCAGACTCAAACAATGCCAACCTGACTGAAACTATACTTTAAAATTAAGGATGAGGTAATGAAAGATTGCAGATTAAACAGAAAACCTTATTAGCCCGAACTATTGAACCAACGCTTATAAAAAGCACATTAGTAGGCGCCAATCTAATCCTATTTGTTCAGTGTACTTTTATTTGCGAGGTACGGTTGGTACTAACACAGCCCTAATCAGCCATTAAACTCGGTCATATGATGCCATAGACCACTGTATGTAGTGTTTTAAATGTATGCTAGGTATGCTTCACCTCCATTTGAAATGATAGTAGTAGCAGGACCCTTCAAGACATGAATTACTCCATGAAGTGTTTGACTGTTAGTTTCACCGTTTCAAATAACTCCATTCTTCCTTTTTCAGATTCAAAACACTATTAAGATCGGTTAACAGAAACGGAGTTATATGCCTTATATGTAGCTACAGTGAGGCAGATACATCAATACCCTTTTGTAAGACATAAGCGTCACATATCAACAATCAGGTTATATCTTTTGATGTTCTGATCGACACAAATAATGCCAAGTAAGTGAACTCCAGAGGATACGCAACTACACTAATAACGATTCTGGCTACAGCAACGACTAAACAAATAAAACCACCAAGCAAAACCTTTTAAAAAGGAAAAGACAAGCATATATGTGTATGTGCTTGCTTAGTATTGGGCTCAATTTTTCATAATTCTTTGTTCAAACATCTTACACTTAATATGACTTCTTACTTATGTATTGACCTTCCAAATTTTACTTTGGCCTTCATCTGGATTGTACTTACCTGCCTGTCATTTTTACATCTCATGAATTGCTTCCATCGCCTTGCATCAGATACACCGGTGTTCACCAACATGGTATTCAGTCAACTAATCAGAAAATTGACTTTGCTTAGACTTATTTTCCACGTGTGCCCATAAGATGACGGCCATATTTATCCGTGACTACAGGATTTACGAATCATTTGTCTTCTATCTTGCACACCTCTGCAAGAGACTCTAGTAAGTCGTTTTTAATAAGTTTCACTCCTCAGCTTTATAGTCTAATTTTGCTAAGCGCTATAATGGAACTTGCCGTAATCAATGTCCGCAGAAAGCCTAGTTGTTAAGCACTTAAAAAAATGACTTCCTTATAAATTTCTAGCTTAGTTTATATACAACAAAGTAAATCAGTTTCAGGTAAACTCTTGAAATGGCAAGAAGAAGTTACAGCAGACTTTCTAAGTGGACTACTGACATGTAAGTGGAGTCAATGTTGTGATCAGAAACATGCATTCGTATTGAAACATCCATTTCTTATGGCTAAACGAATAGAACTTGCATACGGCTGCTAGGTCAGTTGACAGCTTTCAAGAATGATTCTTATTTCACAAAAAAGGAACTTGAAATGTTCAAATTTAGCAGGCAACTTTTAAAGATTTACAACTGTAAGAGAGTACTCAACTTCCTAACTACGTTGGTTTCTTGTATTTGAACCAAAACTCACACTGGATTGCATCATTAACAATCTCAAATTTAGAAATATCCGTGTAGATTCCAACAAAATTTACAAATTAGAAAGAATAGAATCTAATCCTCGTCTTTTATTCAACTAAATCTCGAGAAAATCAAACTGTTTGTAGTTGGAAACCAGTCAAGTAATATAGATGTACCGATGTAGTTATTGTGAAGACAGCATGCAACCAGTCATTCTGCATATCATTTACGGCTACACAAACATATCGTATCAGCACCAGTGAACACTATGTGGATGTCCCGAAATGCGATCATGAATGTTATTTACATTTTCAACCAAATTGTCATAACAATGCCTTATCCTTATGCACGTTAAATACTGTTTCGATGCAGCAGTAGAACACAAAACTTCTGAGTGAATGCAGGCAGTCTCAGCACTTTTTTCTGAATACGCAATGCAGATGTTATTACGGAGGAAAGTCAAACTTTCAGAGAGCATAATCATCGTTTAACGAGTTCTAGAACATGTTGGATTTGTACCCTAATTATTCCTAAACTGTCTAATTGTCATCTCCACCGATATCTCAAAAAAAACACAAAGGAGATATCTGCAAGTCGCAAAACACATTTAATTCTGATGCACGGGTAAATATTGGCCAGCAAAGTATTTCTGACAGCCAAAAAATGTGGGTGCATTGCACTTTCCTATAATCGTTTGACTGAGAATCCGAATGCTTCCAGGGAGATGCGTTTGTACTGACCTTAAGTGAGACCTGAGACCTCCAGAAGGTACATAAATATGTGAAAAATACTTAACCGTTGCTTTGCTTCAAGAATAGTCTGTGGCTCATCAAAACTCTCACCTGCAACTGCCTGGAAACTTTTTTCTTCGCTTGAACTTCATTTTCGCTATCTATTGAAGTTGTACGAAATATGAAACCTAAGCTTCCATACCAGTGTCACTGCCAAAAACATTTCTTTCTGTAATTCTCTTTGTTTCTTCATCGTCGCTTGACGAGTTGAGATCAGATGACTCATCCCTCTCATCTGGCTGATCTATATGGTTTGTTTTCAAATTTGGAAAGAAGCCTACCTTCGGCACCAGACTCTTCAGATACTTCAGAATCTAAATCACTCCCCATCGTAACGCAAATGCTTCAAATATTCGCTAGGATATTTACCTTGAATGTAACGCCCGGAAATTTTCTCTCAGTAAGTTTTATTAAAATTGTGTCATTTGTTATCTGGATTGATATGAATTATCACTTCTCGGCTAGTTATGTTGGTGTCCGCGTCTGTGATCTGACTGCGACGCACTCATAGCTTATTAGTTTCAACAATTAATGCTTCAGGCGGACTGTATGAAAATATCGCTATAATGAGGAAGATAGGATAGTTGGAGGGTAATGTAATCTACACAGATAGTCTACTTTATTAAAAACCTGAATTTTTTGGCATAGCATCATTCAATGAAGACTTCACGTCTCAGGATATCAATGAAGCCTATTTTCGTGAGAATAACTGTACTTTTTGACAAAAGATATCTATTAGTACTTGGAAATCACCTGTAAATCCTAGCACAATCTCCGTGATAACCTAAATTATCATGTTGTCAGTCACGTCTCGTAAACCGTTAATGCCCAGCTCTTGCTACGCTCGGGCTCACGCTGTTCCTTGAAGTTTCTCAGAAACGCTTAGAAATAACGGACGAAAAAACCAAAACGCCAATGGTTGACTTGAGGATTCTTTATTGTTACACCAACATATAAAAAATATTTCCACTAAGGTTTCTGACGGTGTTTTACTCTTCTTTCTGAACAGCGACCGATGAGACGATGACTGTCGTATTGATGCCTCCGCGAAAATTGGGGAAGTTGGTTTTGAGCAAACAACCATGAATTGATCGTTCAATCTTCAACTCCATTGACACTCCCCGGCAAAAAAGGGATCCAACCCTTTTTTCCATCACGACCAATACACGTTGACTTGGATGCCATTGCGAGAACCTGGGTCACACGGACAGAGCTGAAATGGAAAACAAACAGAAAAGCCAACACATCACAAGCATACCCACAGCACAATCTCACACATCAATGACGACCTGCGCCTCCAGATAAAGGCCTCCTCTTGACATCTTGCAACACAATCGCCACTTGCTAGAATGACTCTTGCAGAATGCAAAGTGACCATGGCAGCACCTCACGATACTCTACCCACATCCTCTTATCTACTCATTACCAATTACCACTGAAATCGCTTGTCACTCATTCTGCCTCAGTTCTAGTAACGGTGACGTATGCGAGCCTCAGTCGTTTACACTCTTTCTCTCAGGCGTGTCGGACCGCAGCTAACAATTATCTCCGTATGCATTTCATTCTCAGCAATAGCTTCCCCGGCGTATACGACCCATCTGCTGTCTTCAACATCAATCAATCCACTCACGAATGTAGAAGACTGGAAACAACTTCAGAAGTAATCACGACGAAAATTTTAACAAAATTGTGCAATAACAACAAGGTACGAAAACAACAAGTAAACACAATGAATCCAAAAACACCAATTGATATGACACACCACACATATATACAAACAGTACAAACAAACTCGCGGATCATGTCTCGATGGAATTCCTTGGAAGGATTGCAGGACTTACACCAGTACACCTACAACCCTTCTCAGGTTCACGATTGTAAGTTGTGGAATGTCCGGACACAAACAAGATTAACCAACAATTACAATAATTGGAACTCACACAACTATTTAACACAAACATATGTACAATCAGCACATCAAAGTGGTGGATTCTGGCACGACAAACTACCCTTGAAGAACTGTAGGACTTACAGAAGTACGCCTACATTCCTTCTCAGGTTGATGATCCAAGTGGAAGTCGTCCGGACACAAACAGAATTACCAACAGCTAGATGACAGATGATATCAATTCAGTATATACAATATGAAGTTATGTAAAAAATCACACACCAAGCACATTGCGCTGCTCATTGATGCGCTACCCTTTGAAGAATTGTAGGACTTACAGCAGTACGCCTACAACCCCTCTCAGGTTGACGCCCTAGGTTGGAAAATCGTCGCAGAGTTCATTTGCTGACTTCCTTCTATCAGCTATATCCTCAAATCTGAACGGTAACACGCTCATGTCATTGTATCGTAGAATATAGATGACGAACAAACACACGACGTATCTGGTCAACCAAGCGTAGAAACAGAGTAATTTACACCAAAGATAATAGCATTCAAATAGTAACTTGAAACAAGAAATTCCTTTATTCATGCAAGTCAATTTAACAATTACTCTCTCGTTTACACTTGGCTTATCCTCACTAAACTGAACAATATCTTTCGTCCTTTCAAATGCACCAGTACTATCATAGTCATTGCAGAAGATACTTGAGTTGATGGGCGTCTGTTTCATTGTGGATGACAGCACCAACGACGACTGATTGATATCAGTTGATGAAGTTAGCGGTGGATCAAAAGCTGTTGTTGCTCGACTTTCAGAAATTTGTCTACCTGCAAGACCACCACCACTGCTGTCTTTTACTATCAGCTCAGGTTTAGCACTAGCATCTGATGATAGGTGGGCTACATGCTGATCATCTACACTGACGGTCTCACAAGTATGCATGCCTTCTGCAACTGCACCTGCATTTATTTCTACTCCACGTTCAAGTTGTACAGAAACTTTGTTCAACTTAGCAGTAGTAGGCATATCCCTCATCTCATCATGATCAACCAAAGACAACTGTGAAGTATCATGATCATTATCACGAATATTCACTTTACCGTCAACTTCATCATTTTCAAACTCTTTAATAACAGAAGTAGACAATTTTGGTTCCTCCTCGCAAATCCTAAAAGGTTTTATAACTTCACTCTGACTAGTTATACTTTGTAAACTTTTGGAGTCAGAACTGCACTCTGAAGCAGTAACTCTATTCTGTGACACTCTATTCAACAATGGCTTACCAGTTGCAACTACAGACTTCTTCACCGCACCGTTATCGTCACACAATTCGGAGTCAGACCTGGAGTTTACATTTAGCTTATCACTGAACTTGCTCACTGGTTCACAGTTCACTTCTGTATGCACCTCTTGCACACGTGTGAAACACAACCGTGTTTGTCTTGCATCTTGTAACTTATCTGTTGAGGATGTACTACGAAACCTGTTACACTCACTAGGTCTATATGCATTACTAGACATCATGGAGCCTTCTCGATATCCACCTCTCTGAGGCTCTTTCATTATCAATGATTGCATTTTACCCTCAGACTGCTCTATTCTAGGGGTGAGATTCAATATACTGGCAAACTTGCTCATAGATTGATTGACGCTATCTTTTACTAGTTTCAGGATATCATCAAACTTTGGCTCGACACCTTCATCCTCCATACGGGAGCTTATCTTCACCCACTTCCTTTGCAGTCGAGTAGGTAGGCGTCTTGCTATTACTTCTAGTATAAAACTCGAGTTGAGGTCACTAATGCAATTCATAGAAATCAAGGTATTCTTATAAGTCATAAGACTATCCAAAAACTCAGTGAGTGCCTGGGAGTCATCCTGTAATTGACCACCATTACCCTTAACAGACTCGAATAATTTCCCTACAATCATCAAAGGTCTTCCAGACCTTTGACGTAGTACGCTCATAGCCTTGTAGTAGGCATCTTTTGGCTTCATAAACTTACAGCACTGTATAGCCCTTGCGGCATCTCCAGTGCAATACCTCATCAAATACATCAATTTCAGTTCATCACTTAATAGAAAACTACTCAACATGATCTCAAATTCCTTTACAAATTGTAAATAATCGACAGGGTTTCCATCAAAACACCATGGTTCTAATTTAGGGAGTTTGATGTTCCTATTATCCCTGAACGGCGAAACAATAACATCAACCATGTCATACTTAACATCAGACACATCGTTACAATTAACAGACAAGTCAACATGACTTACTTTCCTGTTTGCATCCAAGACATCCCTTCTTTGACCCAGGCATTGTTGAACTTGACCCAATTCCAAAAATGTTCCAGATATCGCTTGTTCAAAGAGGATTTGACCGGCACCAGGAAAGATGAACGGCGACTATCCAGACTGTTACCAGCTATCTGAATCCGCCAGAATCTGTTTCTACCGTCAGAAACTGTCAGTCACGTCTCGTAAACAGTTAATGCCCAGCTCTTGCTACGCTCGGGCTCACACTGTTCCTTGAAGTTTCTCAGAAACGCTTAGTAATAACGGACGAAAAACCCAAAACGCCAGTGGTTGACTTGAGGATTCTTAATTGTCATACCAACATATAAAAAATATTTCCACTAAGGTTTCTGACGGTGTTTTACTCTTCTTCCTGAACAGCGACCGATGAGACGATGACTGTCGTATTGATGCCTCCGCGAAAATTGGGGAAGTTGGTTTTGAGCAAACAACCATGAATCATACATTCTCCCACAAATGCAAAGGTTTCTGGTGTCATAAGTGTTAATAAGAATTCCTTCTTTCTTTTCAATACAAATGACGTTATAAAATGTTTCCCTCCAGTCGACGAACCCTTGTTGTATCCCAGGACAAAATGGTTTGCCTAGCCTTATTCTTAAAAAATATGCAGATTTCCTGTGTTATTTTTTCACGGACATATTTGATGAATCTTATTCCAGAAATGTCGTACCAGCCGTTTGGAAGAACATTAAAACTGTTCTCATTCCTAATCCATCTACTGGAACATGTATTTAATTTACACATATTGCTTTATATCTCCTCTTCTAAGAACTATGAAAAAGTTACTTTTATTCAACTTAAAGCCTTCCTAGATTACACATCTGCTTTCGACCTAGTACTTAGGGATATTTTGTTAAATGGTTATCAATGCGTACCCCTAGTACTCTTTAAAATCTTCCGGCATATTCTGTCAATTTCGACAATAAGGGCTGCAAATTAGGTATCCTGTTGTCCACCACTCTTATCTTAACATCTCGTTCACCACCCTCTCTTCGCAACCTGCTGTCACTCCACCGGTACACCTCCCACATATATTTGTGTACGGTAACACCTCTCAATAAATTCGTTTTATCAATCTGTGCAAACTTTCAACGCAATTGTTAGTGTTATTGACAAGTGACAAAACACTGCGGTTGAATGCTGCTGGCCTTAGTTTCTTCAAAGGCAGCCAGTGTTTGTGCAAATACCACTCAAAACCAGGATCTAGATGCCATATGATACCGAGGTATGTGTAGAATGCGTAAATAAATTTATGATCGGTTCTAAAATTTACCCATGAATTGATTCCTCGCGAATCATACTCGATATCTACTGCTAAACAAGTCTAAAAAATCTTCAAAATTCACAAAACTTACCTTCTTGCGCATTGCAAGAAGAACATGGAATGCACACAACATCATATTGCAAAGTGGGGGCGTTGTCTTAACGCTTTTGCACAGTCCATGACAAAAGTTTCCGTATTAGAAGTTGAACCCATGATGCATTTAAATTTATCCAGGATCCTCGTCACATCATACAGCCCTCCTGTTTACTCCATGCAAACGTGACCGTTAGACCTCCTCCATAGGAGCCTGTAACAACAAATTGAAGCAGTTTATAACTTCAAATATTGGATGCAGAAAATATTTACAACACCTACTGTCAATGGAGTTGAAGATTGAACGATCAATTCTTGGTTGTTTGCTTAAAATCAACTTCCCCAATTTTCGCGGAGGCATCAATACGACAGTCATCGTCTCATCGGTCGCTGTTCAGAAAGAAGAGTGAAACATCGTCAGAAGTAATACAATGATTTATTATTGTAATATTTGTTTTCAGACCTTAGTTCACTTATTCTTTTTATATGCTGGTGTAACAATAGAGAAATATCAAGCGGCAGATCGGTGTTTTGGTTTTTTCGTCCGTTATAACTAAGCGTTTCTGAAATCTTCAAGGAACAGCGTGGGCCCGGGCGTAGCGAGAGCTGGGCATTAACGGTTTATGAGACGTGATTGACACCTACTTTCCTTTATTAGTGTTGTAGGTCGAATCGAAACCCACGACCTCAGGGATGTTGTGGTAAATTTCGATTTGCCTATTCGAACTAAAACAATCTACTTTTGTTCTTCAATTATTTTCATTCCGAATCACAATCAAATTTCCAACTCGATGTATTCTAGAAAAAACCACTGAATGTAAGTCACAATGTGAAAGGTTATTCTTATCAAAGTCCTACCTTCAACTACAATAGCTCTTATACTTTGTAAATCACCGCAAGCCATCCGTTTTTAAATCGTACTGCCACGCAATCAATAACTTTTTAAGGTTCGGATGAAACAGACAGCAATGGCTTAACTATGCACAGTTCAGACTCATCTAATTTTCGGGCTATGGCATCCTTCATTAAATATTCATGGCAGCAAGTGATTATGAATAATGTATACAGATGGAATAATGGATTCATTGCACTGATATCGGATGCGTATCAGTTACGGGTAACCAATG